TTTGGCTTTTTGTGCAATATACTACATGACCCGTTGCAATGCAATCGATTACATTGCGTTACATTGCGTTGTATTACTGTGCATGAGTTTACATGCACGAAACAAATGTATATATGTGCGTATCAATTCATGAATCTATGGTACAAGTCTCTTAGCTGATCTTACCTTATATCATGGTTCTATCTATATGTTGTTAAAATCTATGTATCTATGTCACTATGTCATGTATTTAAGTATCCATGCATCTATGATCATCAACGTGTCAATATCATTCCATATGTATGCGCTCACCAAAAACATAGAGCGATTACATGGTATCAACCAACAAGCCTGTTCTGTGCCAAGTATCGTTGAGGCTTCCTCTCTCAGAGCCCTGACTTGCAAATGCCTGCTGAGCCTTGGTCATAGGCCCTAGTTTAAGACCCATGCTTTGTGTCGCATTCTGCAAATAGTTGGCACAAATGTCAGTGCCCACATCGACATCGGTTGCGGCAGGGTCTACATAGGATAGATGGATGGATGGATGGATAGATTAGATAGATTAGATAGATTAGATAGATTAGATAGATTAGATAGATTAGATAGATTAGATAGATTAGATAGATTAGATAGATTAGATAGATTAGATAGATTAGATAGATTAGATAGATTCGATAGATTAGATAGATTAGATAGATTCGATAGATTAGATAGATTAGATAGATTAGATAGATTAGATAGATTAGATAGATTAGATAGATTAGATAGATTAGATAGATTAGATAGATTAGATAGATTAGATAGATTAGATAGATTAGATAGATTAGATAGATTAGATAGATTGATAGATTAGATAGATTAGATAGATTAGATAGATTAGATAGATTAGATAGATTAGATAGATTAGATAGATTAGATAGATTAGATAGATTAGATAGATTAGATCGATTAGATCGATTAGATCGACTAGATCGACTAGATCGACTAGATCGATTAGATCGATTAGATCGATTAGATCGATTAGATCGATTAGATCGCTTAGATCGATTAGATCGATTAGATCGATTAGATCGATTAGATTGATTAGATTGATTAGATTGATTAGATTGATTAGATTGATTAGATCGATTAGATTGATTAGATAGATTAGATTGATTAGATTGATTAGATTGATTAGATAGATTAGATAGATTAGATAGATTAGATCGATTAGATAGATAGATAGATAGATAGATAGATAGATAGATAGATAGGTAGATAGATAGATAGATGGATGGATGGATGGATAGATAGATAGGTAGGTAGGTAGGTAGATAGATAGGTAGATAGATAGATAGATAGGTAGATAAATAGATAGATAGATATATATAGATAGATTCATGGATAGATAGATCGATTGATAGATCCATGGGCAGATCGATTGATAGCATGCATAAAATATATTTATATGTATGCAGCACTGAATTGCCAACTTTGAGAGAATTAAATGGTTGGAAGAATCACATCCACCGAGTGAGCCCAGCTGCCACTGTGTCATGTGGATAGGTGCGACAATAGTCTCCCAGCCAACCACTGGTCCCACTCACAGTCCTGGTGCATTCGGTCAATGTAATAACATGAACTTAAACAGCAAAGGTCACAAGATGTCACAAGTCACAGAAGGGCTCTCACCAAACTGCTACATGCATGTCCATTTGCATTTCGACATTTGGTGAGATGATTCTACCCATCCGATTGGATTCTTGCTGCGGCTACTCCAAAGCCAAGCGGCGTCATCGTTCTTCGCAACATGTCATGGGTTTCATTTTTGTCATGGCTTTCCTGCCAACTTGCAGCAGCAGGCCCAGTGGGGAAACCATCCCAGGATAAACTTACGAAGTGTAAGGGCCACTTTGCTTTGCATATTTACCATGTCACAGCAACTTCCCTGAATATGTTTCGAATTCTTCTGGAATTCATCGACTTGGCCAGCTAGGCAGCTAGGTCTTGATCAAGACGCTCCAGCTTGGACTCCAGCTGTGAGATGCCAATGCCCTCTTTTGATCAGTCATGATCACTCAGAACACCAATTACCCTCTGGTTCTCAAACGTGGCACTTGAAAATCCTCTATGGCCTTTGAACTGGAAAATCATGGAAAATCCTCAATAGGAGATTTTCCCGTGAACCATGTCTGATTACCAAAGGGTATCTGTTTGCATTTGATCAAAAGCGGATCCCACTCTACGGAATCCGAGGCTTCAAGAGTTCCAGCTACCTCTTTCCCGGTCACTGTCCGCAGGTTGCTTTGGACAAGATACCGTTCTCGTTGAAGTAGAAATCATATCTTGCAATTGGCTCCTGGCAGCAAAATGTGCTGGAGTGAAAATGTCATCGTGGAACTCAAGAAATGTACTTACACGCATTCAAATGTGGGTAGGATTTGTATTCACAACATCTGTTCATTTTTCTATCAGAAGTGCTGACCCTTGCTTTGGTCCCGACGTCTATCGTCCTGACAGCACTGACATCCTCTTCGATCTTCTGCAGGATCTGCACGTGTCCCTGTGCGAAAACACATGTTGGTGATGCAGAAGGCTATTCAGGGAACGGACATCACAAGACTTTGGACTTCCATTCATTTCCAAACATATGTGTAATCTATTTGTAACATATACATGTACAGTACATACAACTGTATATATATATATACATATGTGTATATATATATACGTTTACAAGTGCAGGCCAATCAGGCTGAGAACAGAATCCTGCAAAACGTGCAAAACAAAAAACTGTGCCAAGGGGTGAAATCTATCTTAGTGGAGACATGATTGGAATTTGAATAGACAGAGATGGAGAAAATTACTGATAAAATCCAAATACAACGGAGCATATTCGCAGAACAGGGAGAAAGATACAAATATATACATATATATGTATATATATATATACCTAATCTATATTTAACTTAATTCGAGTTAACTGTATGTGCGCGTGATATGTGTATATATATACACACATAGATATATATATATATACATGGTGTATACACGTATAGTGGGTCGGGTGTTGGATTCCGGGGGGGTTAGGGTGAAGCTAATCTATGAACATCTACATCTACTATATCCCTGTCTATCTGAACGCCCTTATGCGGTAACAAATTCCCGAAACGCGACAAGATCTCCTGAATGGACTTTGCTATGCCCAGATATGTGTACGTATATACTATACACATAGTATATACATAGTATACACATAGTATGCGAACAGCTGGATATGCGGTATAGTAATGTCTACTCCTCCGCGGCCTCCAACTCGGACAAATTCGGGCTCTGGACATGCCTCAGCACATGTGGCACAACCATGCAGAATGTCTCGAATCTTGCCACCCTGCACGTTCTGTGCCTGTCACTGCCGGTGTGTGATATCAGATTCACCAGGGCACTGGTGGTGCGCTCTTCGAAATACTGATGGGGAGTCTGATCCTTCTGCGTGGCCGTGATGATGAGGACCTTAGAATTTCCGCCATTCTGGTTGGATTCAATGGCGCATTGTCCTGAGGGATGTTGAGAAAAAAACCTGCTAAATAGTTCCAATTACAGCTAAAAAGTCACTTAGGCTCAAGAAACTCAGCGTTCACAAAGTTGTAGCCCCTTCACTGCTGGCTGAGTAGCGAAATTGTCGATGAAACGCCATTAGCACACTATTCACTATTGACAAACCATTCCCAAATCTCCCGCTCCCTTTGCCACACTTGCCTGTTAGTGATGTTAGTGCTGCTTTTCTATACTTCCCAAACCGGAAAGTACGTTTGCATTTGGATTTTTGGATTGGGAAAGATCATTTGATTGCTCCGGTTGGAGGCGTGAAGCTGGGTCGGCATCAGTTACGTGTCTTGGTATGTCAATCTTCTCTGCTCTGGTGGCTGCAAAAGGCTGCAAGGTAACAACGCAAAGCTTGTCCATCATCTGCAAGGCTGTTTCATCCACAGCACAACATTAAAGCCCCATTGATTTGCGTCCAGCAAACTGGACTGATCGGAACTTTTTTTTCCCTGGAAGCAAAGCCCAGGTCGGCTTCAAGTTGACCTCAAAGTGAACTATTTATTCGGATGCGGAAGTCTGCCGATATTCCATTGATGAAGGGTATCATGCGGTCCTATCTTTAAGTCAAACACATCAATGCTGTCCCCAAAATGAACCTAGAGCCTCTACCGAGACTATATGTGCAAATGTGCGTGTGATTCAACTGAGCTGGATCGATACAACGTTTTCTCAGCCTAATTTTTACCTCGAGATGCGAATCACTCAAGTCCAGCATGACGCTCCAAGTGGCTAAGCAAGGCTGTCTTTCTTTGAAGCTCAGCTTTCAAACTTCCAAGCCTCAAAGGCAGGCAGAACCAGCAAAAGTGGGCAAACGCCGATGGAATCAGGCTCCCAATCGCTGTTAGCCAGAGTATACCTGTAATATACAGTCCACTCATACCCTGTCAATCACCAAAACTAATAGCGGTCCTAAATAACACGTGTTCATAGTACTGTATGCACTAGCGCAAAAGATTAAAGTTGCACATCAAGTCAAAGCATGACAGAACGAGTCAAGAAATCACAACTTGGTACTCGGTTTCACCATCCGGGACTCAGGCTCTTGTCCCCAGCTTCCCACTTGCCTTTTCAATGGCAAACATCCACATTTGTCTGTCCATCAGAACCACATCTGCTGCACCTCCGCAGCAATTCCTCTTCGACACTGGCATTTCTTCTTTCTAAGTCCTGGGAGTTTGGTCCAGAATATTGTCAGTCGTGGCCCAAAACTTCAACACCAAGATCTTGCATCTAGCTAATATAGCTGCTTCATCTGCTGAACTCCTCACATCGGAGTTGTGCAGCAATCATCGCCTGCATCAGCAATAGAGTTATATACCAGTCATACCAGTTATACCCATAGGCTGCGACAAGAATGACTATGAATGACTATGAGATCTAGTGTTCCTATAGACTTCCGACAAGTAAACACCAGGACATTGGCTCCGACATCTCGCCTGGACAGCCTCATCCAGCAAGTCTGGGCCTCGGGTAAACATGTCCAGAAAAAAAACAAAATACATAGCAAAAGTTGAGTTGATTGAAGTTCTTGGTGTAGTCTCTTGTTCTTGGGATGTAAAGTGTCCTGCAACTAACGTCAGGTGTAAGAGCTGGCATGATGGGCCAAGCAGAACAAGAACAACTTAAAAGCTGCCTGGTCTGAGATGGTCTGGTTTGCAAGAAATGTATACTAAGTTTGGCAAGGTTGCCAGGTTCACCAGCCCAGCTTTGACAGTGGCGAGCCAGAAATAGTTATATAGCTGGAAATTCCGCACAGGCAATGGGCACAGGGGAGACTGCCGGCGGAATAAGCCAAGCTCACTTGACAAACCAGCTTAACAGGCTTAGCAGACTTCACCGCAAACCAAAATTGCAGCGCTTGCCCAAGACCCAAGAGTGCACCAGCTGCTTGTTGACCAAATTCAGAGCTCATCATCAAGGCACATGTCCACATCAGCAATCCAAGCCCCCAACCAGTTTCATCCTCTTGGACGTCACCGTCACCTATGTCTTCCACTTGCATCCTCCAACAGGATGGAATCTATGGCTTCTGTATGCTTCTGTATGCTTCTGTATGCTTCTGTCAAAAACACAGAATCAGAAGTATCAGAAGTGGGCCTCTCAGCAAATGTGCTTGGACCGCTTGGGGTTGGCAGAGCTCGAGCAGGTTTTTGTAGGACTCCAGGTGCTTGCGGAGCTCCCTTTGCTCGCCTGAAAAAACCGCAGGCCAAATCATCAGCATGCCGCGATCCTTTGCGAAATCTAAACAATAAACAAGACTTCGGAGTTTTTGCGGTAGCTACTCTCTTTATCAAAGGAAGTTGGGAAGCAATACTTCCGAGTTACGAATGACTTTTACTTGATGCAATTGACTATGATGAAGGGTGGTAGATCACAGAACAATACATTATCTAACAATACATAACAAAAGAATAAGAAGCTATGACACAGGGTGGTGACGAAGGGATGTGGTTACCTTGGGACGTGGTGAGGAAGGAAAGTGGTGACGAAGGGAAGTGGTGATGAAGGGGAGTGGTGAGGAAGGGAGGTGGGGACGATGGGAAGTGGTGAGGAAGGGAAGTGGTGACGAAGGGAAGTAGTGATGAAGGGAAGTGGTGATGAAGGGAGTGTGGTGACTTTGGGAAGTGGTGAGGAAGGGAAGTGGTGAGGAAGGGAAGTGGTGATGGCGGGAAGTGGTGACGAAGGGAAGTGGTGAGGAAGGGAAGTGGTGACGATGGGAAGTGGTGACGAAGGGAAGTGGTGAGGAAGGGAAGTGGTGAGGAAGGGAAGTGGTGACGATGGGAAGTGGTGAGGAAGGGAAGTGGTGAAGAAGGGAAGTGATGATGAAGGGGAGTGATGACGATGGGAAGTGGTGACGAAGGGAAGTGGTGAGGAAGGGAAGTGGTGAGGAAGGGAAGTGGTGAAGAAGGGAAGTGATGATGAAGGGGAGTGGTGAGGAAGGGAAGTGATGATGAAGGGGAGTGGTGAGGAAGGGAAGTGGTGAGTTGGGGAGGAAGCCGGAGCACGAAACCTTGTGTTTTTCCGTGTAAAGTGGCTGCAGCCGGCGATGAAAGGTACTTCGTGTGTGCGGCGGGTGCGGTTTGGATCGTTTCGAGTTCAATCGGTTCCTCCTCTGTGTTCTGCAACGAGTGGTTGTTCCTGTGTGTGTAGTTCTATGCGTTTCTTGAATCTGTGGTTGCAGATCGCATTGGAATGGCTGCATGATTGTTGTCATCTGGTGTTGCCATGTGCGTAGATGCATGCGGGTTAGCCACGTCATGCTGCAAAACGCATTGTAATGGCTGCATGAATGTTGGATGGGCTTTGTTTTGGGGAGGAAGCCGGAGCACAAAACCTTGTGTTTTTCCGTGTAAAGTGGCTTCAGCCGGCGATGAAAGGTACCTCGTGTGTGCGGCGGTTGCGGCTGCGGTCGTTTGGTTCGTTCTATGTGTTTTGCAACAATGGTTGTTCCTGTGTGTGTAGTTCTATGTGTTTCTTGAAGCTGTGGTTGCGGATCGCATTGGAATGGCTGCATTAATGTTGCACGGGCTTTGTTTTGGGGAGGAAGCCGGAGCACAAAACCTTGTTTTTTTCCGTGTAAAGTGGCTGCAGATCCGGTTTTGGAGCTGTAGTTTCCAACGTCGTTGCGCATAGTTCTATTGTGATTTGCAACTCAGTCTCTGCAGATCGCATTGTAATGGCTGCATCAAGGTTGCTTGGTGCCGCGGCTGCCTACGTAATACTATTGTCTTTTGCAGCTGAAGATCGTAAATCGTATTGGAGTGGCCGCATCCAGGCTGCGATAGTGATTTGTCAGGAAATTGTCGCAATGTTGGTATAGCAATTTTCCTTGTAAAAATCCTTTAAAAAAGCGCTTCAAAATCGTTTTTTTCGGCTTTGGCGTCGAGATCCATCCGGTTTTGGAGCTGCAATTTCCAACCTCGTTGCGGGCAGTTCTATTGTGTCTTGCAACTCAGTCTCTGCAGATCGCATTGTCGTGGCTGCGTCAAGGTTGCTCGGTGCGGCCGCTGCATGTGTAATACTATTGTCTTTTGCAGCTGAAGATCGTAAATCGTATTGGAGTGGCTGCATCCAGGCTGCGATAGTGATTTGTCAGCAGATTTTCGCAACTTTGGCGCTAGCAATTTTCCTTTTAAAAATTCCTTTAAAAAGTGCTTCAAAATCGTTTTTTTTTGCTTTGGCGTCGACATCCGGTTTTGGAGCTGCTATTTCCGACGCTGTTGCGTGTAGTTCTATTGTGTTTTGCAACTCAGTCTCTGCAGATCGCATTGTCGTGGCTGCATCAAGGTTGCTTGGTGCCGCGGCTGCCTACGTAATACTATTGTCTTTTGCAGCTGAAGATCGTAAATCGTATTGGATTGGCTGCATCCAGGCTGCGACACTGATTTGTCAGAAAATTTTCAATTTTCACAGTAGCAATTTTCCTTTTAAAAATACGTTTAAAAAGCGCTTCAAAATCGTTTTTTTTCTTGCTTTGGCGTCGAGATCCGGTTTTGGAGCTGCAATTTCCAACCTCTTTGCGCGCAGTTCTATTGTGTTTTGCAACTCAGTGTCTGCAGATCGCATTGTAGTGGCTGCGTTAAGGTTGCTTGGTCACAATATTACTGGGAAGTGCTTTGTGCAAGCTTTGTAGTACAAAGGAGTACTGGGAAGTGCTTTGTGCAAGCTTTGCAGTACAAAGTAGTACTGGAACGTGTTTTGTGCAAGCTTTGTAGTACAAAGTAGTACTGGGAAGTGAAGTGTGCAAGCTTTGTAGTACAAAGTAGTACTGGGAAGTGCTTTGTGCAAGCTTTGTAGTACAAAGTAGTACTGGAACGTGTTTTGTGCAAGCTTTGTAGTACACAGTAGTACTGGGAAGTGCTTTGTGCAAGCTTTGTAGTACAAAGTAGTACTGGGAAGTGCTTTGCGCAAGCTTTGTAGTACACAGTAGTACTGGGAAGTGCGTTGTGCAAGCTTTGTAGTACAAAGTAGTACTGGGAAGTGCTTTGTGCAAGCTTTGCAGTACAAAGTAGTACTGGAACGTGTTTTGTGCAAGCTTTGTAGTACAAAGTAGTACTGGAACGTCTTTTGCGCAAGCTTTGTAGTACACAGTAGTACTGGGAAGTGCTTTGTGCAAGCTTTGTAGTACAAAGTAGTACTGGGAAGTGCTTTGCGCAAGCTTTGTAGTACAAAGTAGTACTGGGAAGTGCTTTGTGCAAGCTTTGTAGTACAAAGTAGTACTGGGAAGTGCTTTGTGCAAGCTTTGTAGTACACAGTAGTACTGGGAAGTGTTTTGTGCAAGCTTTGTAGTACAAAGTAGTACTGGGAAGTGGTTTTTGCAAGCTTTTGTAGTAGACATCAGTACTGGGAAGTACTTGACATGAAAATAGCCAAGAAGAACTTAGCTGACAAATGGGAAGACCTGGAATGAGATGAGAAGAGCTCAGATGAGATGAGTTGAGATGAAGTGCAAGCGTGAAGTGTGGAGTGTGGGGTGTGAAGAGTGCAAGGTGAAGTCTGAGGAAAGTGTTTGCATTGTACCGGGGTCGCGTGCAGGTCATGTTCTTGGACAGCAGCACTGCAACAGCTTCGCACAAAGCACGCACGCACGGGCCTGGCTGGCGCACGGCGCATGCAAGTTCCTTAGTAGCAGTACTGGGAAGTGATTCATGAAAGCTTAGATGACATATGAGAAGAGATGAGATGAGAAGAGATGAGCTGGGATAAGGTGAGAAGAGCTCAGATGAGATGAAGTGTGGAGTGTGGGGCGTGATGCGTGAAGTGTGAAGTGTGGACTGTGAAGTGTGAAGTGTGGAGTGTGAAGTGTGAAGTGTGGAGTGTGCAGTGGGAAGTGTGCAGTGTGAAGTGTGGAGTGTGGAGTGTGAAGTGTGGAGTGTGAAGCGTGAAGTGCGAAGTGGAGCTTCAAATGTGACATGTGAAACAGGACACCACTTTCGAAGAATGCATGCACGCACGGCCTTGGCTGGCGCATGGCGCATGCAAGTTCTATAGATGAGAAAGGTCTTATATATATCTTTAAGGCAACTTCCGCCCCGCCTCGTGCGGGTACTACCGGTATATGTCTCTTTATATGTGTCTCTTTGTGAATCTTCGACTGGCAAACGGGTAGAAAGGATTCGAAAATAATCGAAAGGCAAGTACTGCACCTAGGCCGCTGGAGAAGCTTAATTTGCTTCAGCAACTGCATCACCTGTCGCGTCCTGCACGTGGAACGCGGACGACGAACATCTCTTCTCTGTCCATTGGGGACCGTACCAGGTAAGCCCAGGTAGGCAGAACCAGCACCAACCAACACATCCATGCCATGTCCTTTGGTAGAGCTCAGATGCCAAGTGCGCAGCTTGATGTTCCTCGAATGGCTGCTGCGCATCAGCAAGTTTTCCACTCAGCTTAGGCACACCCCGCCTTGGCCCAGTCTGCCTTGGAATCTTCAGGCCTGTTCATTGGTTCCATACCATGACAAGAGTCTATCCATCCTTCCATCCATCCGTGCATCCACCTATATTCAAATTTATGCATGTGTGCGCGCGCACATATGGTGTAAAGAGAGGGTGAGTATACATTGTTATCTAAAAACGCACATATGAACGTATATCTATTTATGAAGTTGTCATTCACGTGATCTTTCTGCAAGATCTATGTCTTTCAACAGAGTCAAATGACTTCAAAAGGAAGGCGAACAGCCTACCGCCCCGCGCCTACCGCGCCCAACCAAAATGCCCAGCTGATGGGACTTTTCTTGAAGGACAGCATGCCTTAGCAACTCAGCACCGTCTCTGTAGATTTTCTGAGCTTAAGCCAGCCAGCTACTTTTATGGGATTTATATATTGGGTACATATTGAGATATTTATTTTTAGATTTAAAAATACATACATACATTCCATTACATTACATTACATTACATTACATACATACATATACATACATACATATACATACATATACATACATATACATACATATACATACATATACATACATATACATACATATACATACATATACCTACATACATACATACATATACATACATATACATACATATACATACATATACATACATATACATACATATACATACATATACATACATATACATACATATACATACATATACATACATATACATACATATACATACATATACATACATATACATACATATACATACATATACATACATATACATACATATACATACATATACATACATATACATACATATACATACATATACATATATACATACATATACATACATATATACATATACATACATATACATACATATACATACATATACATACATATACATACACTCATACACCTACATACACAAATACAATGACACATACATGACAATATTACATTACATTACATACATACATTACATACATTACATACATTACATACATTACATACATACATTACATACATTACATACATTACATACATTACATTACATTACATTGCATTGCATTGCATTGCATTGCATTGCATTGCATTACATACACACATACAGACATACATACATACCATACCATACATACCATACATACCATACATACCATACATACCATACATACCATACATACCATACATACCATACATACCATACATACCATACATACCATACATACCATACATACCATACATACCAAACATACCATACATACCATACATACCATACATACCATACATACCATACATACCATACATACCATACATACCATACATACCATACATACCAACATACCATACATACCATACATACCATACATACCATACATACCATACATACCATACATACCACCAGAAGATACATAGATACATCAAGAATCATACAAAATCCATAACATCACAAAATACATACATCCATACATCCTAACAACCCTCCAAACCATACACCATACTACCATACCATACCATACCCTACCATACCATACATACATATACATACATATACATACATATACATACATATACATACATGTACATACATATACATACATATACATACATATACATACATATACATACATATACATACATATACATACATATACATACATATACATACATATACATACATATACATACATATACATACATATACATACATATACATATACATACTATACATACATATACATACATACACATACATACACATACATACACATACATACACATACATACACATACATACACATACATACACATACATACACATACATACACCTACATACACATACATACACATACATACACATACATACACATACATACACATACATACACATACATACACATACATACACATACATACACATACATACACATACATACACATACATACACATACATACACATACATACACATACATACACATACATACACATACATACACATACATACACATACATACACAAACATACACATACATACACATACATACACATACATACACATACATACACATACATACACATACATACACATACATACACATACATACACATACATTACATTACATACATTACATTACATTACATTACATTACGTTACATGACATTACATTACATTACATACATACATAACATACAAACAAACAAACATACATACATACATTGCATACATACATTACATACATACATTACATACATACATTACATATATACATTAATACATTACATACATACATTAATACATTACATACATACATTACATATATACATTAATACATTACATACATACATTAATACATTACATACATACACATACATACATTACATTACATTACATTACAGTACAGTACAGTACATTGCATTGCATTACATTGCATTACATTACATTACATTACATTACATACATACATACATATATATATATAGGGTTTTTTTACCAATAGAAATGGGATGAGCTGTTGCATGCTGTTGGGTTTTTGATCGGAGCCATGGTTTATGCTCTTCGTTGCAGACCGCACTGTCCACACTCTCACATCAAGTCTGTTGGGTGCCTGATCTAACAAGAGTTCTTCACCGTTCGACTCTACTATGGATATCTGATGATATCTGAAGCATCTGATTTCAAGCAAGCTGCATCTGTTGTTCCCGGCCGTGAATCAGTTTCAACTCTGCTGGCAGACCCACGGCACACTCGGCTGAACGGACCTTGAGCTCTTCCATCAATTTGGCCTCGTGAAATTGGTCGAAACCAGAATTTGTTTGTGCTTTTGTAAACCTTATGGTTGAATCCTTTGCACCAGCAAATTCAAGCAAATGCAGTCTACAGGCTCGTGAGATGTCACTTTACTTACTTTACTTCCAACAAAATGAGTCCACTTGCGATTCCGCTACTCCAGGCCTGAGAAGCACAGGTCGCTGCTGCGTCGCGGGCGGTCAAAGCACGCCGGGAAGCCTCTGAGAGAACTTTCCTTGGTGGCAGCGTTGTGGATGGATGGTGTTTCATTCTAACGACCAGACATGTTTTTCGTTCAAGCCTTATCCGAGCTGCTGTTGCTCCTTGTGGACCTTCTGAAAGTCATTGAACTGCTGCTGGAGATGCTGCACTTCAGCAAGCTTCTGGCGCAGCGAAGTAAACTCAGCCCATCTTCCAATGACATCCTCCCTGGCGTTCTTCCATCGCTGTTCAGCTGCTAAAAGAATATTGGCCATCTTCCTTGCACCGTGTGGCATAGACAGCATCAGCTCAATGTCCAGGTCGGTCAAGTAAGGCTCTTTCATCTCTTTCAAGGTCAATTCCAATCGCTTCATGACTGAAAGTTGTTCATCTTGTTCCTTCAAGAGATCTGCTTGATGTGCAGTTAAAGCATTTAGGACTTGTTGCATAGCAGAAAGTCTGGTCGCGACCAAATGCAGTGATTGGCGTGAGGCCTGATTCATATTTTGCAGTTTCTCCAGTTGGGTCGCAGGTGCGAGGTTTCGATTCTCTGATGAAACCTTGAGTCTTTCAGGCACCACCAACTCCTCAGCTCAAGTTCGCTCTGGCTGTTGAGTCCATCATTGCCACGCATTTCATGATAAAAAAGAACTGTTCTGCGTTTCTATTGTTATTCCGTTGAAAAAAAATCGCTATAAACTATAAACACTTGATGCAATCCCAGAGGCAGTATGTGAAGATGTTGGCCAGCCGAATGAGATCGTCACTACTCCGATTTCCTCCCAAATATCTTTACTTGAAGATTTTCCTTGTGAAAAAAGGGGAGCTGAGCAAACTTGTGATGATGACAGAATGGATCGTAGCCTTTGCAACAGCAAACCAAAGCTGCAACACGACAATGGCGCTTCTTCCAAAAGGGATCTGCAATCGGAAGAGTTGCCGTCATAAAAACGCAATTGCAACTGCAATTCGACGTCATCTTTTTGGACTTGCAAGCGCCACGCTGTTGTCTTCCATTTTGGCGCTGCACATATCTCTGAAGGTTCGCTTACATACACCAAGCGTCTCTCGCCGACTCGACAAACAACAGCTAGGCGATAGCACCCAGGACGATGAAAACGAATACTTTGGAGTTCCAAACCAATTTCCATTGCTCAAGTTGCACCATCCCGCTGTCCACAGCATCCTTTTGAGGGAAGCCCAGTTTGGGTTCTGTTTTGCATGGGGTTTAGATTCTTGCCCGTACCAAACGAACACGAAGCCCTTCCGAAGCCTGAGATATGTGATACTGAATGGCTGTGCCTCTTCTCCACCACTGGTGGCTATATCCCTGTCGTATTGCATTGGATCATATTGGATCTCAAGTGTGTATCCATGTTTAGCATGTTTCTCCTGTTTGCCACATGTCACAATTCTGTCACACATCCAGCCCAGAAGCCACAAGTGATTCTGGGACGGAGAGCTTGCTCCAGGGGTTGGGGGATGCGCCCGCTCCCCGGCAAAACAAAGACGAGTCAAATGATTTGTCATACCTGCAAGCAGATGGACAAGGATTGTTGACAAGAATTTAAAGGAACAAGTATGATGTTTTGTAGCGGCTTGAATTCACCCCAAGAAAACGTACAGGAATATGATGCGAAAGGTTGAAAAGTTTCAGGACTGGAGTGCTAATCAAATGAAGGATCAATAGATGAATCAGAAAGTTGATGTTTATTGATGCTTGTTGAAAATGAATTCTCCACTTGCTGTGCCCAAAAAAACAAACTAAACCCATTGAATTGTGGTGGCTGGACCCCTGAGCTCTGTAATATCAAATGGCACTATCAATGTGTTGCAATGAAGGGAAACCGTATCCTGGTTTGGTGTCTCTAGTCGCCTGACTTGGGATACCTTGTATCCAGAGAGTCTACCACGATGTTGATGTTTTATGTTACATATACTGATCTCTGCCCTTGTCTTTAACGTCCAGCGGCAATTTTCTCCAGCGGAATTTGCTGCAGCCGGCGGATGCCCCTTTTACTTGGTTTTTCACCCGGTTCTTTCGTGGCATGTGACAAAGTGTCTCTGAAGCTTCATATTTAGATTAGCACAAACAAGTTCGAACCCAAGGCAGGCAGTAAGCATTTTCTCATACCGCATGTGTCTCAAATGAGGCCACAGCATCTCAAGCTCACACCATAGAAGCTACTGAAAATGTTGGATCGCTCCAAGCAAGAAGAGAAGGATATACAATATATACATATATGAGTCCGGACTCCGGATCCCTGGCCCCCCCCCAATGGTATGGTCCCCCAAGCTCACGCTCTCGGGAACACGGGACACGGGACCATACATACATACATACATACATACATACATGCACATCCACCATACCATCCACATACATACATACATACATACATACACACATACATAGATACATAGATACATAGATACATACATACATACATACATACATACATACATACATACATACATACATACATACATACATACATACATACATACATACATACATACATACACATTACATACATTACATACATTACATACATTACATACATTACATACATACATCATACATACATACATACATACATACATACATACATACATACATACATACATACATACATACATACATACATACATACATACATACATACATACATACATTACATACATTACATACATTACATACATTACATACATTACATACATTACAAACATACATACATACATACATACATTACATACATTACATACATTACATACATTACATTTACATGTACATACACATACATTACATACATTACATACATTACATACATTACATACATTACATACATTACATACATTACATACATTACATACATTACATACATTACATACATTACATACATTACATACATTACATGCATTACATGCATTACATGCATTACATACATTACATGCATTACATGCATTACATGCATTACATTTACATGCATTACATGCACTACATACATACATACATACATACATACATACATACATACATACATACATACATACATACATACATACATACATACATACATACATACATACATACATACATACATACATACATTAGATACATACCTACATACATACCTATCTACCTACGTACCTACGTACCTACCTACATACCTACATACCTACATACCTACATACCTACATACCTACGTACCTACGTACCTACGTACACACGTACATCCCTACATACCTACATACCTATTACCTACGTACCTACGTACACACGTACATACATACATACATGCATGCATGCATGCATGGATGCATACATACATACATACCTACCTACCTACCTACATACATACCAACACACATACCAACATACATACCAACATACATACCAACATACATACCAACATACATACCAACACACATACCAACATACATACCAACACACATACCAACATACATACCAACATACATACCAACATACATACCAACATACATACCAACACACATACCAACATACATACCAACATACATACCAACATACATACCAACATACATACCAACATACATACCAACATACATACCAACATACCAACATACCAACATACCACCACCACAGGCCACAGGGAGAGGGGACCAGAAGAACCATACCACCACCACTGGCCACAGGGGGGGGGGCTTGGGCGTCCTGGGTCATATATATATATATATAAATATATATAAATATATATATAAATATATATAAATATATATATATAAATATATATAAATATATATAAATATATATAAATATATATATATATATAAATATATATAAATATATATATACAAGGTTCCTTGGAGTTTAGGATTTAAAAAAAGCAGCGGTTGCATCAGGTTGCTATGTCCTACACTAGAGTAGCCTGAATGGAGCAAGGCGTTAGCAGGCACGAGCTGCCTACAGAAAATTGTAGCATTGCAATTGTGAAACATCAGGCAAGTAGAACAAGTTTGAACCCGTGCGTTTTACTTTGACACAATTGAACTACATAAGATACAACTGCGCGGTCTCACATCGATTGCAATGCTGCGGTATGCGCCCGAATGGCAGTCCCCCCCGCGCATTTGTGTACACTTGGTTGCAGAAGCTTCAAATATCCTCCCATCCCCGGGTAGTGTGAGCAATGTTCAAAAATGTTCAAGACATGTCAAGCCTCTACAACCCAGGGTGATTGCGTACAAACGCAAAAGATATCGGCCCCAAGCTGCGAGGCAGATTGCGGCTAGGTTTCCCCGGCTTCAGAGGCACGCGAAGTTTCCGAACAAACAACCTGAAACAGGGTGCCATGGCAAAATTGACTCCTCCATGTGCCTCCTGTCACAAATTCCAATATGTCCCACTCCCTCTGAGGTACTTCATCATCCGGAGCTTTTCAGCTTCTACTGCTACCATCTGCTACTGCCACGTTTCTTAGAATCTTGACTGTCCCATTGGTGAAGAGCAGTAGTTCAGCAACAGAGACCTTCAAAGACTCTGAGTGATGGAACACCGCTGCTGGTGAAGCCGCACCAAGCGGCCTTCAAATTCACAAGATACGCAGATTGTGAGTCGACTCATGTGCAAACTGCAAACTTGTGTTAGCAAACTTGTCTTAGCAAACTTGTGTTAGCTTGCAAAGATATGACAAAAAAAACTGCAATTTCGAGCACGACCCTGAGGTCTCGGAGGACAGTTGCACAATTGGATCAGCCAACAACAAGGCTCAAAAGGCTCAAAAGAAAAAGCTAACAGCCGAGTCAGGCAACAGCAGTGGTGAGCACGCGATGCCGTCCTCCCCATTTCCCCCCACCTCCACTTTGACCCCTTTTGGGAGCCGAAGCCGAGCAGCAGGGCACACTGCCCCATTTGTATTGCCACCGGCCTAGAGCCATGGTGCTTGAGGAAAAGTACACGCTGACAACAACTGAGGCGTTCACTTGACCACACGCGTTACTTCCCCAGCACCAGAGTTCCTGCAAGTAACATCGTTCGTAAATATCAAGCAACAGAAACAAGCAACAAGTGTTCTGAACACTTTGAACACTTCCAAGTTCCAGCTCCATCTAAGGAAGGAGAAAGGCACCTGCTTTTTCGCACCAACTCTTCGCAGTACAGCCAGGCAGTGGTCGGAACCGCATGAGAATCCTAACAGGATAATTTTGACAGTCACAAACTGAAACTAAGGTCTCTTCGGAGTACCGGTACTCGTATGATCTAGTATGTACTAGGATGTACTCATGAGGTCACCTTGGTTTCTTGCATTAGCAACTTGCGTTTGGTTAAATGTAGGTACATTCAATCTTGTGACGGATTTGGGCCTTGGATCTTGCTATTCTTTGGCAGCCGGCACGCTGCAAAGGTCTGCCTCGGGCGTCTGAAATGGTAGCATTAAACCGTTTCATTGCCCAGTGTCAAGTCCAGCCAACAATTTGGTTCACCAGTTCTTACTCTGTCTCACTGGGCCGACCACCTCTACCACACTGGGGGCAAAAGACATCCATTGGAATACACAAAATGCATCAAAATATATCAAGTTATTGCCAGATAACGACGCCTCAAATGTCCTGGGGCAAGGATGAGGGCTTCTTCTATCAGCTGCAGGCTACAAAAAAATGCTTTACGGACGCAAAACCTTGGAGGTTTGGAGGTGGGCCAAATCATTTCTGGTTTTGAACGGGATTGCATTTCTGGTTTTTTTCAAGGTGCTGCTGTTGCTGCATTGAACGACCACACTGCCCTTTGCCATTCTCTCCACAGCAAAAAAGCCTTTCGGACCTCAAAATCATGCAGGCTCCAGAAGGCATCAATCGCTCAGCAGCTCATGGATCTGTTGCAGCTGAGAATTGAGCTCTTCTTCTGGTGGATACCAATCAGGACTATCTCTGACCTACAAAGAAGCTTGTGAGACAGCACAAAGTATATCTTCCTATGTCTGGGAGCAGTTTCTACCACCTTTCAGTGTACTTGAAAAGCGTGCTGCCCTGCCAGCATCAGGGTGAAATCGTCACCACATTTCAGGTCACTTGGAGGTGGATATGGAATACCTCCGCTGAGTCGACCCCAGGGAAACTTTGAACAAATCCTGGAAAAAAAGAAACGAACAAGTGGGAGTGCTGGGAGCCCTGGGAGCCCTGGGAGCACCATGAACTTGTCTATCAGACTCCAGAGGGATGTCCATCATGAAGACCTTAAACATGTCACACTTCCAAGAGCTTTCAACGTTGACACATAACCATGAAATGTGCTGAAAAGTTGCGAAAAATCCGAAATCTAGACCTTCCGGCCAAGCCCTAGGAAACGGAATTCGAATATAAACGGTATATATACATCGAAACGCATGATCAATCTAACTTCCTTACATCTCCCTCATGGCGTTGAGAAATATGCAATCCAGCATGCAAACCCAACAGCCCCTTGAGCTCGTTGCTGGCTTGCTTTGCTGGTGAGACTCAAAGTCTTTGTAGTTTCTCTGCGAAGTGGATGCTGCCTATCAAAGGAGAGTGGTTTCAGGAACAGCTGACTTGTCTGCAAACAAGACTGGGCAAAACTATCAAATACTGATAAACAGTGTCCCGTGTTGCAAGTCTTGGCTTGTTGTGAATGGGCTCAACAACAAATTTGTCTGTGATTTGATAGTTTCAACATGTTTCAACACATGAACCGCATTTTACGCTTCACCATGGCACATCCAAGGCCGCAGGCCAACTACTGGATCTGGTACAAGTTCACATCAAAGACGAGAGTACCGGCAGGCTTCCCACCGCTAGGATTGTCGCCATAAGCTAGCGCACCAGGTATCCAGAAGCGCCGTTTCTCTCCCACAACCATCAATTGAACACCTTCGGTCCAACCCTGAATGACTTGGTCGAGTCGAAACGTCGCCGGTCTTCCACGAAGAACTGAGGAATCAAAAAGTCGCCCATCCGTCGTCCAGCCACTGTAATCAACCGTCACTGTGGAGCTGCTCTGCGGTTTCTCCTTGCCAACACCAACTTTTAAAACCTTTGAAGCAATTCCTGAAGCAGTCACCTCAGCATCAGATGGAGGACCACTGACATCATCCGGCGTTGGCACTCTTGGTCCTCGGTCAACTGAGTAAAGTTCAACATCAAAGACCAAAGAACCACCAGGACGTCCTCCTCCGGGATTGTCCCCATAGGCCAGGTCAGATGGAATCCAAAATCTTCTTTTTTCACCAGGAGCCATAAGTTGCAATCCTTCAGTCCAGCCCTTAATCACTTGACTCACACCGAAAGTGGCTCTTTGACCGCGTTTGATGCTAGAATCAAACATACGCCCATTTTTCTGCCAACCAGTGTAGTCCACTGTCACCTTGTCAAACTTTAAGGGTCGTGCAGCCTTACATTCTGCTTCAGACTCACATGGAGGAAGCTGCAAGACCTTGGACGCAAGGCCGCTTGGAGTGATTTCAGCATCGTCGGGGATGGCTCCAACATCTGGAGGAGCAGGAATGTCAGAGAAAGGAAATTGCGCCACAGCAGGCTGCAATTTGGCGGTGCCACTTGCAACAGCTCCAGCCGCACCAACTACCAAAGTTCTACGAAGTGGCCCACTTGGTACAAACGTGTCCAACGTTGGCCAGAAAAATGCTCGGCAGACTGTGCAGAGCAGAAGCACCGAGAGCATACGCTGCATCCGGCACCAAACGCGGTTCATGATATCTACTGTCTAAACTTCTACTTTTAGAGCTTCACAACCAAGAGCATATCAGTTCCCTGGTGGACTCAAGAGTCACCTAGTGACCTGTGCACTCAGACTGATCCAACCAATGCTGCGAAAATGACACCATTGGACTTGTGAACGATGTTTCATGCATGGTCATGCTGGGACCCTTTGGCAGTATGAGATGAGCCAAGCAGCTCCACAGCCATGTCAATTCAGTGTTCAATACGGTGATCCATCAGCCGTGGGCATCTGAGATTATGTTGGCGCACCCTGGAACCAGTTCCATCAGGCCCACGGAAAGCGCTTCCAGGGGCCATGGCCTGAGAGAATCGACAGCTTAGAGTTCAATACAATTCAATCTTGGAAATTACTGAATCCAAATCCAAATGCCATTGCCAGCGGATCGCTTTTCGATCTTTATATTCATCCATGTGCCTCTCCAGATTGCCGCATGTTCAGGAAGCCTGGAAAATGGCTAGAAAGCAAGCTGAGTTGAAAAGGTGTCCCGAGTACCGATCCTAATCTTGACCTACAAAGTATCTGTCTATGTTGTCAAGATGAGGGAAATGTGTGGCACTCCTGGGAAGGCCAAAATCCAAAATGCCAGTAAAATAAGATGTGAATTTGCAGAACTTGAAGTGAGGGCGGAGGTGCTTCCTTGCTGAGCTTCGCATTCTTGGTTAGCAGTTGGAGGACTTGGGTGCATCAGTTTGCCCAAACAAATCCAACAACGAAATCACAGGTTTCCTTGAAGGAGCGTTCTTTATTGGTGCATGTACGTGCACCAACACATTCCACTGATACATCACAACCAGGTGCATATGATATTATTAATTTATTAATTTATAATTAATATATATATATGTAAAAGTTGCTAATAGTTATTATATGTATATATGTATATGCATAGTTTTAAATCCGGTGTATATATAGTCTTATCTCATATATCTATATACCTATTCTTACATTATGTATGTTATGATATTGTGTATATATGTGGTCATACATATATATATACATATATATATACATATCATATATATATATCATAACATCATTTAACATCTGCTGAGCTGCGAGATCTTCCCCTTGCCTCTGGAGCCACTCCAAGGTCGTTCCTCGCCAACGGCGGAGCGAGTGTCGCCCAAGCCCAGCTGAATCTGGCGCCGCATTGGAGGAAAACGGGGAAAAATTCTTCGGGATCAATAGATCATCCAACTAAGAAAATGGAGTATGGATATCTGTTTAGGATATATTATGTTGGTATATATGTTAGGTGCTTTGAGGTTACAGATAGTTATAGACTTACAGGCCTATTACTTATAAGTAGCTGTGAAATTAGATAATGAATTTGAATAACATCAAGGCAGACTTTCTGTGTATGCATACTGGCGTTGATCAGCAATTCAAATGACTTTCCACAGAGCGCCTTAGAATCGTCTCCCCAAGACAAGCATTGCCCTTCAGCGCCAACAGCCACCTGCCACAAATTCATTGCGCAGCACAGGTTTTGGTCGAACATTTGCAGCAAGAGCTTTGGAAACTGTTTCACTGGGGATGCTGCAGTGTGGGATTTTCCACATTCGACTCCTGGGAAAGTGATGTCTATTGCACAGATTCAACAAAGTGAGAAAGGTCAGTAGTGTCACGCGAGATCGACCAGAAGATATGTGCATCCAAGTATCTCAGCAAAGGATGGCAGTGCTTTGGGAAGCTGACCTGCGAAAGGGTTTGCGCATGTTGATACTTTTAACATTTGTTTTAATTAAGTAGATTTTCAAAGTCAGCCCGTGATGCTCTGACAGCTTGCAAATTGGGTGAAGAAACATTGTTTCCATGTCTTCACAATTTCAGACCGTTGCTGCCACACGTTTTGAGACAAGCCAGTCCATCTTGCATCGCAACAGATCGGAGCGGACCCGGAGATTTACCAGGATCTCATCCGTGACCTCGCAATGACTGCAAGTATGGCTTGGACTAGCAGAGATTTAAACCCATGACCTTTATTTTTCTTGGGAAAGTGCCTTGACTTTATATTATATATCCTGGACAAAAGTATCACCAAAGCAAGCTAGATTTAAGGAAGGCATGGAAGGCCATCAAATTGCAGCTGTAGCAGCCGAGCAACGTGAGTACGGTTTAATGTCGGAAAGTTTCTTTGCGTGCAACCTCTCTGCCCTTGCTGAGGCAACAGTGCGGCGAACTTCTGCCATCTCCGTTGCTGTGAGCGATCCCCTCAGGGTTGAAAGCACGGTCAGAAAGTCGAACCGTCTCAATATTTGGCACAGGCTAGCATCAATTTCTACACTGCGACTTGTATCAAGACTTGACACCAATGGATGAAAAATCAGGATCATTTCTGAGCCATCTTGAGCCCCATCTATTCGTGCCCTGCCTTCCACCAGAAATGCCAACCCAAACGATTTTCGGATCATTCTGTTTTGGAAGGTTGTGCTCATAATGCCTCTGGTCCAGTGCAAACTGCTTCTCCGGCACTGCGGCAGTAGAGCCCACAACTTTGGCCGTGCCGCAAGAATCTCGATATTCATAGACCGCTCCAAAGGACATCTCCTGCCGCAAATGTTCAGATGGCTTTGCCAGAACCAAATCCTCTGACCGCGGCACGGCATTCCTGCGTTTGAAAGTCTTCAGCTCTGCTAAATCCACTGCTGGCCCCGAAACCCCTCCATGGTCAAGTTTCTGCCTTCGAGTTTCAATGTCTGCTACGGCTTTTGATGCAACTTGGTGATCTACCACTTCCCCTGCAGCTCTCAAAGCTGTTCCCCTGGGGCCCTGCAAAATCAAAGCTTCCAGGTTGCCTTGCTGCAATCCCACAGCAAATTCAGCCACTGCTGGTGATTTCCAAGGTTCAAATCCAACCAATTCATGTCGTGCAGAAAACGCCCCGCTGTCGCTGCGTCCACTTTCTGGGATGGGTTTCAAAGAGCTGGCACCCTGTGCAGACAACCCAGGTCGACCGTGTCGAGAAGGGGGAGCTGATCGCGTGTGTGCTGGAAGATCAAACAAGTTGGCGCCGGGTTTCACCACTTGCAGCTGCCGAGGGTCGAATACTGTATGCTTGACTTCAGTCCGTGGCATGGCCAAGACAGTGAGACTACATGGTCTACGGTGAAAGTGAACAGTGGTCGTCTAGTTGGCTGAAATACAGAATGCGCAGCTTTCAAGCTGCTTTAGAGAGAGAGAGAGAGAGGCGGTAAGATGCAGGATACACTACAATACTCTTCAACACGCCTTACACTTACTCATGTGTGTGTGGTGCACATTTCTGTAAACTTACTACCTGATATACCTTGCGGCGAGCATGCTCGAGCAAAATGGCACAAGCAAATGATGGGCAAAGAGTGCGCAATGCAGACGCAAGTCTTGATCTGAGGTGACTCTGCAGTCTCGTGACATGCAGCAAACAAGCGAAGCGAAGGAAAGGTGCACACCCGTCTGCAAGACGATGCCATGTTTTGCACAGAAGGATCCACGCCACACCTGAGATCCACTTAAGGACTGTACTGCAAACCGGGATGTCCTATCTTTTGCTTTGAACGGATTGAAAGATCAATGAATACCATCATCATAATCAGCAACTTGCCACATGTGGGACATAAGCGGACGATACAGCAAAGAGCCAACAAAGCAAATGGCAATGATATGAAAAGAAGATCTGGGTCATCGCACTCTCCATAGGAATTTCGTCCAAGACAATAGACTTGTCCATCCTGCAGGGACCGTGTCGCTTGGCTAAGCTCACCTGTGGAATGTGGTTTCGTGTAGACACCGGCCTCTGTGAGGAATGCAGCATGCATGACCCCAACAGACCTAGGCGAACTGAACATCAGCCAACATCACCAAATTTGAGGTAATGGATGGCGATATTCCCCCAAATGCCCCAATACAATATAACCGAAGGAAATTTAGAAGTCAAGCTTCCGACAATATGGATAGATGGAAAAGCAGAGGTAAAAAGAGTCAGAGAAGAGAAGAGAAGAGAAGAGAAGAGAAGAGGAGAGGAGAGGAGAGGAGAGGAGAGGAGAGGAGAGGAGAGAAGAAGAGAGAAGAAGAGGGAAGAAGAGGGAAGAAGAGAGAAGATCAGAGAAGAGAAAGAATCAGAAGAAAGAATCAGAAGAAAGAAGATGCAGGCGCGGGAAAAGGTAGAAAAGTCGCGACACATTGTGTTTTTTCCAGTGATTTGTTTCTCCGGAGGGTCGAAAAGTAGGCTCGCTAAAGCGGCGGGTGCGGAGCCATCTGGCTAGATGAGAGATGAAAAATTGCACGCCGTTGTGGCGCGAAGCACATGTGGAAATCAAAATGTACAAAACACGTCAGCTTCGGACCAATTTTAGGACGTGCAATGTCGAAAAAGTGCACGCCATTGTGGCAAGAAGCACATTTCGAAGTCAAAATGTGCAAAACACACCAGGTTCGGAACACTTTTGGAAGTTGAGATGCCGCAAAACCTCATGGTCAGACCATTTTTGGAAGTTGAGATTTCGAAAAAGTGTAAGCCGTTCTGGCGCGAAGCACATTTCCAAGTCAAAATGTTAAAAACACCACATGTTCGGAGAGTTCGCCATTAGGCGGTCGGATTGATTTCAAGGTCCTCGGGGGGGTGGGTACCCCCCCCCCCTTGACGTTTCAAGGTCCCCGGGGGGAGGGGTCCCCCCCCGTCCTTGACGTAATGAGGTACCATTCCTGTTCCTTGTTTATTTCTATCTGTTCTTCTCTTCTAAATCTTCTAACCCTCCTTTCGTCCCGCTCCTTGTTACACAGCCAATGAATTTCATCAGCAAAGGCTTTAGCACCCAAAACTATTCTGGGAGCACAAGTTTTTCGTGTTTGGCATCAGCGGCGTCACTAGTTGCCATTTTCTGGTTTCAGCTAAAAAAAAGCGCTGGCGAGGTGAGGCGCCCAAAATTGCAGATTCTGTGACGGAACTGATGGTCAAAAGACAACAACTCACGTTCATCCAGCAAAAACCAACTCACTTTCATATATTTTTACCTTCCTGCCAAAGCGTGCACAAGCGCTCTTGGAATGAAGAGACGGGCACGCCCTCAAACCTTTCGCTGTCAAGCAAACGCTGCGCAGCACCTGGTAAGTCTTGTATATAATCTATCCGCCAAATAAACGCTAAGCGTCCATAGCACGGGGGGCCCCCCCCCTTGGATTCGAGCACATATCTTCTCCTGGTGAGGAGGAGGGGGGGGTACCCCCCTCCCCCGCCCCTCGGATTGATCCGACCAAAAACGAGCAAACTATCCACTTTTGGACGTTCAGATGTCAGTTCGCATGGCCGGCGCAAGGGATTGTGCACCTTGCCAAAAGTGAGCAAAACTTGAGGCATTTCCAAAAACGATGGCAGGCGTGGGAGATTTGCAGAGGATCTGCAAAGATGCATGTCACGTGGCAGGCGCAATACAAGAGACATGTTCATTAGAGATGCTAGGAGTTTAGGCCGCTGATTTCCTGAGAGGGGTTGCATTTTTGAGCATCAGCTCTGCAGGTTTGCTAAGATGATTTTGCGTGACAGGTGCAGCACTTCGTATGACCTGGCATCATTTTTTCGTGGCAGGCGCAATACTTTAAACAGGTGGAGTGGAAAAATCGCAAAAAGCATTGGTACGAGGCCGTCAGCTCTGCACTCAACTTTCCATTTTTGAAGGAAGTCTCCGAGAGTGACCCTTGAGACAGGCCGTAAATATCTTTGTCGGATTTGCCGGGGGCAATATACCTCAGGTCGCAAGTTGAGTTTGAAACTGTAACGGCCTTGCAAGGTCATAGGTGGGTGACCCTGCCGCTGCATTTTGTTTGTCCAAAAAAGTCTCCGAGAATTGCTTCGTTTTTGGTGCTGTCAACTTTGATAATGTAGGAAGTCTCGCAGAATTGCTTCGTTTTTGACGTTGTCAAGTTGGAAATTTGTGGAAGTCTAGCAGAATTTCTTCGTTTTTGACGCTGTCAACTTCAAACATTGAGGGGGTCTCGCAGAATTGCTTCGTTTTCAAGATGGCAAGATAGATAGCAAGATAGATAGATAGATAGATAGATAGACAGATAGATAGATAGATAGATTAATTAATTAGGTAGATAGATAGATAGATAGAAAGATAGATAGATAGATGGATGGATGGATAGATAGATCGATATAGATATAGATATAGATATAGATATAGATATAGATATAGATAGGTAGATAGGTAGATAGGTAGATAGGTAGATAGGTAGATAGGTAGATAGGTAGATAGGTAGATAGGTAGATAGATAGGTAGATAGATAGATAGATAGGTAGATAGATAGATAAACAGATAGATAAACAGATAGATACACAGATAGAGAGAGAAACGGATAGACAGATAGATAGACAACTACAACTACACTAGGCTACACTACAACTACAACTACCACTACACTACAACTTCAACTTCAACTCAAACCGCCACTTCAATTACACTACAGCTACAACTACCACTACCACCACAGCTACAACTACAACTTCAACTTCAACTACGCTACAACTACAACTACAACTACCACAACACTACACTACAACTACCATTACCACCACGGCTACAACCACAACTCCAACTACAACTTCAACTACACTACAACTACACTACAACCACAACTACAACTACAACTACAAACTACAAACTACACCACACCACACCACACCACACTACATTCAGCAGTTGTGGGTGAGGTGACCACTGCAACCACTCCAAAAAGCACTATATAATCCAACCACGTTTCGGTCCATCAGTGGATTCGCTCTGCCATCCATGCATCACAACAACTCATCTCTCCTATAGTTTCCTATCTTTGAAACTTCCGCCACCGCCTTGTTCGGTACTACTGGTATGATATCAGAATATGTTTTATATGTTATACGTATATAGCGACGGACTGGAACTTAGAATGTCAGCCCAGTTTTCCAAAATTTAGTGGTTTGAACTTAGAATGCCATCCAAATGGGGTATCTTAGAATGCCGCCACATGTGACATTCTAAGTTCCAGTCATGGGTGAGAAAACCACAGTATTTCCCAATATTTGAGGCCAAAACATGTCACAAACAGTTTATAGACTGACCAGAAATATATCCCAAAGCATTCCAAGTTCCTAGTTCAACCCCCTCATGCATGATATAGTGACGGATTGAAACTTAGAACTCCGTTTTGGAATTTACATATGGCCATTACGGAACGACACCGCGGCCAAAATCTCACCGCAGAAGACAATTTTATAACCCATAGATTTTCATACTAGAGTTAGAATGTGGCAGCACACCGTACGGAGTTTATCGTTTTTGAGCACCGTTCTGTAGTTTTGGGGCCAAATCCGGCAAACTTAGAATGTGTACATATGATCATAAAATATCATATGTGTTCATGGGCTCTGTGAACATATGTTCGCTTTATACCCCATAGATTTTCATACTAGAGTTAGAATGCCGCCAACACACCGTAAGGAGTTTATCATATTTGAGCACCCTTATGTAGTTTGGAGACCAAATCTGGCAAACTTAGAATGTCCATATATGATCACAGGTGTTCATCGGCTCTGTGAAAATACGCCTGGCCACTTGAAAATAAGGTTTATAGAAGCTCTATGGAGGATTTTTGAGGGATTTATGGAGGATTTATGGTGGATTTATGGAAGATTAATTGGCGGATTTATGGAGGATTTCTGATGGATTTATGAAGGATTTATGGAGGATTTATGGAGGAAAGAATGGCGGATTTAGGCAATTCATTTGTGAATACTACAGTTCCAAGAAAGTTAGCTTTATGTATTCGTTTTCAATTAGGCAATTCATTTGTGAATACTACAGTTCCAAGAAAGTTCACTTTATGTATTCGTTTTCAATTAGGCAATTCATTTGTGAATACTAAAGTTCCAAACAGGTTCACTTTATGTATTCGTTTTCAATTAGGCAATTCATTTGTGAATACTACAGTTCCAAGAAAGTTCACTTTATGTATTCGTTTTCAATTCGGCAATTCATTTGTGAATACTAAAGTTCCAAGAAAGTTCACTTTATGTATTTGTTTCTCCGTGACCCCCATTCTAACACGGGTTTGGAAACTGGGGGGCCCTTCTAAGTTTTCATCCGGTACTATACGTATTGCCTGGGGCAACCATGTTTACCCATCTGAAGGGTTTTATCAAAACCGGGCGCCGAATCTCTGAACAACAGGGCAAAAACCCCTGAAATGTCTGCATCAAAGGTATCCAAAAGAACAAGTGAAGCATGTCAAAATAGAAAAGGACCTGACACGCATTCTAAGTTAACATCTGCAAGAGCCATTTATCGAAAAAATACAGTCAAAAAGTTGCGGGAGCACATATTTCTATATTTTGCCGCTACTTTTTCCAGTGGGTACGGTTCCAAAATGGCATTCTAAGTTTCGGTTCCAAAATGGCATTCTAAGTAACGTATCTGTCTCTGATTTACTATATTTACTATATTTATATAAATATGAAGCCATCAGCCAGGTGGCATGCCCTCCAAATGCGGCACTTTCCGGCTTCCAGCTGGAAGTCGGTCGTTATCAAGCTTTTGGAAAAAACAAATCCATGACTTCTCCGGCATCAAAATGGTCCAAATCCTGCTTCAATTTTGCCAAGCCGAGGAGGCAACAGCACAACTGGATGAATGCGACCAGTTTTCAACTCTTCAAGTCTTGCTTAGATAATTTGTAAGAAGCTTGCACCTCGCAACAACATTCCCGAAATAGTTTTCTTCAAAATGTCGAAGCACTGTTGATTTGCAATTGCTCAAAATCTGAAATTTTATAGCGACGGACTGAAACTTAGAATGCCATTTTGGAACCGTACCCACTGGAAAAAGTTGCGGCAAAATATAGAAATATGTGCTCCCGCAACTTTTGTACTGTGTTTTTTCACCAATTGGCTCTTGTAATGTTAACTTAGAATGCGTGTCAGGTCCTTTCCTATTTTGACATGCTTCACTTGTTCTTTTGGATACCTTTTATTTCAGGGGTTTTTGCACTCGTGTTCAGAGATTCGGCGCCCGGTTGCTGCTTCTCAGCCTTCAACTTCAAACCCAGTCGAAACTTAGAAGGGGCCCTCAGTTTTCAAATATCTGTTTTATCATAGTAGTTACTTAAATTAACACCTTCACCCCCTCCATTGATGATTGCCGTATTTACGAATTCTTCAGTAGCAAGGTTAGATGAACCAGTTGCTAAAAGTTTGATAAATTCTGTTCCTATGATGGTATTACCGCCGTCTAATTGAACCATTAAATATAAAATAATTGAGATAGCCTACTGAAGTTGAAGACCTGACACGCATTCTAAGTTAACATTACAAGAGCCAATTGATGAAAAAACACAGTACAAAGCACATATTTCTATAGAACAAGTGAAGCATGTCGAAATAGAAAAGGACCTGACACGCATTCTAAGTTAACATTACAAGAGCCAATTGGTGAAAAAACACAGTACAAAAGTTGCGGGAGCACATATTTCTAGATTTTGCCGCAACTTTTTCCAGTGGGTACGGTTCCAAAATGGCATTCTAAGTTTCAGTCCGTCGCTATATTGGTTGAGAACGGGATTCCCAGTTCATGGATTTTTAACCCCAATATCTTGGGTAGCATACCCCCCCTACAATCATCATCAACCATCTATAACCCCCTATAACCATCTCAACCAACCCCCGCAACCGAGCAACATCTGCTTCACCGGCCGCTTCATCCCGTTAAGACTTCTGCCGCCTGAGCAAAACCTGCCAGGTTTTAGCCACAAGCTGAATCTCACTGGAAGTCACTTGGGATTCGGGTGGAAAAACCGCAAAAATCCGCAAAATATCTGGAAAAACACCTTACTTACTTCGTTATGATCTGTTGCGATCTATAGCTTTTATTAGTTTTTACAATTTTGCACCACATGGAAACGGGAACAGTGACAATAGCCAGAAATCTTGCATAGCCTGGGCATGGGTGTGCTTGCCAAGTGCTCACTGATCATCTGAGGCACCTCAACTTCCAACCAACTCCGACCGACTTCAACCGACTCTCACAACGTCCACTGCACAGAGACATCACAGCGACATCACAGAGACATCAAGGCAAACAGGTATGACAGGTATGACAGGTATGATAGGTATGATGTGAATCATGGGCCACTCTCGAAACAACATTGTGGCACGCAGCACTTGGTGATACAAGTGGTGAGACGAGCTGGAGATCCAATCACTCGTTCAAGACAAGGTCAAAGACTGCAGTGGGAGCCACTTCCTTGCCAGCAAGGAAGGTTGAGGAACGCTGTATATAAGTTTGTTCTCCGAAACACATATACAGTGTGTGTTCTATTGTGTTCTTGGTGACATTCCTGGTGCTAGTATCACCAAATCTCTGAGGGTCGAACTTGGCTCCAGTTGCCCCCATCCAACATGAAGGTCTCCGACGCATTGATGACCTTGTGCAAGAGAAATTTGGATCGTGGGCTGGGGTGTCCAAGAGATGCTCCACATCAGACTTTGTGACGCTGATTCTTTTCTGGTTTTTATCGGAATCTGTCTTAGACTCTTCTGGGTTTCCACACTTCCTCATCGCCCAGCCAACCCTGTCGCAGAAAGACCTGCACATGTCCAACGAGCGCAACGAGCGGCTTCGCAGGAAGACTTCACCACGGCATCTGCCTTGCTGCCCCAGACACGGATTGCAGAGCCATCAGCGGCCTGGAAAGCTGAGGTGGCTTCGCATTTCCCTATCCCTCCACCTGAATATGCGTGTCTGTGTTGTGTATATACACACATTATACAGTAATATGTACATGTATATGTATACGTGTACAATAGATTAGAATAGATTTAGATTAGATTAGATTAGATTAGCTTAGATTAGGTTAGGTTAGGTTAGGTTAGATTAGATTAGATTAGATTAGATTAGATTAGATTAAGACTAGATTAGATTAAGATTAAGATTAGATTAGATTAGATTTAGATTAGATTAGATTAGATTAAGATTAGATTAGATTAGATTAGATTTAGATTAGATAGATAGATAGATAGAACTATTTGTCTTAATCATCCATTCGATCTATTTATTTTCACACTTGTATTTATGTATATATATATTCATATTCATATTCATTTTCATATTCATATTCATATTCATACTATGATTTATGTCATCTATATTTAGATTTATACTTGTGTTTATGTAAATGTGTATTCATGTTTATATTTATATTTATTTCATATGATTATCTGTATCTGTATTTACAAACTACAAAACACTATAAAATTAATCTATGATACATACATATATATATAATATAGCAATATATACGTTATACAATGGTAGACATGGGATCTGAGATAAAATATGTATATGTGACAGTACGTGCGTGTCAGAGCTCTTTGGAGCTGGCCTTCACAACAACCTCCTGCCAGGCCTCAAGCCAAACGTGGACGTCGCTGAACTTAACGACACTGGAGATATGGAGGCACCTGAAACAATCGAAGAAGATATGGAGCCATGGATAAACTAGTTTAAACAATTTTTAAACAAAACTATATAGTGAGATACTGGTCAACTGAACTGGCTGGAAATTGCATCGATTTCATCTCGCCTCCAAATTCCCCTGGCAAGCGGTGAAATTTTCTCACGTACTAACCAGCTGGAAACCATGTCACATGTTTCTTGAGTTTGGATGTTTCTAAGTCATGAAACGCATCTACGAGATTCTACGAGTGGAATTTGAATTAAAATCATTTGGAATCTTAAAATTTTGCGAGATGTGCCGGTGGACGAGTGATACGTCCCTGCTGTTCTGCAGGATGTTTGCAGGCAAAGCAGAGCTCGAGGCCAGACTCCTGACCAGATCGAAGGTTGGGTCATGGTTCATGCCATGCCCATGCCGAGACGTGATACTTTGGAAGTGGCGAAAACATGTCGAAAAAAGCCTGAAAGGATCTGAAATGCCTTTGGGAATTCCATGATTTGGTACTGAAAGGTCTAGCTGTTGCTTTGGTTGGAAATTCTTCGTCGTTTTGAATGTCTGTTAAAGTTGATCACCTTCCGGCTTCGCTCTTCACTTCACTTGTGACAGGAGCACGGAAAGTAAATAATCCACATAGCTCCTCACTTGTAGGGCTGCTGCAACTGCTGCAACATTTGCCTCCAAACATGCAGGAATGGGATGAAACGGGACCTCAACGGAAGTTCGGGGGTGTTCTGAATAGCTAAAGAATGACTATTTCACACCAAATACATCCAGATACTCCGCAAATGTCCCGCATCTTCCCAAGAGTCTCGGACATTTCCAGGTCCTGCCTGGTCTGCCCCATTCGCACGCAGCAATCCGTCGGCGGTACTGATCTCCTCATTGGGAACGGGAGGCATGGGATGCAAATGGAATTGCCGCATTGCCACGACTCTCAACTGTCCCAACTGACTCAAGGCTGATTCAAGGCTGATTCAAGGCTGGTACGGTGAAGAGTGCCCGGGTGAGCAACAGTAAAAGGAGCAGAACCATGCAGAACAAGATTGTGCCGCCTGCATGCAAACGAGTTGAAGCCGCATACAATTCGGGGCATGGCTGCAAGAGATCTTTCAGAAGGAGTGTCCATCACTTCGTTTCACTTCGTCTCCCTCAGACTGCACGGCCTTTTACTTCAGCGGCTTCAGCATCTCTGCATCATTGGCTGTTGCCGGGACTTTGGTACATGCAAGCTTCGAATTAGCCAATGCTTCGTAGAAGTACCGAGATCAGCTAGGCTCGATGGCAGTGAAATATGCCAAGAATCTACGTGTATGCTATGTATGCTTGCACTTCACATGTCCGAGATTGCACGGCCTGGTGAAACCAAACATGCACCATGAACATAGCGCTTCCGCACCAATGCAGCCGAGACCGTACTTTTGGTCTCTGCTACACTGGACAACTGCCGCTCGTCCAATCAACTGTCATCTAGATAACACATAACGACAAACAAGAACAAACAATAGCAAGCATCAAGTTACAGCAAAGAGATGCTCAGAGGAACAAGCTGGCATCTTACGTTTACAGGAGTGATACAAAACAAACTGGCGTCAGAACCTTCATGATCTGAGTAGACTGCGGGCCTTTTCAAGAACATCCTGCGGAGGGTGAAATGGTGCAAGAGAAGTGCCGGCTGTCCATATTTCAAATATTTCAACATCAAAATAGCCTGATGGTCAAAGCTCTTGATATCTGTGAGAAACTTTGACCAAGTGGGCCTTTTTGATCTTTGGATAGTTTTCTGAGATCTTCAGGACGCTCTGGCAGATGTTGATGGCAGGGACGTATCCTGGAACGGAAGAGCAGATGCCAAAAGCCTTTGTACAAACTGTGACAAACCAAAACAAACGCGCAGAAACACAGGCAAATTGAGACGGAAGGCGCACAAGAGCCAAGTGGGAGTCTGCAGTGCTGCAGTTTTTCTGCAGGAAAAAAAAAACTGCTGCTTGCAGCTGTGATGCGTTTGGCTTTCAAGTAATTGAAGGCCAGACGGTAGCCTTAGACAAGGGAGCATCCTCCGCAGGGTCCCACCAGTCAGGCCAAACCCAACACGCAACTGGACCAACTGGGGCAACTGCCCACGGCAGGTGAAGCCTCGTTGCAGAACTCCCAGGCCTTTTCGTAGTGAGAAGCAGCGTCCTGCCGAGTCTGCAACGCTGCGGAGCTTCGGCCGTCCTGCCTGTGGAGAATGCTGTGGCTTTGGCCGTCCTTGTATGCCTGCTCCTTCTCATAGATCAAGCCTAGCTGCTCCCAGGCCTGCAACTTGAAGTGTCACATTCAGCCCTTAGTGCTGAAGTGCTGCTTTCTGAGTTTTAGTGCTGGGAAAGAACCTGCCTTGCCGCAAGATCGGTTGTGATCCTGTTCAAGGCAAAAGTGACTGCATGATACTAGATGTTCACAAAACAAGAAATGCCATGCAAAGTTAGATCAATTGACTTGCAAAAGGCGGTTCTGCATAGTTACAACCGTTTTATTTGCCGTGCCAACTCATGCACACACTGCCTTGGCCAAATGGCACAAAGACGATGCAAGGTCATACTTGGAGGACTGGATATAAATTTCAGCCAGCAAAAGCCAAGCTCTCCTGGGACAGAAACCCCAAAGTCATCTCTTGCATTGAGAATCTCTGCTGTTTGCGCAGTCATCTGTGCATGTGCTTCTTTTTGATCAGCCAAGGTGCTCAAAGTCATCCATAAATTCTGGGTTGTAACCTTAATCAAGCATGACTCGAAACAGGTGACATGATGTTTGCTTCCCCCGACCCCAGCGCCACTGGGCACCTAGCCTTTCTTGGCCAAGTCAGCAATTCTTTTGAGTTGGTTTCTTGCCTTTGTCTGCTGCTTCTGAATGATGAGGCCTCACGACATGCGAGCTCGGCACTTTGCAGCTACTCTGTATTTCTTTCAAGCTGTTCAACTTTCAAGAGAAATCACAGAACACGCCTTGAGACATTGCCAGTAGTGCCGGAATGTAATCCTCACACCAGAATTTCTGTTTGTGATTGTGTTAGGGTGTGTAGCACTATAGCATACTATAGCAGCGTTGTGTTTGATTTCGGTCCTTTTTGTCGTTGTAGATGTCCATCAGTTGGTTCAAGGCATGTTCCACATTTGTCTTTTGCTTGGTGAACATGAGGCTTTGGCACTGGTAGACCTGAAGAAACACTCTTCTACCACTGGCACAGCAAATGAAATGTGACTTCAAAGGCTGGTAAGCGCTTTGAAATCTTTCAAGCTCCTGCATGTTCATTGTTTTCTTTTACAATAGCCATGCCCGGGTTTCGAAATTGGAGCAGGCCTTCAGTCTCGGATTCCATGACTGCTTATTCACTTGACTGAGCTCCTTCAGCAAGTTGTCAACTTCCCTGAGGTTGTCCTTGGAACGGGCAGTGCTGGAATTTTCAATTTTCATTATATACAACTCAAAGCACGACAACTCCAAGCACAACAGTTGCCAAGGCCGCCAAAGCCGCCAAGGCTGCCAAGGGTCATTGAGCGGTTCTGTCGCGGGATCGAGGGCTTCCAAACCCGCATTGGGGTCTGGATTCAAATAGATCTCGATCATGTGAGTCAATGCTTCCACCCGAAAATCTGGATCTCGCCGTGCAAAGTTCAGCTCCACCAGGGCATCCTGTTGCTTGCTGATCCATCGATAGTAGGTGCCTCGACAAAAACGAAGACCTGCCTCACGGTCCGGTGATCTGGTGCAAGCCTGCAAGCTCGCAGGAGAGCCAAGGACATCGTTTCTACAGCCTGTTTCAGATTTAGAAAGAGTCATTCTCTCTCGGTAAATCTAGTAGTGCTTTTCTTGTCCATCCTCCACTTCCAGTATCTTCTAGTCTACTGTTCAGATTGCTGATGGCAGTGTGAATCAAACATGTTTGACATACTTCGTGTCACTGTCATCAAGTGAACTTCCCAGCCTTCTCGGCCGCTTGGATGTACTTTGGGGCATCACGAAGCCGCCCAGCACGACGAAGTAAGAAAATCAACTTCGAGAGAGCTGTGTAGTTGCCAGGCTTCTTTTCAAGCAGAGCCTGGTAATAGAAGGTTGCATCTTTGTATTCTTGTGCACCACCATCACTGCGACCACCCTGTGCTGCAAGCATCATGTTTAATTCAGCCATGAGCATTGATGCTTCCTCATTGGAAGGATCGACACGCAGGAGTGTCATCAGCTGTTTCTCACAAACTTCAAGCTCGTTCTTGTGAAGATGGATTCGAGCCAGAGCTAGGATGCTTTTTTCATGTGCATCATCATGCCGCAAGGTTTCTCCATAGTAGCCAACTGCATACTCCAAATTTCTTTCTCTTGTCTCGTAGTACTCCCCAAGCATGAAGTTCAAATCTGCACTCTCTTGCCGTAACGTCTTCAAGGTCTGCTCATCATCCACACGCACTTGCATGAGGAGCTCATTCAATAAATCTCTGGCTTGACGCAGGCATTCTGAGCATTGTGGAACAGCACCTGTCATGCCACCAGAAAGATTTGCGCGGCTATCTGCAAAGTCACTGTGGACCTTGGCCAATTGAACCAGGGTATCCACTCGGTATCTGGTTTTCTTGAAGCCTTCCTCCATGACAACTTGCAAAGCTTCCTCCAGCTCTCGGATTGCATCATCCCAGCGCTGCAATCGCCGGTACAACCTCGCCAAATCCTGTCGCAGCTCCTGTTGCTGTGCAGATGGCTTTTTCAAAGCATCATGGTAGTATTGAATGGCCCTCTCATAGTCATGGGTCTGCATCATAGCACTACCAATTTTGCGCACCAAACTTGGATCCTTGTGGCTGTCAATCTCCATTGCCTGTTGAAATGCAAGGATCGCATCAGCAGGTTCCTGAATGGAGAGGAGAGCATCACCAAGAATTAAGTAGTTCTGCACGGTCGGAGCATGATCAACAATGGCCTTGTAACATCTGGCATAGGCTTTCTTGTCCTTCCTGTGCTTCAAGTAGATGTCAGCCATCGCTGCTTTGGCCATGGCAAACTGCGGATGGTCTGGCTTCATGGTTCGCAGCATGTTGAGTGCTTGATCAATTTCGCCCTTCTCAATCGCCAACTGGCTGTTGGCCACAAGGATCTTTACTTCCTCTGGCGTTCCAGCAAATTCCGCAATGGCTGTCTTCACGATTTCGCTAGCTTGATCCAGTTGTTTCAATTTGGTGAGCAGGCTGATGTGCAGAGTGAACAAAGCACAACGATCTCCCTGGCTCAGCTGAACCGCTTTGCCCTTGGCATCGCTTTTGACACCAGGCAGTGCCATGGCAGACTCCAGGAGTTTGGACGCTTGCTCCACCTCTCCGGCAGATGACAACACCTCGGCCTTCACCAAGTAATATAGGGGATGGCTTCTCACGCTGAAATCATGGCTCAGTCCCTGCTCCAAATATTGCAATGCCGCATTTTGCTGATCTTTCTGATGATAGATCCGGGCCAGCAGAAGGTGGGTATCAGCAGAACTTGGATCCAAACGCAGGCATTGATGCAAGATGCGGGTGGCTGCATCAACCTCATTGAGAGCCACCTTCGCTTTCGCCAGCAGCACCTGAACAGGGAGAGATACAATCAGAAAGCCCAAGGTTGCCGAGACATTCTCTTGTCTCCTACTAGATAATCTAGATAGTATGTCGAAAATGTATTGAAAATGTGGATGTTGATAAATACTGGGTGATATTGTATGCTAGTGTGCAATATTTAAATTGTCGGATGGTACATACAGCCTGGACACTACTTCAACCGCCGGCACAATTCAGGAGCATCCTCCATGTTTGGACCCCCACAATCGCCTGTGCAGGCACCAACCCTGGCACAAAGCGCGTCAAGGTCTCCAGCACCTGCACACCTCGTAGGAGGTATCCCCCAGGCTTGGCCGCGTCATCCGTGCCACCCGAAATGGTGTGCTGCAAATACTCCCGGGCAATTTCCAACATGAAATCCGCATTCAGCTTGATGAAAAAATCATAGCCTACTGCCGACTTGAAATTGGTGATGTGTAAGGTGAGGGTTTCGTTCAGAAGGTTCAGTGCTCCCTCTGCATCCCTGCGCTTGCGCCAAGCAATCAAAGATTGCAAGAAAGCCAGATCTGGGGACTTCCCCACCGAGATTTGAATCTCGCTCAAGAATTCCAGCTGTTCCTCTGCATCGTCCAGACTGCCTTCCTGAACCCGGCAGTTGATGATACCGAACAGGGCCCGCACATCAGTCTCATCTTTGGCAACTGCTGCATGGAAGGTTTGCTCAGCCTTTGGTAGTTCACCTTGCATCATATACTGGTAGCCCAACTCGGTCAAATATTTGGCCCTTTCAGGTACGGCATCTGTAACCCTCTTCATCATGTTGAAAGTGATGTTGAGGATTGCTTTGTGGCGACCCGCCAAACGTGAGAAGAGTTGTGCACACGACAAGGTGAGATCATGATTCCTAGGCTCCAGTTGTTGTAAAGCTGTTACCAACTCCTGAAGTCTTTCTGCAGCTTCTTCACATCGAGATTCCCTGGAGAGCAGAAACAAGACATTCAGACGCAGAGCTTCGATGTTGTTGGCTTCTTGTTGTTGAAGTCGGCCAGCAGCTTCTAAAGCCTGATCCCAGTCTGCTGTCATCATCAATGCTTTGGCCTTCTCGACAAGAGCTGGAAGGAACCAGTCGTGGATCACAATGACTTTGTTCAAGGCATCGAGAGCTTGTACCCATTGACGCTTCCCTTCTAAGACCTTTGCCTTTCCCATCAAAGCATCCAAGTTCTCAAGCTCTGCACCGCTACCACTGGCGTTGTCGAAGTACTGCGCGCACCTGTCAAAGCAACATGTCATTTGTTCGGCATGCTGGGCCTGTGTTCAAGAAGCGAGGAAAATGTTTGAGTTGGCCTTTGCAAAGCAAAAAAAACATAAATAATATCCAGAAGTGCGTTTAGCTTTAGCTGCGGCTAAAGCACTGATCCAGAAAGGCAATGGAGGTTTTGCCACTTGCGGCATTGGCCTTCTTGCCTGCTACAAAGCCATTCCAGCCACGTGCGGAGTTTGCAGCCGGGCTTTCAACACCATCTAAGGTGTTTAGGACCTGCCACAGAGTGCTCATCTTCGGGAATTGTGGCGGGTGTGACAGGCACTATCCAAAAATATGGACGCATACCTTTCCGTTCAATTGGACTCATCTTCGGGATGCACAAGATGCGCAGCCCAGGAGTCTCTGCAACAAGCAACTCAATCCATCCAATCAGAAAACTGTTGAACAAGAAAAACTATAGCTAAATGACTAAATGAACTGATGTTAAGTAAATTAACTAAAATTAAGTGAGTTAACTAAATCGACTTATGTACTTTCTGCAAGTGATGATACAGCCAGATACAGCCAGATCGCCCTTGGATTATCCCATGAGCCTCCTGAGCCTTCTCCACTTCTCCAACCATGGTGTAGAAGCGGGCCGTTAAGACCTGATCCATGGATATCATGGATCCATTCAGGGGTCTAGGAATCCAAATCCGCCCATGCGAACCATGGGTTTTCATGGCTTTGGGCTTTGGGTCAAAAATCTTAGACTGTGGGAACCACAGGTGTTGGGTCGTTTCTGCTACAAGAAATAGATGACATGGGCCAAAATCATCAACACCCTAAAATGGATGACTCGATACTAAAAACAATTTTGATCTTTAATCATCCACGGCCAAGCGCACGACTCTGGAGTTTTCCGGCGCATGGTGCAACTCCTGCGATCGGCGCAGGTTCATTTCGCGCACCTCAGCGCTATCATTGTTTCGTGTTTCGTCACGCTGATGTGGCGGAAGTTGAGGGTTTGAACCGGAACTGGTTTCCTGTATATAGATGGATGCAACATGAATTGCAAACAGATTGAAATCCTGGGATTAAGATGGCCATGTTTTTTTCCATTCAACACTGAGGTGCTGCATCTTGATCCACAGTTGCCAACTGCTCATGGAAGAATGCAAGAGCGCTAGCGAACGGAAGGCCCATATCGCCTAGGAGGTCCAGCAGGATTCAGGGAAGCCTATGGATGTCGGACATTTTGAACCTGGACGCATCTGTTGAACATCGTCATTACTGATAAGCAATCTGGCAATAGTCCCCAAGCTTGCAGTTTGGTGAAAATCTGAAAGACGTCCAAGGTACGCTTTCCAACACAGGACTCTGCTTCCAAAATAGCTTCTCGAGTGCTGCCCTCGCAATGCAAAGCATAGGCCTCATAAAGATCCGCAAGCACAAACAGTTGTCGTTCTTTTCCAAAAGTCACACCGTTGCATCTGCCAGGTTCTGTAAAAGGCTCTGTCAGTGATCAGAATTAGCACCACTGTCAAATTCCTATGATGCTCATTTTTCTTGCAGCTGCACTTGACCATGCCAGTCCTGCCAGCCCCTGCCCTGCCTTCCACAAGTGGAGGGGCACATCGTTGGACCGTCTAGCCTCTTGGTCACAGATAGTCTGGGCCTTGTTGTAGTATCCTTCTCCTTAGTTTGGGAGTGTGCGGAAGAGGAAAAGAAACAAACTCCAAAATCCAGCAGCAAAGTCATCCATCCTTCTGTGCAGCCAAAACGCTGGCATAGTACTGGGCAAGAGCCTGCAGGTATTCAAAGAAGCGAAGAAGGTACGTTATATGAAGATATGGTCGTTTCAGTGCTCTGGTTGAAACCTGCCTGCGCTTGCGAAGTCATCGCAGCGTTTGCCAATGCCACTACTAGGCTATATGCCTGGTTTGCTTGATTTTGTTGTCCTTCAAGCTAGTCTATTGGAGCCAGTGCTACTGTAACGTACCCTACTCAAATCTGCGAAACTTCTGGCTTAGGACTTGCTTGCAGATTTCGTGTCTCCAGTTGATTCCAGGCTAACCACCCGTCCCAAAAACAGCTGCACGGTTTGGGCATGACTTCTTCTCATTCACCGAAGCTGGAGCCAAAAATCAACAGACGGTCCTGACATGTCCAGACTGCTAATGGAAATGGCGTACAACCGCGCATCCATTTCTAACCTTCATGGCCTATCCTAGTCTAGGTCTAGGTCCAAACAGTGTCAGACGATGGCTGTATCTGCTCTGCTCACCAGGCCTATCACTAAGCAGAGAAACGTCAGCCGAGGTCTACCTGAACAAGACAGGACGTACTTGTGATGTGCATGATGGGGTCCAATGTCCTAGAATGTACATGCTAAAATCATGATGCAGATATGGCAGCCACGCTTATCATCTATGATGATCCATGATCTATAATTCAACATTGCACATTCTTGAACATCTCTATATATATACTATCAAGCGGTTCAGTTTGCCAAAGAGTCCAGCAGCCTTTGGTCACTTTTCGATGTGTATTGTGTGCTTGGAGCATGACGTCCGCTGCCTGCGGCTTTGCCCACACTGGTCAGTTTGCTAATCATCTTAGCAAACAGCTTGTCAAAACGTCAAAACAGAAGAGCCATGAACATCATGAACAGCCTGTCTTTCATCCCGCCTCTTCATATGTCAGGGTCGTCCCCTTGCCTCTGGCCTACAAAAAAGCCACAGAGCGAGGGAAAGAGAGCAAACATGAACAAACCTGAGAGGAAAACCTTGCGAAAAAAATCATTGATCTGCAGGTGATCTCCAATCACTCCCTCAAGAAACACACGGATCAGTCACGGATCCCGCCTCTAGAAGCGAGCACAATGCGACAAAGGCTGCATCAGGTACTGGCCTAAACCCGCTGGGAATACATGTCTTATCATGTGTTTGTTTCAACGTGCAAACCTATCCGGTCCTAAACCTGTCCCACCCAGCAAATTTGAAAAAGATATAAAAAGAGTGAAGCACACTACAGAAATGCTCAAGAATCTGTGGTTGCAGCTGTGCAGGCGTCCGCATTTCAGACGGCATGGCCAGCCTGTGATCATCTCCTGCGCAAGGACAAATTCCATGCGACCGGCGATGACCAGCGACAGCACTCTACCCGGTGGCCTTCCGGAGAGCCATCTGGCATCGCGGCTCGATGCGTTTTAGGACACTCTGAACATGATATAATGCTACGAATCTGATGATGAGAAATCTATGGAAATCTCATATGATCTGCCACTACCTGGTTCAGTCAAGGCGTTGGGCCAGTTCATCCCGAGTGCACTTATTTACAAGATCTCGCAAGGATGCTTGTGTAAAATCTGTTTGCGAGCGGTGAGGGCAGGCTGATGACGCATTTGACTCATGCCACCGCTGTCATGCTGTTTCTTGAACCAATGCTAGCCGGCGTGCGAGACTGCTGTTGTGACTCGATGTGCTCAGATCAGTGGCAGCAGGGTCCATGCAGGTTCTGTCTCCAAAGCATGCAGCCGACAATGGGGATGATACCATCTCCCACACAATCACTTTGCCAGTTGGGGTCAGCCCCCAGACCTCAGCATAAAAACTTTGCAGAGAGCCAATTCATCTGTCATGTCAGAGCTTGAATCCGTCAAGAGAGTTTCAGTCATTCAACTTCATTCCACCATTGCTGGTTGGTGGCTTCAACTCAACGATGAAAAATGTTGATCATTGCCAAGACTTTTCCAAACAGGGCAATATATATATATATATTATTCATATATATATAATTTATAATATATATATGTATATATATATATATACACATATAATTTATATTATGTATATTATAGTATATATATATATATATTGTTTCTATTACATATCATATATATATATATACATATATTATTTATATATATATTATTCATATATATAATTTACAATATATATATATACAATTTATATCATATATGTTATATTATATATATTTATTGTTTCTATTACATGTCATATATATATATATATATATGTATACATATATTATTTATATATATATTATTCATATATATAATTTATAATATATATATATACAATTTATATCATATATGTTATATTATATATATTTATTGTTTCTATTACATATCATATATATATGCATATATTGTTTATACATATTTATTATTCATAGATATAGTATATATATATATGTCTACACTATATATATATATTAAGGCAAAGCTAAGGCAAAGGCTGAGGACTCGGAGCACTGCACATCTTTGAACCTTTCACTGCTTCCGCTGCTGCCAAGCCTTGACTCTGCTATTGATGCATATTGATGCCATTCCGACACAGCACGGCCAACGGATCCCACGGTCAAACCTTGTCTCCGTCTCATCCTTTAGCAAAAGTTGACGAGGCGGAGCATATTGCCTTCGGCATTATCATTCAGTTGAGAAGTTCTGGCAAGCAAGTATTGAAACAAAAGCGTGACAACAGACAAACGCTGACAAACGCTGACAAACGCTGACAAACGCTGACAAACGGCCTGCCCTTGCCATCTTTCTTCAAAGTTGAGCCCCACCTCAAATCCCCATCCCCTTGAAAAGCGCACTAATTTTTGGCAGTCCATGCTTCCTGTCCATTCAGGACCGACTGAGCAACCCACAAATAGATTTCCTGGGACTGGCACCAGAAAATAGTAGGATCTCCCTACTTTGTCGTTTCGGAATCGTCCCCTCTGGACGTACCGGTCCACAAGTCCAGAAATTAAGGTCGGGAAATCCGAATGATTCTTTCTACATGGCACTCTCAAAACTTGAAGATGCACTAAGCTAGCAGGCAAGACGTTTAAAACCCAATGAGGAACAAGTTGCTCCAACTGACTTAAACCCTGTTTTTCTTGAATCGGCTGATGCCATCATGTTTCACTGGCAATACTAAAGGCATCTAAATGATTCTAAAGGCATATTGAATAAGAACCGCAGAAGCCAAGGAATTACTGTCTAGACTCCTTCTTTTGGTTGCTGAAGGAGCATATACTATCGGAACTTTCAAGAGTTGTCTCAGGTGGGATGGCAAAGGAAGGGGTGGAAGCAGATGCTTGTAGGTAAAATAAGATGTAAAAGATTGTAAAAGTCTCAGTGACGCAAAGCCTGTGCAGCTAAGCTTCCCCGGAGTCTGTCCGAGAGACACCAAAGCTCGGGCCAAAGCTCAATTGCTGCCATTTGCAGTTGTTCCTTTAAGGTTCAGCACCATTTTTTTTGAATCATCGATAAGGACTCAGCATTGAGATCAGGGCTGCTCAGCAAATTGTGCGAACCATGGAACCTGAATCGAAAATCAATGTCAGAGCTGTCAGAGTCAAGTTGGAGCTTGGCCATGTTTCAGCAGTCAGTCTGTACCTTTCTTCTTTCTACTGCTGAAATGTCTGTTGCCTCTGTTGGTGACTGCACGTTTGTCTCGGGCACTCGATCGTTTGTGCCCTGCAGCAGAGCCCAGTCAACAAGTGATAGGACGACGCTGATGAATTTGATGATTCTACGTAGTTATAGCATTGAAGGATATTGATGGTGATGGTGATGGTGATGATGGTGGTGGTGATCATGGTGATCATGGTGATCATATCATGATGGTGACTGTGACTGTGAGTGGGAGTGGGACGATCTTGGGTTTCTGCTGCTGGTGACTTCCGTCTACCTGCAGCAATGGCCTCACACGCTGGCCAGCATGCGCGGTTGCCCCAAACCTTGCGCAAGCAGCAAGGACTGAACTCAAACTTACCACATTTCTGCACTCTCATTTGCCAGCGTGTGAATTATAGGGTACTGCAACTGAGCTTGCAACAAAAACACGAGAACCGCTTGACTGCATTCCCGGCTGACATTTATTCCAGGAGTGCACCTGCAATGGTACAGACATAGAGGCATTTTTCTGAAGAAATAGTTCCACGCTCAAGTAGAGCGACATTCCAAACTAATCCAACCTGAGAAGGGGGGAACGAAAGTTAGCATCCCATCTACCCCTATTTTCCATCATACTTTCCACCCAGAGACTCTTCAATACATTTCACCCATATACGTTTCACCCAGAAATTCTTCACCCAGAAACTCTTCTTGCACATACTTTTCGCCCAGATACTTTTTACCCAGAAACTCTTCACCCAGAAACTCTTCTTGCACATACATTTCACCCATATACTTTTCACCCAGAGATTCTTCACCCAGAAACTCTCCTTGCACAGACTTTTCACCCAGAGACTCTTCAACCAGAAACTCTTCTTGCACATACTTTTCACCCATATACTTTTTACCCAGAGACTCTTCACCCAGAAACTCTTCTTGCACATACATTTCACCCATATACTTTTCACCCAGAGACTCTTCACCCAGAAACTCTTCTTGCACATACTTTTCACCCATATACTACTTTTCACCCAGAGACTCTTCACCCAGAAACTCTTCTTGCACATACTTTTCACCCATATACTTTTCACCCAGAGACTCTTCACCCAGAAACTCTTCTTGCACAGACTTTTCACCCATATACTTTTCACCCAGAGACTCTTCACCCAGAAACTCTTCTTGCACATACTTTTCACCCATATACTTTTCACCCAGAGACTCTTCACCCAGAAACTCTTCTTGCACATACATTTCACCCATATACTTTTCACCAGAGATTCTTCACCCAGAAACTCTTCTTGCACAGACTTTTCACCCAGAGACTCTTCACCCAGAAACTCTTCTTGCACATACTTTTCGCCCAGATACTTTTTACCCAGAAACTCTTCACCCAGAAACTCTTCTTGCACATACTTTTCACCCATATACTTTTCACCCAGAGACTCTTCACCCAGAAACTCTTCTTGCACATACTTTTCACCCATATACTTTTCACCCAGAGACTCTTCACCCAGAAACTCTTCTTGCACATACTTTTCACCCATATACTTTTCACCCAGAGACTCTTCACCAGAAACTCTTCTTGCACATACTTTTCACCCATACACTTTAACCCACTCTTCACCAGAAACTCTTCTTGCACATACTTTTCACCCATATACTTTTTACCCAGAGACTCTTCACCCAGAAACTCTTCTTGCACATACTTTTCACCCATATACTTTCCACCCAGAGACTCTTCACCCAGAAACTCTTCTTGCACATACTTTTCACCCATATACTTTTCACCCAGAGACTCTGCACCCAGAAACCCTTCTTGCGCATACTTTTCACCCATATACTTTTCACCCAGAGACTCTTCACCCAAAAACTCTTCTTGCACACCCATATACTTTTCACCCAGAGATTCTTCTTGCCATACTTTTCACCCATATACTTTTCACCCAGAGACTCTTCACCCAGAAACTCTTCTTGCACATACTTTTCACCAATATACTTTTCACCCAGAGACTCTTCACCTAGAAACTTTTCTTGCACATATTTTTCACCCATATACTTTCACCCAGAGACTCTTCTTGCACCTACTTTTCACCCATATACTTTCCACCCAGAGACTCTTCACCCAGAAACTCTTCTTGCACATACTTTTCACCAATATACTTTTCACATCTTTTCACCCAGAGACTCTTCACCCAGAAACTCTTCTTGCACAATTTTTTCACCCATATACTTTTCACCTAGAGACTCTTCACCCAGAAACTCTTCTTGCACATATAATGGTCCCACATCGGAGCCTCAATTTTCCATTGTGTTTCCATCCCATCAATTTCCGTCATTTTACTCTTATTTTACTTGGCATCATTTTGATCCCACATCAGAGCCGCAATTTTTCCAATGTTTTTTCCATTGTTTTTCTCCACTTCTTCATCATAGTCCAGTCTCTCAATTTTTCCATTGCTTTCCCATCGATCCACGTCGACGCCATAGTTTCTTTTCATTGCTTTTCCATAGTTTTACTCGACACCATTTTCCCCTTCATTCCAGTCTCCCCAGTGTTTTTTTCACAGTTTTTCCTCCAGTTTTACTCAATCGTCTTTCTTCCATGGTTTTCTTTCCGTGCGTCTACTCCATAGTGGTCACACATCAAAACTGCAATTTTTCCATTGCTTTTCCAATGTTTCACGCGTGCTTTACGTGACCTGGCATCATTTTACCCGCTCCTCATTGTTTCCACCAATTTTCCTCGCTTTGCAATCAATTTTCGAAACATTCCACTCCAATTTTCCATTGCTTTCCCATTCATTTGTTCATTGTTTTTCCCATATTTTATGCTATCAATTCATCTTTCCGTTTCATCACTTTTCACAGTGTTTTGCCATGGTGTTACTCGATTTCTTCAGTGTGTCTAACGCTTACCCAAATGCACCTTCCACAATCCCTACAGTTGCACCGTATAAACGGTTTTGCTCGTTTCTTCCATGTTTTTTTTCTGTGCTTCTACTCCATAGTGGTCACACATCGAAACTGCAATTTTTCCATTGCTTTTCCCTTGTTTCACGCATGCTTTACGCGATAATGGTCCCACATCGGAGCCTCAATTTTACTTGGCATCATTTTACCCTCTCCCTATTCTTTCCACCGTTTCTCCTCGCGTTTTAAACAATTTTCCAAGCGTTCTACTCAAATTTTCCATTGCTTTCCCATTTTTTTCCATTGTTTTATGTCAAAGTCCCTCCTTTTTTCCATTGTTTTTCTCATCATTTTCCCCTCCTTTCCCATTTTTTTCCCATTGTTTTATGTCATATTCCCTCATTTTTTCTATTGTTTTTCTCATCATTTTCCCCTCCATTGCAATCTGCCCAGATCCACCTCGGAGGGCGGACCAGGGGGGAATCGATACCCCAACGTCACCCAATTGCCACCTGGTACATAACCCTAAAAAAGTTTACCTGTGGCCACCTTTTTTACCACCTAATTTCCTCATTTTTGTCCCTCTCGGGGCGCTCTGCCCCCAGACCCCCTTAACTCACTTTGTTCGCAAAAATAACTTCGCCTAGCCTAGCGGCTGGCTTTCGTGAAAATGTCTACTTGATTCTATTCGCTGAGTCACCGTGAAGTCCTCCTCTTCTTCATCTTCGTCCTGTCGCAATGCATTCCCTGTTTTCCCAGTGCCAAAATCAGCGAAAATCTGCACCTCTTCCTCCAGGAGTAAGTGCCCGCTGCTCAACAGCAAAGATAGGCCTGTCGTTGCAGGGGTTCAAAACCCTGGGCTCTGGTAAACCCGGTGCTGGGATTCATGCCAATTTATGGCAATTTATGGATGATGTTCATCCCCTCAAAATATGACCCAACTATTTCTGAGAAATTCTTGTGATTTTTTGGACTGACCTCTTGGCTGTCTCGCCTCCTGCACCAAGAGGAAGGAATGCTTTCCCATGTGCCTCGCACATCTGCAAGCTGATACTTTCAAGATCTGTCAGTTGAACAATAAGTTTCTCTTGGTCTCTTGGCTGTCCCACAAGGATTGTAGAGTGAACGACAACTGAAGGAAACATGTTATGGTTTCTGAATCAAACGAATGCTTGCCGAGTGCTTCACAGCTTTGACAGCGAAATACAACAAGAATCAACAAGATACAATAGAATAGAACATGCCTCTTAAAAATTCTTTGGGTATGTGTATCTGATCATACTCTCAGAGCCAAACCCTGCTGCTTGGAGCAGGACACTGACCGTGACACTTCACTCTCGCATTGCCTCAGTCGACCCGACATATCAGCAGCGGTCAACGGCTCTGTATTCGTTTCTGAGGTCTGGGACGTGTGATGATGGCCAGGTGTCTACACCAACACCTGCCAAGCTTGGCTACTCAAAGAAAACATCCAAGGCTTCCACAAGATCTGATGGCGCACACAGTACGCACTACGCACATTCGAGAAGGATATAGAAGGTGAAGTATGGCAGTGAGCCCTCTTAAAACTATCAAGTCGGAATCTAGTCCACAGATAGCCTGGCAGCCGTCCCCGACCCATGCAACATCCAGGTCACAACCCTCGAGTCGGAAGCGTGGACATGACTCAAACAGAGTCATGCTCAAAAATCTGGCCTGAGTGGTTGAAGTGTCCGCACCCACACCATGGAGGTGCCAAAAAGCACGCTGAGTGCAAAATCGCCGTTGGTAAAATCATTCCGTAGCTGTGTTGAATGGCAACCAGAGGGGTCCAACAATATCCCCACTTCTGAATGCATCTAATTCCCTTCTTCCTGGTTTCCGGAATTCTTGGAGTACCAATGAATGCTGCATGAGTTGTACGCACCAATTTCAGCAACGTGCTGCATATTGTGTGTAGGCGTCTTGTCCCAAGCTCTTGGAAACAATGGACAAATAACTGGCCCAGGAACCCGCCTTGGTGCTACAAATGGCCGCAGCTTGAGTCGAGCAAGTTCCAAATCCGAAATTGGCGGGAGCTTAAAAGCAATTCATCGGATCCAACCCACCAAGCGATGCGCTCAGCACCATCTTTAAATCTCTAAATTCTAAACGATAGTCATCCGCATCACTGAAGCGATGCACTCAGCAGGCCATACGGTATCAACTTGCCTTGGGCGAAGTAGGTCGAAGTGCAGTCTTGCAAAACAAACTATGCCAGTTCACACGGCTGCGTTCATCCGAGATTCTGGAGTCAGGTGATGGGTCATCGGAACTGTGCTGTGAAATTACAGCACAAAATTGGGGGCCCGTAGAATCTCATATGGACACGTGAACTGCAATCAACTCCCAATGTCTAACAAAGCAGGCAGGTGACCCGGAATGAGAATTGCCCCAGCAGCTGCAAGCGCAAGAGCAGCTGCAGCCGCTTCTGCAGGTGATGCACTTGGTTCATCGTCGAAGTCTTCACGAGGCGGCATGGGATTCTCCCTGCAAAGAAAACGACGGTGGCAGCCAGAGATGCTTCGATCTTCTACATGGCTTACACAAACTTCTCACCGGCATCCACAAAACTGCTTGTCTACAGCACTTCCACCTTCCACCTTCTTAGGGGAAGGCGGAGCACCACCAACAAGACTGCTTCGAACTTGTGTCGTTTTGTAGAATTCAAGGCTCGAGTGACTCAAGAACTTAAGAATCCCCTTCTGGAAACCTGCCTTGATGCGAAAAATCTGGCAGCCCAGGCGAAAAGTGCGGTTGAGCAGACTGTGGCGTTGGCATTGGGGCCCAGCCGTTCCACTGCACCGAGAAGAAGAAGTACGCCGGTGCAAAGCCTTCAAGACAGGCAACAAAAGAAAACATGGCAGTTTCAATGCATTTGTTTTGCTAAATTACTTGTGTTCTGAACCCTGAACCCTCAATTCAGTGTGATCTTTGGAGTTCATTCTGACTTCGCAAACATTTTCAGTCGAGGCTCTCCAGTAGTTGCAGTGGTCGCGGTCCAAATAGAAACCTCACAATTCGAAAGCTGCTTTACAAATGCCAGCAGGCAGCGTACAAAGCAGTTCTTTTCAATCAAGTCAATCTCTCTATATATATATATACACATATAAATTGTATTTTCCCATCTCAGTCCAAGCACTATGGCTGTTCAGTCTCTCATTTAACAGCGAACTTTGCATCAAGAATATGGGCACACACTGTCATCGCCACCCTCTATCCATTCGGTCAGCCCACCTTGCCAGAAGATGTCCATCAAAGCCGCGCAGTGGCAGCAGCTGCACAGCTTGCGTTGTCAGCGCAAGGCTGCCACTCAGCAGAAGTGGATCTACCCTGGGAAACGAATGAAACGAATGAAACGAATGAAATGAATAGGAAGAAAATCTGAAGCAAAATGAAAAGATGGGAGAAGGCGACAGTAAGAGTTCAACGATGATCTGCAGACAATGCCCCAGTAATTCATGGTGTTTGCGGTCCCGAAACATTTCGCAACGACATATAATATATATATATATATATACGGCAGGGGGAGGAGGTTCCCCGAGAGGACGTCAATCAGGATCATTGAATTGGAGAAAAAACAGTGTTTCACTGTGGTAAAATGGAGATTTTTCATGTCGTTCTTTTCATTGTTGATGTCTTTCAATTACGGAGCATTTTTTTTTCGTCCGTCGAAGTTGAAGTCAATTATGGACCATCACAATATGTTTTTTTTGGTGTTCTTATTTTCTCCATTGGAATTACGAGGTGCGCATTTTGTGCTATATCAAAGATCATTGGAAAAGGGTATAATATACTGTGTTTCCACAGGTATTTTGATGTGATGTTGTTTTTCATTGGTAATTCACAGTGATTTTGCATATCATCAAAATTTCCGAGTGCTGTGAGTCAGCTGTTTTTTCTGTTTTTATACAAAAGCATTAGTACAAGACATATCAACCACTATAGAAGGCACAAACCCGACCAATTCAAATGTTATTCTATGCAACAAGATACCATCGTAGAACATTAAAATAAAATACAACGATGGTGGTACATTATGTTATGATACCGATACATTTTGTTTGATTGGGATAAATCGTTTTTACACCCCACCCCATCACGCAAGTTACATGAACGTTTCTACACCCCACCCCTTCACGCAAGTTACTGAACGTTTTTACACCCCCCCCCCCCCCCCCCCCCCCCCCCCCCCCCCCCCCCCCCCCCCCCTTCCCCCCGCATGACTCATGCATGACAAGTACAAGAGAACTTCACTAGCGTAGCATGACGTATGCGTTACAAGTACAAGTGATAACTTAACTAGCGTAGCATGACGTAGACGTCACAATTACAAGAGAACTTACACTAGCGTAACATGGCATATGCCTGAGAAGTACATAACATGACTTTAGAATGACCGTAACATCCACGTAGCATGCACGTCGCCTCCAATTCTACGCAAGTTACATGAACGTTTTTACACCCCACCCCCCCCACCCCCACCCACCCACCCCTTTCACGCAAGTTACCTCGAAACGGTATTACACCCCCCACCTCCACCCTTCCCCCCTCGGGGAACCCCCGCCCCCAAGGGTATATATATATATATATACATACATATATATATATATAGCAAACAAAGCAAGTTATGAATGCTGCAGTCCGTGCATTTCTGTCCCATTTGCTGCCAAAACGCGTCACCTTTGCAGGCACAGGGGCTGCAGCTTCACCGCTACTCAAGCTCAGCACAGTTTGCACTGCATCTTCAGGAAATGAATCGCCCAAGAGCTGTGCAAGCAGCAGTGGCAGCCGAGTCACCTTGAAAAGCTGTGCAAAAACGGCCAGAGTCCAATGCTCAGAACCAACAGAGCTTGTCGTAGTCTGTCCAATGTGCAGTCCATGGCATCTGTTTTGGACAATGCCACACACGGCACGCGTCCAAAATGAAACCGAGTCTCTTCAAGAACTATGAGACCGTCAGAGGCATCCCCGCGAAGAACTCCAGCGAAACACAGGAGCAGAGCGGTTGCAAAGCCAGCGTATGAACCAGCTAAAGCCACGTCTACTTCCGTCTTTCGAGAGGGTGAAAGCCTCAGATCACTTCAGTTGATATGGAATAGCATTGTCACATTGTCTGCCATAAAATGGCCAAGGCGACTAAGTTCACTAAGGTCTCAACCCTGAAATGGACCAAGTCCGTCCAACAGTGCCCAGGCTTGAAGATGGGATGAAGTAACCACCACGAATCTTGGCGCCATTCTTTTCAGCTGCCTTCCCTCTTCCAAAACCCTGGACAATGAGCATCAACAACAGCCCAGCACCCACTGGAACAACACCATCTGGGTCAAGGCGTGTCACAGCTACACCCAACATGGGGCTGTAGGTGACCTCTTCCACGGATTTGTTCAGAAGTGCGTCACTGCGTTCGCCGTTCAGCGACCCCACTGCTGCGGCAATGATGTTGCAAAACGCGGCGGTCGCTGCGAGAGAAGTTCCAATAAGAATGCGCCTGCTTCAAGAAGTTGCTCGACTTCTACACTGGTAATTATTACTGAGCACCACATGACCATAAGAATCTTGAAGAAATCTTGCAGGAAAAAAGTGTAACTTGCTTCAAATTGTATGTTTGCGCTTTCGATTGTGAGTGGGGGGGGCATCCGCTCTCACAAGCTTCATCAAGTGCCAAGCCTGAAATTCCCAGAGCCTTCTTCAATTGGCAGGTCGGAAGTGCGAAATACCAACAAAGCAGCGGGATACTCCTGCGTGGAACAGGCAAATACAGTAAGTCTCCGAATCAAATAGATGGAGAAGAGGCGTCAGTGGATATTCCCGCTAATGTTGGATTTTTTTTGCGTGGTTTTAAGGCCCTGGAAACTCTGTGAATAAAGCACCCAGGATGGAGGAAATGCTCTTCTGGAGGCATGATTTCACTAGGAACTGGAACTCCGACAAAGGACACTAACAATGACAGAATCACAACTGCAAGCCACCATCCGTTCCAGTTCGTTCCAGGCTTTTTGCTATGGACTTGTGAAGCCAAATAACAACTTTGAACATTTCCGGTGGATAATCCGGCATTTTATCATGGCATCAAGCCGTGCCACGCCTTCGCCGAGCTGACTTGGGCAGGATCAAACTCCCCCTTCCGCCACAAGCTAAAACTCGGAGCTGGAGGCGGCCGCTCGCGCTGCAAAAACACCTCGTCATCCGACAAATCCTGTGTAATGTGGTAAACCCAATGCCATAAACCATCTCCAAAATCACCACAACTGGGTGCTATAAACGATCCCCAAATGGGAGGTTTATTACTAGGTTTCCCTGTTGCAACCTGTGTGTTTCCAATACATGTTCCTACTCCATGACCCTTCCCAGACTTGACAAGACTATATGACCACACACACCCACTCATCAATTCAAGGTCATCAAGTCGTCAAGCGGACGAGACACCTGGTATTTGCCCTCCCCATAGCAGCGATCGAGCGAAGCTTGTCGCTGCTCCACAAATATTCGGGGAGTGCCCAGGCCACCAATATCTTGCCTTACAGTTGGCAACGGCAAGAATAAGAATCTAATCTTAAAGAACAAAACTATCAGAGATCTGGGGTTGTCTGAAAATAGAGTCACCCCAAATCTATCCAAATCTGATGATTTATCATCGTTTTCCCAACTAAACTTGTTAGTTTGGGGGGGTAACCGCATTTTCAGACACCGCCATCATCTATGAACAAGATACCCCATATGCTCCTACGACCAAGCTGCGCTAATTTGAACGAGAAATGTTTCAAACTCAGGGCGAGTTGCGCAAGCAGCCCTCGCACGACCACGCAACGGCCGACGTTCAAATCTGGGCAGGTCCCAAAGGCGATGCAGTCATGGCTAAGTCAGATTTGATCTGTAGATATCAAGTTCAGGTTTATATAGGTCTTGAATAACCATGTTGGATTGATGTTTTGTTCATTTCAATGTGTTTCGCAGATCCAGCACATAACATGAAACCAAACCATACAAGGCATTGGCATTGAAACCCTATGCACCGAAAGAAAGGCCACGTGCGATGCAGAAAAAGTTATGGAGAGCGCGGAACCAACAGGTAGGCGAGTAGTGTGGAAGAGGGGGTGAACATGGAGAAAAGCACACATGTTGGTAAGCTGGTCATGGACATGAAGTCACTGAAACCAATAGATCCAGTTGATGAGAAAAGAACCTTCCAGACATGCACAAAGTCTTGATCTGTCCATGGCACTGCCCGTCATGGTGAATCCGCTACCAGGCAAATCCAGCGCATCCCGCACATCACTGGGCTCTGGAAGCTCTCCTCGTGCCTCGCAGTGGCCATAGACTTCCAGCGTTCCAAGGTGGGGTATCTTCAATCAATTGGAGGGGAGGAATGATGGATGTGGAAGCAAACTTGTTTTCTGCCCAAATCAAGTAAAATCCGCTTGGAAATACAAGAGGTGTGCTTTTACGCCCTCCGTTAGCTCTTTGATTTGTTCCCATCCCTTACTTATTGGTCCCAGTTTCAGAGATCTTCTTTATGTAATTTTTGATGAATGGCAAGGAGAACATCATGAGCAATGCCTATTGCAAGTCTAAACCGGTTTCGGATCCATCAATGAAACACCAAATCAAAGGAACCAGCCCAAAAAAACGATAAGCCCAAAGAATACCCCAACAGCAAGAAAGCAGCGGCCGTAGATCCCAAACAGTAATTCCATATAAGCGTGGTCGTTTTTGTTTCATGACCAAGCAACATTTTTGCGCCGTCCTGCCCGCCGGCCTCCCCTACTACTTCTACTACTACACAACTACTACTACTACTACTACTACTACTACTACTACTACTACTACTACTACTCCTGCTACTACTACTACTACTACAACTACTACAACAACAACTACTACTACTACTAATACTACTAGTACTACTACTACTACTACTACTACTACTACTACTACTACTACTACTACTACTACTACTACTACTACTACTACTCCTGCTACTACTACTACTGCTACTATTATTACTACTACTACTACTATTACTACTACTAACTACTTACTAACTACTAACTACTAACTACTAACTACTTACTACTAACTACTTACTACTTACTACTTACTACTTACTACTTACTACTTACTACTACTACTGCTGCTGCTGCTACTGCTGCTGCTACTACTACTACTACTACTCCTGCTACTACTACTACTACTACAACTACTACAACAACAACAACTACTACTACTACTAGTACTACTACTAACTACTAACTACTAACTACTAACTACTAACTACTAACTACTAACTACTTACTACTAACTACTAACTACTTACTACTAACTACTAACGACTTACTACTACTACTACTACTACTAACTACTTACTACTACTACTACTACTACTGCTACTGCTACTGCTACTGCTACTGCTACTGCTACTGCTACTGCTACTGCTACTGCTACTACTACTACTACTACTACTACTTCTACTTCTACTACTACTACTACTACTACTACTACTTACCACTACCACTACCACTACCACTACCTACCACTACCTACCACTACCTACTACCACCTACTACCACCTACTACCACCTACTACCACCTACTACCACCTACTACCACCTACTACCACCTACTACCACCTACTACCACCTACTACCTCCTACTACCTCCTACTACCACCTACTACCACCTACTACCACCTACTACCACCTACTACCACCTACTACCACCTACTACCACCTACTACCACCTACTACCACCTACTACCACCTACTACCACCTACTACCACCTAGTACCACCTAGTACCACCTAGTACCACCTAGTACCTAGTACCTAGTACCCACTACCCACTACCCACTACCCACTACCCACTACCCACTACCCACTACCCACTACCTACCTACTACCTACTACCTACTACCTACTACCTACTACCTACTACCTACTACCTACTACCTACTACCTACTACCTACTACCTACTACCTACTACCTACTACCTACTACCTACTACCTACTATCTACTACCTACTACCTACTACCTACTACCTACTACCTACTACCTACTACCTACTACCTACTACCTACTACCTACTACCTACTACCTACTACCTACTACCTACTACCTACTACCTACTACCTACTACTTACTACCTACTACTTACTACCTACTACTTACTACCTACTACTTACTACCTGCTACTTACTACCTACTACTTTCTACCTACTACTACCTACTACTACCACCTACTACTACCACCTACTACTACTACTACTACTACTACTACTACTTCAACTTCTACTACTACTACTACTACTACTACTACTACTACTACTATTACTAGAAGTATTAATAGTACGCGCAGGTTCCGCGCGTCTGCGTTTCGCGCGGTTTCCGCGCGTTACGCGAGTCTGCGTTTTGCCTGAGTTCCGCGCGTGTTGTTTTGCGCGGGTTCCTCGCGTGTAGCCGCAATTGAATTTCTCAAAGAAATTAACCTATTACGATGAGTATTACTACTACTTCTACTAATTATAATTTAATCAATACTACGATTAATATCATTTCTACTATACATCTACGATATTTTTACTACTACTACTACTACTACTACTACTAATACTAATACTAATACTACTACTAGTATTACTAGAAGTATTAATAGTACATGCCCCCCTCTTAAGGGGGGGGGTGGGCCCCCCTTAACACTAAATATATGTAAACCGACGTCCCCAAAACATTGATGCTTGTAGACCTAAGATTCTGAGGATTTAGATGGATCTAGACATAGTGCATGTCACCAGGTACATGTCTCTTATACGCATGGCACTCAGGTGCAACTACACTTACGTGATTTTTTTTACCTCATGTTTTCATGCTATACCGTTTTTTTTTTAAATGGCGCTTCGCTTTTGTCGCTGGTTTTTCAAATGCGTTTGCTTGAAGTGTTCATAAAGTGTTCCATGTGATTTTATTTGAATTGTGTTCTGGCATTGCATCTCGCATACATTCAATACATTCTGACATCTAAATAACAGGCTTAAAATTTGTCGATATTTTGTGTATTATCGTTCTTTACTTACGTCCTTTTCAAAATTCGGCGCGATTTGCGTAAGGTCCGAAAATTGCGTTCTTCTTGGTTCGTATAGATAGTGTTCAACAAAGCAATAAGATAGATTGTTCACTACTAGCAATGACCGCGTTCAATTAAAAAAACAAACCACGATTAGATATTTGTCAGATTCTACGTTTTCATGTCTTGAATTTAGCTATATATGTTTATTTTTGGATAAAAATAATCGCGGATTTAGATTCCTGCATCTGGGTCCCGGGATCCGGGTCCCGAATCCCGGGTCCCGGATTCCAGAATCCACCTGTCCATTCTAGGTAGAAATCAAGGTTTGAAAAACTATACAGATTAATACAGATTTGTTTCGTCTCTGGACTTTCTTTAGATCAGACCTTATAGATGTAAATAGTTTTGGTATGAGTTGTACATTTCTCGCTTGTCTACACGGATGTATTTTTGAAATATGTTCTTTTTAAAAAACCATAATTACATGAAGATACAGGTAATCGATGGTGGAAAATAATTTCTGCATGTCTTGGCATGGATAATGATATGTATATTGTCACCAGGTACATGTCTCTTATACTCATGGCACTCAGGTGCAGCTACACTTACGTGATTTTTTTTACCTCATGTTTTCATGCTATACTTTTTTTTTTTAAATGGCGCTTCGCTTTTGTCGCTGGTTTTTCAAATGCGTTTGCTTGAAGTGTTCATAAAGTGTTCCATGCGATTTTATTAGAATTGTGTTCTGGCACTGCATCTCGCATACATTCTGACATCTAAACAACAAGCTTAAAGTTTGTCGATATTTTGTGTATTATCGTTCTTTACTTACGTCCTTTTCAAAATTCGGCGCGATTTGCGTAAGGTCCGAAAATTGTGTTCTTCTTGGTTTGTATAGATAGTGTTCAACAAAGCAATAAGATAGATTGTTCACTACTAGCAATGACCGCGTTCAATAAAAAAAACAAACCACGATTAGATATTTGTCAGATTCTACGTTTTCATGTCTTGAATTTAGCTATATATGTTTATTTTTGGATAAAAATAATCGCGGATTTAGATTCCTGCATCTGGGTCCCGGGATCCGGGTCCCGAATCCCGGGTCCCGGATTCCAGAATCCACCTGTCCATTCTAGGTAGAAATCAAGGTTTGAAAAACTATACAGATTAATACAGATTTGTTTCGTCTCTGGACTTTCTTTAGATCAGACCTTATAGATGTAAATAGTTTTGGTATGAGTTGTACATTTCTCGCTTGTCTACACGGATGTATTTTTGAAATATGTTCTTTTTAAAAAAGTTTAATTACATGAAGACACAGGTAATCGATGATGGAAAATAAATTCTGCATGTCTTGGCGTGGATAATGATATGTATATTGTCACCAGGTACATGTCTCTTGTACGCATGGCACTCAGGTGCAACTACACTTACGTGACTTTTTACCTCATGTTTTCATGCTATGCCGTTTTTTTTTAAATGGCGCTTCGCTTTCGTCGCTGGTTTTTCAAATGCGTTTGCTTGAAGTGTTCATAAAGTGTTCCATCTGATTTTATTTGAATTGTGTTCTGGCATTGCATCTCGCATACATTCTGACATCTAAATAACAGGCTTAAAGTTTGTCGATATTTTGTGTATTATCGTTCTTTACTTACGTCCTTTTGAAGACCCGGTGCGCTTTGCGTAAGGTTAAAATTGTGTTCTTGTAGGTTTGTTTTCTCCAGTATAAAAGCGTTTAAAAGCGCAAGAAGGCGGGTTATGCACCAGTAGCAATGAATCAGCGTTCGAAAAAATATTGCCTTGTTTTTTCAAATGTTTTTTGCGTTTTGTATTTACATCTGTTTTTGTATTTACAATCTTTTTCTGCCGATCTGCAACTGACACCGGCTCCTTCACGACCATGACAGGCACAGACTGGGCCATAGACCGCATCCACTTCGGAAGCTCCAGCTGCAAGTCGAAAGCCATACGAAGATAGCAATACAAGCTGCACGTCCTGGTGTGGCCAGACACATGTGAAGGTGTCGCTGTCACCCTGCCGCACGACCTTCATCGGGCCAAGCCACCCTTCTGATTGGAACATTGCTGCCAGCTTCTCCTTCCAGTGCGCGCCGTGAACGTTGGGAAATTTCAGTGGGAGCATGCAAACTTTATGCTCGAAATCTTCCAGAAACAACAATGATTCGTGCGATCCCCATCTTGACCGATCTCTTTAGAAGTTGAGGTCCGGTGGAAGAAGGAGGAAGAGAAGAGATAACATATGATCTAACAAATCTCACCTGACAGGTGGGGACTTAGTTGCTCTGTTCGCCTGCCTCAAACAGAGCAACCAATCGTTTCATAGAGCCCATAGCTTGGAAAAGAGGTGTTTTCGGGTGCTAGTTGCTTTGTTCGACTCCGAGTTGCTCTGTTCGCCTCCGTCCAACAGAGCAGCCAAACGTTTGGCATGTGTCGGTTTTGTCTGGCAGGCCGATATGGGTGATGAGTACGATATTATTATTACTACTGCTGCTGCTACTGCTACTGCTACTGGTACTGCTACTCCTACTGCTACTGCTACTGCTACTGCTACTGCTACTGCTACTACTACTACTACTACTACTCCTCCTACTACTACTACTACTACTACTACTACTAGAAGTATTAATAGTACGCGTGGGTTCCATGACAGGCACAGACTGGGCCATAGACCGCATCCACTTCGGAAGCTCCAGCTGCAAGTCGAAAGCCATACGAAGATAGCAATACAAGCTGCACGTCCTGAGTCCTGGCGTGGCCAGACACATAGGTGAAGGTGTCGCTGTCACCCTGCCGCACGACCTTCATCGGGCCAAGCCACCCTTCTGACTGGAACATTGCTGCCAGCTTCTCCTTCCAGTGCGCGCCGTGAACGTTGGGAAATTACAGTGGGAGCATGCAAACTTTATGCTCCAAATCTTCCAGAAACAATGATTCGTGCGATCCCCATCTTGACCGATCTCTTTAGAAGTTGAGGTCCGGTGGAAGAAGGAGGAAGAGAAGAGATAACATATGATCTAACAAATCTCACCTGACAGGTGGGGACTTAGTTGCTCTGTTCGCCTGCGTCAAACAGAGCATCCAATCGTTTCATAGAGCAAATAGCTTGGAAAAGAATGGTTTTCGGGTGCTAGTTGCTTTGTTCGACTCCGAGTTGCTCTGTTCGCCTCCGTCCAACAGAGCAACCAAACGTTTGGCATGTGTCGGTTTTGTCTGGCAGGCCGATATACGGGTGATGAATACGATATTATTATTATTGCTACTACGACTACTACTCCTGCTGCTGCTGCTGCTACTACTACTACTACTACTACTATTACTAGAAGTATTAATAGTACGCGCGGGTTCCGCACGTTCTGCGCGTCTGCGTTTCGCGTGGGTTCCGCCCGTGTTGTCCTGCGCGGGTTCCGCGCGCGTGGTCGCATTCAAATTTCTTAAAGAACTTAAAATATTACAACGAATATTAGTACTACTTCTACTAATTGTAATTTAATCAATATTACGATTAGTATCATTTCTACTACATCTACGATATTTTTATTACTACTACTACTACTACTACTACTACTACTAGTACTAGAAGTATTAATAGTACGCGCGGGTTCCGCGCGTCTACGTTTCGCGCGGTTTCCGCGCGTTATGCGCGTCTGCGTTTTGCGCGGGTTCCGCGCGTGTTGTTCTGCGCGGGTTCCGCGCGTGTAGCCGCATTCAAATTTCTTAAAGAAATTAATATATTACGACGAATATTACTACTTGGGAACCTTTACATAATAACCTTGGGGACCTTGAGAACATTTACGTGGAAAACTTGGGAACCTTGAGGGAACCTTTACAATACAACCTTGAGAACCTTGACAAACCTTTACTTGGGAAACTTGGGAATCTTGAGGGAACCTTTACAATGCAATCTCGGAAAGCTTGAGGAAACCTTGACAATATAACCTTGGAACCCTTGGGAACTTTTACAATGTAACCTTGGGAACCTTGAGGGAACCTTTACAATGCAACCTTGGAAAGCTTGAGGAAACCTTGACAATATAACCTTGGAACCCTTGAGAACTTTTTACAATGTAACCTTGGGAACCTTGAGGGAACCTTTGCAATACAACCTTGGGAACCTTGGAAACTTGGGAACCTTCAGGGAACCTTGAAGAAACCTTGAAGGAACATTGAGGGTACCTTTTGGGAACCTTGAGGGAACCTTGACAATCTAACCTTGGGAATCTTATAGAAACCTTTACAATGTCACCTTGGGAACCTGGACCACGTTTACTTGGGAACCTTTACATAATAATCTTGGGAACCTTGACAACCTTTACTTGGAAAACTTGGGAACCTCGCAGGGAACCTTGAAGGAACCTTGAGGGAACCTTTTGGGAACCTTTTGGGAACCTTGAGGGAACCTTGAGGGAACCTTGAGGAACCTTGAGGGAACCTTTTGGGAACCTTTTGGGAACCTTGAGGGAACCTTGAGGAACCTTGGGAACTTTGAGGGAACCTTGGGAACCTGGGAACCTTTACTTGGGAACCTGGGAACCTTTACTTGGGAACCTTTACTTGGAACCTGGGAACCTTGGGGGAATCGGTTTTGGAGCTGCTCCGGTCTGCTCCGAAACCTTTACTATGGCTGAAGACCCCAAAGCATTCTGCTGTTGGGGAATTACAAAGAAATACAGGGCTTGAAACTCCTACATTTTCTAATTGATCAGAGTTTAAGAGTTCCGGTCAAGAACGGTAAGCCGAGATACAGCTTGGTGGTCATTATTCAGCAAGGTGGCAGATGTCGTCCCTTTTAAAGGAAAAACTGGGTTTTCCAATCTTATGGCATTTTGTCCGTTCAAGCAGAGATCCAGACAGCTGGGTTTTCCAATGACCGTTTAGTTTAGAGTTTAGAGTGATATTGACCGTTCTTTCCAAGGCATCACTCAAACCATCGCTCACGTCAATGTAGGGTAGCGCTTCATCAGGGCAGTGAAAGGTATAATGCAGGATAGTGTCCAGTTTACTCGTGGTAGTTGGACTGCTATGCTGCTGTGCTGTCAAAAGGATGCCATACGACGATTAGAAATTAGAAGCATACACATGTCAGGATGAAGTCAACCAGAAGAAGGGAAAAGGATACTTGCAAATATCCAAACGTCAAAGTGAATGATATGGTCAAAGTCTTCCAAAAAGGAAGGGGCGACTTCACGGAAAGAAGTGGTATATTATATAAATCCAAAATGGAGCAGTCAACCCTATAGAATTTCAAGCATACGAACCTATAAGTATGGGAACTGCCTGTTCCACGCAGCTCTGCTTAGAGAGCCTATTTCCGCATATATTTTTTTGACTGTATAAGAATATCTCATCGAAGGATATGATATGTGTGTGTGCTTATAAAATTGTTTGATAGCGAAGACATCAAGGAATAATAATTCAATAACAGAGCTGACTGTAGAAGAAGCACCAAGGGAAGAGAAACCAAAGGAACCAATTGAGGAACAGGAGGAAAAGAAAACAATTGGCACCCCCGAAACCTTGAAGAAAACACTTGTCGAAAAACTCAACGAAGAAATAAACAGATGTTTCCGATGACAACTAACTTCTAAGAGACGTTGACAACTCCTACGAAACGCGCGGAAATCTCTACCAAATGCGGGCGACGACTTCTACCAAACATGGACGACTTCTAACAAACATGGACAGCTTCTACCAAAAAACTTCCAACATCAGTCGTTCGTTTGAACTGCTCTGCTGCATTCAGATCACACTGCTGTCTTTTTGGCCTTTGGTGTGCTTGGTGACAGCTCGTTCTGCCTATGGCACAGATGTCACACCTGGTGCCCTTCAACACCCATGTGCACCTATGCCCGAGCTGTGCTCGTTGGCCATAAAATTCAAAAGGCGTGGGGTTGGGAGGGTGCTTGTGTGGGATTGAGCCCACACTTCACTGCAGATTCACAGCTCAGCACTACCTCCATACGTTCCTACGCACAGCTGTGCTACCAAACATCAGTCGTTCGTTTGAACTGCTCTGCTGCATTCAGATCACACTGCTGTCTTTTTGGCCTTTGGTGTGCTTAACACCCACACTGGCGCCAGTCTACCCACCTCTCCAGTGTGAGATGTTTGCAGCAGAGGGGTTCCAAAGCGAGCACATCGTGCAAGGCTGTGCCGTGTGCGTGGTCAGAGTCAGTCGCTGTGCGATGCAGGTCTGTCCATGCGGCGTCAATCTCATGCATCTCTGTGAAGGACTGTCTGGAGACCTGGTCACTGATGTTGAGGTCCGAGGGGACCCATTCGAGATGAAGATGCCACCCTTGGTGAGCGATCACCCCTTCCATACCAGTGCTATCATGTTGCATATTGCTGGGTCTTTGCAGTAGCCCTTGCGTAGAGCAAAGAATCCTGATGTGTTGTCGATGAAGGAGATCACCATCGTTGACTGCATGGATCTGCACAGTAGCAGGCCCATGCACTGGGCTGCCACCTCCAGGAAGTATATGCATGCCTTTCTGGTGCAATACTTTTCGATGACCCACGTTGGAATGCGTCCTGCAGAGAAAAGTGTGGTCCCACCGAAGTGTACCACGCATCCCCATCCGTTTTCATATGTGTGGCGTTTTGCTTTGTGCCACTGTTTCGGAATTCCATCTGATCCCGGAGAGAATCTCTGGCCGTCCATGACGAAGTAAGCATCGGAGTAGAGGATGATGTGTCCTCGAGCGCGCTGTCTTGGGATTACTCGTGGTTGTATCTCTTTCAAGAGCCCCACGAGGGTCTGTAATGCTGACCGCAGCGGGCATTGAGCTGACCCTGATGGTCATCATTGGATAGTCCATGCGCGCGTGCATACAATGGTTGCAGCGCTGCTCTGCCCAGTTGCCCAAAGAGGGTCGAGGTCAAAAAGACCAGCTTGCCTGCCAGTCGATGGGCATCATCGTTCGAGAGCTCGTTCTTCTGGAGCGCTCTCATCATCGTGGAGCAGGCCTTCTGGCATCTTTCTGGGTGTGGTGACAGAACCACGCTGTCTTGTGTGATGTGCATGTTGATGCCCAGGACTTTTTGCTGTGTGCACGGTGGGAGTGCCTTCCGTTCCTTCATGCGTAGGCCCAAGGTTCTCATCATTCTTGTGAACTGCTCGTACCCACTTTGCACGACAGATTCCGTCTCGACCACAATGAAGTCATCAACGTAGTGCCCCAGGGCTGTTGCCAACAGCCTTCTGCTGAGAAATGTCAGCCCATCGGCAGCTCTGTTGAAATTCTATACGGAGCTCACAGCCCCAAAAGTCATCGCATGATGTTGTAGCAAGACTGGTCCTTGAGGAGTCATCAGGACACAGTAGCAGCCCCCAGGGTCCCTGACTGGGAATTGCCTGTATGCCCCATTCAAGTCCTCGGCCCATACCATGGCCGTCGTGCCCTCCTTCAACGAGTCAGCTATCAAAAAAAAAATTAAAAGTCATCAAAAAGAAAATTAATTTCCCATCAAAAAAATTAAACTCATCAAAAAAAATATTCCCTCATATCCTGGCCTGCGCAAGCCAAACGCAAAATACAAGCATCATGAAATCTGTGCATTGCATCATCAAAAAAAATATGTTTAAATTATTTTTTGATGATTTAAATTTTTTTTGGGGGTCATTGGTAAAACAATTATTACTAGCAGAAAAAGTATATTAAAAAAGGAATATACTTGGGAGGGACGGTTGGGTGGGCTTGGTCGACGCCGACATGTACGAGTCATCGCACAAGGAACACGTATTGGTTCGCAAGCTGTTCAATAACGAGGCACTGGGCCAAACAACATTGAATCCAATGGGCTACAAAAACCATTCTTTCCATCATGTTTTCCAGGCACGGGTGGGTGGGCCTGCTGTATACGGAAGCTTGCACAACAACGCACGGCTACGCGATGAAGTATGCTTGAAAAAGGCCAAAGAGCCAAAAGCCAAATGGCCAGAGGCCAATAGGTCAAGCCTGGCGCTAAAACCCAGAGGAAGTAGCAGGAGGACAGTAGACGAAGCTGAGCAGGTTGGCTGCGACAGGTTTGGTAATGCCAAGAAAGATGGGAACGTGCGGGAATCGAACTTCCATGCGTGTAAGTTACCTGGCCCAGCGACCAAGCGTACCCAATTCCCAGGACCTAGCGTTCGAGCCACACAGCCCTACTTGCAAGGCAGCTGAGTCGTTGGGCCACCCGGCCACCAGTTCCAGGCCCCCACACAGCAATGGTCAGCTGCCATCCCCATTTTGACTTGCAAAGGTGTATGTCTACTATGTTGGAATGGACGCAATGTAGGTGGGCCTTATCATGACACATTCATTCGCAATGTGGGTGGGCCTTATCATCCACCTTTCTGGCGTTGTCACAAGCCGCGGGCAGGGCTTTAAAATAAAAAGGCGGGAGGGGGGCGCGGGAGGGGGGCGCGGGGGGGGGGCGCGGGGGGAGGGCGCAGCGCCTCCCCCCGCAAAGCGTCACATGAGTGGTGTCCACAGGATTACTCTATACCTCCCTTGAGCCTTGACAGCGTATATAAATATGCTCAATACTCATGCAGTACCCACGTAGGATTCAAGTTAAAACAAAAACCAGGGCGCAGCGCCTCCCCCCAACAGAACAGTATAGGTGGGCCGTATCATCCACCTTTGTGGCGTTGTCACAGCACGGAAGCACAGCAAGCATGTTGGCTGGTTGCCTGGTTGGTTGGTTGTTTGGTTGCTTGGCTGGTTCGCTTCTTCGCTGTCTTGGTTGTAGTCGTTTGGTGTGTGTGTGTGTGCGTGCGTGCAACCGAACCAAAATAACAAAAGGTTGACAAAACAAGAGCCATACATGTGGCCTCCCCCTGGAAATGCATCGGGCACCAGTGCCATGTTCCTGAAAAAAGCACCAACGCGCCTCCCCCCGCAAAGCGTCACATGAGTGGTGTCTACAGGATTACTCTATACCTCTCTTGAGCCTTGACAGCGTATATAAATATGCTCAATACTCACGCAGTACCCGCGTAGGATTCAAGTTAAGACAAAAACAAGGGCGCAGCGCCTCCCCCCAACAGAACTATTCTTCTCCTTAATAAAAGCAACCAGTAAAAGAAGGCCAAAGTAATTATACACTGAGTATAGGTTGGGTGGGGAGGTGGGCCGTATCATCCACCTTTGTGGCGTTGTCACAGCACAGAAACAAACCAAGCATGTTAGCTGGTTGCCTGGTTGGTTGGTTGTTTGGTTGCTTGGCTGGTTCGCTTCTTCGCTGTCTTGGTTGTAGTCGTTTGGTGTGTGTGTGTGTGCGTGCGTTCAACCGAACCAAAATAACAAAAGGTTGACAAAACAAGAGCCATACAGGCCTCCCTCCTGGACATGCATCGGGCACCAGTGCCATGTTCCTGAAAAAGACACCAATGCGCCTCCCCCCGCAAAGCGTCACATGAGTGGTGTCTACAGGATTACTCTATACCTCTCTTGAGCCTTGACAGCGTATATAAATATGCTCAATACTCATGCAGTACCCACGTAGGATTCAAGTTAAAACAAAAACAAGGGCGCAGCGCCTCCCCCCAACAGAACAGTATAGGTGGGCCGTATCATCCACCTTTGTGGCGTTGTCACAGCACAGAAACAAACCAAGCATGTGGGCTGGGTGGCTAGTTGGCTGGTCAGTTGCTCGGTTGCTCGGTTGCTTGGTTGGTTCGCTTTGTATGTTTGGTGTTTTCAACTATAACCAAAGTAACTCAACAAGAGCCACATGTTTGGCCTCCCCCCCTGGAAATGCCTTGGGTCACATGATCATGACACATTCATTCGCAATGTAGGTGGGCCTTATCATCCACCTTTCTGGCGTTGTCACAAGCCGCGGGGGGGGGGTTAAATAAAAAGGCGGGAGGGGGCAGCGCCTCCCCCCGCAAAGCGTCACATGAGTGGTGTCCACAGGATTACTCTATACCTCTCGTGAGCCTTGACAGCGTATATAAATATGCTCAATACTCATGCAGTACCCACGTAGGATTCAAGTAAAAAAAAAAACAGGGCGCGGCGCCTCCCCCTTGCAAAGCGTCACATGGTCATGATACATTCATTCGCAATATAGGAAAGATAGAATAAAAAGGAAAAGATAGGATAAGATAGGGTAAGATAGGAAAAGATAGGGTAAGATAGGGTAAGATAGAGTAAGATAGGGTAAGATACATAGAAAGACAAATAGATAGATAGAAAGAAAGATAGATAGATTGATTGATTGATTGATTGAGATATAGATATAGACATAGACGTAGGTGTAGATGTGGAGCCGAAGGAGCCATAAGAGCGAAAAGCCACAGGAGCCGAAGGAGCCATAGGAGCCGAAGAAGCCAGAGGAGCCGGAGGAGCCATGTACCAAAGAAGCTAAAAGACAAGCAGCCAGAAGCCAAAAAGCCAAGAAGCCACGAAGCCACCAGGAGCCACCAGGGACACAGGAGCCGAAGAAGCCACAGAAGCCAGGAGCCACACAGGGAACTATAGGAGCCACCAGGAACCAAGGAGAAAAAAAAAGAAACAAATTAAATTACCCTCCCTCATTTTTTTGGGGGTCCTTAATGTTTCCTTGCTAACTTCCAACAATCTCCCGATAACATGGGTTTCGTTTTTGGTCCTAAAATAGCCCGTCTACCACTGGTCAGGTACATCCTTTCATTCGAAAGCTAGCTTGTATTTGTAAAGAATGGCAATTTGTATGCTTCCTTCCCTGCTTTTCCTCCTTCATTTCCTCCTTCCTTTCTTTTCCTTCCCTCTTTCCTTCCCTCTTTCCTTCCCTCTTTCCTTCCCTCTTTCCTTTCCTCTTTCCTTTCCTCTTTCCTTTCCTCTTTCCTTTCCTCTTTCCTTTCCTCTTTCCTTTCCTCTTTCCTTTCTTTCCTTTCTTTTCTTTTCCTTTCTTTTCCTTTCTTTTCCTTTCTTATCCTTTCTTTTCCTTTCTTTTCCTTTCTTTTCCTTTCTTTTCCTTTCTTTTCCTTTCTTTTCCTTTCTTTCCCTGTCTTCCCCTCCTTCCCTCCTTCCCTCCTTCCCTCCTTCCTTCCCTCCTCCCTCCCTCCCTCCCTCCGTCCTTCCTTTCCTGCTTCCTTTCCTTCCTTCCTTTCCTTGCTTCCCTTCTTTCATTCCTTCCTTCCTTTCCTTGCTTCCCTTCTTTCCTTCCTTCCTTCCTTTCCTTGCTTCCCTTCTTTCATTCCTTCCTTCCTTTCTTGCTTCATTTCTCTCCTTCCTTCCTTCCTTCCTTCCTTTCCTGCTTCCCTTCTTTCATTCCTTCCTTCCTTTCCTGCTTCCCTTCTTCCCTTCTTCCCTTCTTCCCTTCTTCCCTTCTTCCCTCCCTTCCTTCCTTCCTTCCTTCCTTCCTTCCTTCCTTCCTTCCTTTCCTGCTTCCCTTCTTTCCTTCCTTCCTTCCTTTCTTGTTTCCCTTCTCTCCTTTGAATTTAAATTCTTTTTGATATTAATTTTTTTTTGCTGAATTAATTTTTTTTGATGATAATTATTTTTTTTTTGATGGTCCTCCCTCCTTCAACTGGGCCAAAGCGAGGTCCGTGAAGGTTTTGATGTCATGGTGGTGTGGGACAATATGGGCAATCACAGTGGCGTTATTCCCGGACCTCCTGAAGTCCTCACATCTCCTCACCTTGTCAGTCTGCAGGACACTGAAGCAGAAGCTCGTGCATATGTCCTGCTCTGGAAGTGGAAGGAGAGGTTTCTCCTCGACGCTGATTGCTGGAGTCGGCCACCAAGTCGGAGCACTGTATGGTCCGGACATGCGGCCCTTGCCCAATTCGATCTTGAGCTCTTCCAGGAGTGTCTTCCATTCAGGATCCAGGTCGCGGCTGCAGAGCTTGGCAAGCGTGTAGTGCTTGTTGTGTCGTCGGAATGCTTCTTGATTTGCCGGAAACTCATAACGGCCGTCTGCCCTGGGAAGCCATCCCGCTCCCTCGTGTAGAGCCCCGGTCACCTGGAAACCCTGTTGTAGATCTTCGGCCAACTCTGCCAGGCCAGGCATCTGTACCATCTGCAGCAGTTGGATCAGCAACGGGATCTGGGAGATCTGGGCATGCTCCTTGTCATAGTACACCATGGCTATATGATGAGGTAGGGCTTGCCACCAAGACGTGGTGGCCTCTGGTTGGGCTTCTGCCATCTGCGCGATCTCATCTACAATCTCTTCTCGCATCCGATTCAAGCTGCCCCCCAGCCTGTGTTGGAGATCGATGCATTGTTGCAGTCCCGGTTCTAACCTTGGAGGCCTCTGCATCGGATGGACTGCTTCCTGCGCCAGTCTCCAGTGCTCCCACATAGATCCCGCCTGCGCGACGCATGCAGCTTCTTTCGGCCATCGGCCGGGGCCCAGTTGCGGCTGCATAGGTTGGATGATTGATAGCATCGTCTGCAGGGCTGTCTGCCTCGGTGAGGGGACAGGTGACGCCACTGGTGTCATCATCATCGTCTGCAACACCGGCATCATAAGAAACCTTGCGGTGCCCAAGTGCCATCCATTCGCCATCATCCGATGACGGACCCTTTCTGTCACCCCTGGCACTGACGTGTACCCACTCGGTAGCATGTGTAGCTGCTCTTTCACCTCAGGAGTGGGCACTGACATCATACCGTCCTCGGCATGTAGTAGGGCTTCTGGGGCGTATTGCCATGGGGCGAAGGTTCTGCCATCATTCAACCACCTTGTCCTTTGTGGGGGTCGATGCGGCCCCGTAATTTCTTGGGAGGCGGTCGTCCCTCTTCAGAAGGTGCTGGCGTTGTGAAGCATGGACACCGTTTCTAGTGGGCCACCACCTGAGGGTGCATGTGGAGTTCACCGGTGTCGAGTTGTGATGCCTCGGATTGGGGCGTCCAGGTGAAGTCGGTGGTACTTCTGTGTTTTTCTCCACCGTAGCTTGTTCCCTGTCACCGGGCTGTGTCTAGTGACGCTCCAATCAATCCGAGTCCACCATAGCCTAGGTTTGAGTTGTCCCGGGTCTGCTACAGACATGTGAACCCTGTAATCATTAAAAATACCCAAGAAAAACAAAAAAATACAACTCCAAATTACAAAAACATGCAACACTGAGCAGGGCAAAATTATCAACAAAAGGAAAATACAACATACATTGATGGATTCGCGGTTTTGTTCTTTGACGGGACGTCTAAAGAACGAAAAAATACAAAAGGACAAAGTGCAATCTGTGAAGGACTGGAAAAATACAAATAAAAATACAAAAATACAAATTGCATTTTTGGACGCAATGGAAAAATACAAAAAAAATACAAAAATACAAAGTGTATTTTTTATATTTTATTTGTATTTTTCGTATTTTTTTGTATGTTTACCAAAAAAAGGAAAAAATACAAAAAAAATACCAAAAAATACGAATGCAATTGCTCAAAAATACAAAATACAAAAAAAATACGAATCAACGATATCAAAAATACAAAATACAAAAAAAAATACGAACCCAAAATTTCAAAAATACAAAATACAAAGAAAAGACAAATTCAAAAATAAGCCAGAGAGCCAACCCCGTGTTCACTTTTGGAAATCAGGAACCAAAATACAAAAAAATACAAAACCAACCAGTTGTATTTTCCAAAGCCTGCAGTTCTGATTTTGTATTTTTGGGTTGTATTTTTTTCGTATTTTTTTGTATTTTTAAATATTGGCAGAAGACCCTTCTGTATCCACCGCGGACAACTCAAGCCTAGGTCTGTTGATGAGCCCAAAGTCCTGGGCATCGGCGACAACTGCCTCGCAGTCCAGCCTGCTGGAAAACAAGTCAGCTTCTGATTTTTGCATCACCACATTTTCTGTCAGATGGCCCACCCGTTTGTGTGGGATGTTCATCTCGACCTGGTTGATGAAGGCGCAGTAGGCCGTGAACTTCTGTCCCTCTGCTCCATCGGAGCCTGGTGGGTTCTCTTTGATCCTCGAGAAGTCAGGGTAAGGTGGAGCCGATGCGAACAGCACCAAGCATGTGCCCTGAGGATCATGTTGACGAATGATTTTGGCAACCTCAAGCGGGTCGTCCTTGAGGAAATCCCCCCTCATCATCGCGTCTGTGTGCCTGGCTGCCTGAACCTTCAAACACTCTTCGTCAACCTCCCATGTGATATGCAGGGAGATAGAGTCGAGCAGGTCTCGCAGAGCCACTGCTGCCGATCCGATACCATCAAAGCAGCTTAGCAAGATCACTTTCTCATTCAGTTTTTGAAACACCTGAGCTGTGCCGGTCTGGGGTGGCTTTTCGGGCGGTGGATAGCCCGTGTTGTCGGGCGTCACAGAGGCCACCTGCTCCGTGACCCCGTGCTGTCCCTATTTGGATGTGGACTTCCAGTCCGAGCTCCAAGCATCTTTCTTCCATGACGATTTCTCCTCATACTTGGAGTGACCTTGCCATGATCCCGATGCTTTCTCGGACTTGTCATTGGGTTCCCACATCCATCGTCCAGTAGGCCGGGAGTAGGGTGACACCCTGCTGCTCTTACCGGACTTGGTGTTGCTCTTGCCCGAGCCTTTGGCCTCTGGCTTTGCCGTGGCTGCAGCCGTGACTTTCTTCACCTGCTGCGTGGACTCTCGATTCATGCATTCTGTGAAGCGTTGTGCACTCTAAGAAAGTGCGTCCACTGCGCATTTCTAGTGCCAGCACTCATGACACCGATGGTCCGTTTTCCCGGGCCGGCTCCGCACCAGTCTGACCAGCCAGTCGAAGAAGGTGTGGACAGCCTGCTCTGATCCCGGTTTGCAAAGGACGAAGCACCACCTGATGCTCGATAGCCCATCGATGATGGCGAGCACACTGCGGGGCTGCCATGGCTCTTCTGGTGCTGCGACCAGCTGTTCCCCGGTCAGGGTCAGCTTCGTGACACTGCGGTCACGTTTGGCCAGCGGGTTGGGCTCTCCGTTGGCTTGGAAAGTCCCTGGAGGAGACAATTTCACCCAGGAGGACCGGTGTGTAGGTCTTGCTGACCTCATGTTCATGTAGTACCCGGGCGATGATGTTCTCTGTGCCCAGGAGTTCTTGGACGGGAAATATCCTGTCTTCTCCACCAATCTGTTGAGATTGGTAATCTTGAACCAAGGCCAACGGCCCGGCGCCAAGGTCTTGGCGATCTTGTCCTCCGCTGCAGCTGTGGTCGTACCAGGGGCCGTGGCAGGCGGCGATGGAGGTCTTGGCTGGGCAGCTACCTGTGCTTGTTCCCAGCTCTGTTTGGCCATCATCCACATGTGTATGAGCGTGGCCTTGGCAATCGGTTTGTCAGTGTCCGGGATCGAGATGATCGTCCCGTCTTCTCTTGGCCACCCTTGCAACAGGGGTTGTATCAAGGTTCGATCCAACCCGTCCTCGTCCTTGTTCAGCAAGGCCAGGGTGGCAGGCGTTCGAATGCCTCTGATTTCCAAATACTCCACCAAGGCCGGTCCGGCAGCCGCATCACGGGCTAGGCTATGTCCCCCAGCGACACCGGCGCAAGAGACAGCACCATGTTGGAAGGCTGAACGGTCGTTGTTGCTCAGCCAGTCTGAGGATGCACTTCACTGGAATGCAAGCAACTGCAATCAACCAAATTCACAAGCAAGTGACTTGAAATGACAGATAAAGCAAATAAAAGCACAGCAAGTTAAAGAAACGTTCAGTCAAAGAACCGTGGAGAAACTGCATGTCATGCCGATAAGAGGCAATGTCTCCTGTCATGTCATGTACATAATGTGTTGACTACAGGGCTCGGCGGTCAGCTAGCTCTTTTCTTCTGCACCCACCCACTGGGGGTCCCCCGGTCAGTCGTCAGCACTGCCCGCCGATGACGCGGCTATGTCAGAAAGCCCTGACGAGTCCTCGCTGCTGTCAGAGCTGGAAGCCTCACTGAGGTTGAAGCACTTGCGGCATCTCCTGTTGCCGTCCTCTTCATTCGTGGTGCGCAGGAACGTCCTGCTACCATAACCCCAGCCGCACGGGGTCCTCCATCTAGTGGGTTCATTGTTCTCCTCATATGGAGAAGCTTTGTGCAAGATCTTGGCTCGGGGTCTGAACACGAATGTTTGTGGTGGCTTCTGTACAGCCTGCTTCACTTGTGCCAGTTCTGCTTGAAGACTGCGGACAGCCGCTGCGAAGGCTTTCGGCCTAGCTGCCCGTGCCGGGCTCTTGGGAGCCGCCGCACTGGGAGTTGCATTGGGCTCCATTGTCATCACTTGCATCTGGACCTTGTGCCACTGCGGATCGCCTCCAGCGATGACCTGCTGGGGGATCGATGGCACTCGAACGAGTGCACTGTCCTGTGTGTACCTGAGCACCGCAGTGCTCGTCCATCGGCCGAGGAGTTGAATGAGGGCTAGCTCAACTCCGGAACTGGACAACATCTGAGCTCCAGAGATCCTGAGGACGTGGCGGTGAAAACGTTGTGTTTCTTGTCCATTGACCCAAACGGGTCAATGCAGTGCCTGTCCGTGCGATCACCCTACGGATCGCTTCGATGAATGTCGTCTTGGATGCCGTGCGGCCTCCTTCATCAGGGAAAAGTGGCATCTGTTGTTGTGCAGCCCCTTGATAGTGAGCTTCAAGGCGGAGCAGGTGCCTCTCGGGGCTGCGCCACACGCACATGCCGTGTATCTTGGCCGTGCAGCTGCATGCAAGCGATCTTTCTGTGAACCGTCCTCTCTGGTCGGTCTTGTGTATTGGTATGCTAAGGCATACCTCCGGAGCCGAAGGTCACATTCACGGGCGCTTGCCATCTCCGATTCCCTGAGCATGAACCAGAGGCCGATCAAGGCCATGTCCCTGCAGTGTGCAACATTGTCGAAGGAGAAGGGCTCCTCGTCGGTTGAAAAGGGCATGTTGCCCAGTTGAAGTCCGTTGAAGGCGTCTTTCAACTTGCTTTCCCCAAGGCCCCTCTGAATGGACCTGATGCAGTCCCGTATGCCATGTTTGACAATGGCAGGGATGGGTGTCTTCAAGATTCGTTGTTGGTGGCCGCATATGGCCTGGAAGTAGACCGCTGCACTGCGGTAACCCCCCGCCTTAAGCCAGGTACTTCCCAAGCTCGACATATGGCGAGGTACGTGCGCACCCGCGCTTCTGAGGCCGGATTCGTGGACCGGGCCAGGATATCCTGGTCCAACAGCTGCAGTGATCTCTGCACTTGGTTAGGTTGTGCCGCCTCTGAGGCCGCTGGCCCTCTTGCCCATCTGCCTGACAGGGAGGTCGTGCCTGTCCGCTATCAGAGGAGAAGCGTCCTCCGAACCCGCTGTCAGAGCTACCCCTGCTGCCAGAATGGCTTCAATCTGCCAATTTGGCATGCCCGCTGCATGCAATGCGTCATGCTTCAACGCCAGCAGGTTGAGACTGACGACACCATGGCGGATAAGGTCCGGTGCCACCTCCTCCAGGCAGTGCACACCATAATTCCTCTAAATTTGACATCGTGACTGCGGTCGGAGCCATGCACATGCCCATGACCCATCAAGCCACACTACATGAAGGCTTCAACAAGCCATGGCTGAAGCATGAACTTCGAATCAACTGCAACAAGTGCCAGCGACCTGAAACCTGTGTGGTGAGTGATGCCCCGACATCGGCCACAGTGACAAACAAAGGCCTATCTGCATGATAGGAGTAAGGGGGGACATGAAAAGACAGAGGTTGAGACGGTAAGGTCTCGACTGATCCATCCGCCAGCCATGAAAGGTCTATTAGCCGATGAGGCCGGCTAAGGGATCAAAAAAAAACAAATAAGGATCAAAAAAAAACAAAATCGAGGGATCAAAAAAAAACAAATAAGGATCAAAAAAAAAACAAATAAGGACGATCGTAGTGAAAATCGTCAAGAAACTGCGGAAAGGGAGGATCAAAAAAAAAACAAATGGGAATACATATGAATAAAAACGAAAGAGAGTAGATAGCAAGGGAAGTCGATTAAAAAATAAAAGCGGGTGGGGGGGTGCAGGGGGGAGGGCGCAGCGCCTCCCCCCGCAATGCGTACCAAGAAAGAAGCACACAGGCTCAAGTCTCGATGGATATATATAATTAAAGATTAAGAAAGAGAAGATAAACCCAAAGAAACGATACCTATGAAAAAAATGAAAGAGAGCAGGTAGCAAGGGAAGTCAATTAAGAATTAAAAGCGGGTGGGGGGGTGCAGGGGGGAGGGCGCAGCGCCTCCTCCCGCAATGCCTCCCCCCGCAAAGCGTCACATGGTCATGATACATTTCGCAATGTAGATGGGCCTTATCATCCACCTTTGTTGCGCTGTCACAGCATACAGCGGATTACAGCGGCAGCAGTAGTACCGTAACACTAAACGTAGCAGTTGGTGGGCCATACCATCCACCTTTTTGTGGCAACAAAGGCTTGGCCAGAGCTAGTTTGCGCGCTTTGCCGGGCCTCTGGCCGGCACATACATTTCCAGGAACAGGTCACGTAGTGCTTGCATGTTGTCTGGTCGAGTGTTCGTCCACGATGTGTCATAATACTTGTAAGTGTGTTTCTCCGATCTTGCAAAAAACAAATAAGTTCAAATAAGGATCAAAAAACAAATAAGGATCAAAACAAAAACGAAATCGAGGGAAGGAAGGAAGGAAGGAAGGAAGGAAGAAAGTAGTAGTAGTAGTAGTAACTAGTAGTACTAGTAGTACTAGTAGTACTAGTAGTACTAGTACTAGTACTAGTAGTACTAGTAGTACTAGTAGTACTAGTAGTACTAGTAGTACTAGTAGTACTAGTAGTACTAGTAGTACTAGTAGTACTAGTAGTAGCTAGTAGTAGTACTAGTAGTAGTAGTAGTAGTAGTAGTAGTAGTAGGAGGAGGAGTAGTAGTAGTACTAGTAGTAGTACTAGTAGTAGTACTAGTAGTAGTACTAGTAGTAGTACTACTAGTAGTAGTAGTAGTAGAAGTAGTAGTAGTAGCAGCAAGAATGAAAATATTGATTATATAAAAAATAAACCCAAATAAACGATGCTTGCGAAAAAAAATAAATAGAGTAGGTAGCAAGGGAAGCTGATTAAAAAATAAAAGCGGGTGGCGGGGTGCAGGGGGGAGGGCGCAGCGCCTCCCCCCGCAATGCGTACCAAGAAAGAAGCACACAGGCTCAAGTCTCGATGGATATAAATAAAGATTAAGAAAGAGAAGATGAACCCAAAGAAACGATACATATGAAAAAAACGAAAGAGAGTAGGTAGCAAGGGAAGTCGATTAAAAAATAAAAGCGGGTGGGGGGGTGCAGGGGGGAGGGCGCAGCGCCTCCCCCCGCAATGCGTACCAAGAAAGAAGCACACAGGCTCAAGTCTCGATGGATATAAATAAAGATTAAGAAAGAGAAGATGAACCCAAAGAAACGATGCCTATGAAAAAAATGAAAGAGAGTAGGTAGCAAGGGAAGTCAATTAAGAAATAAAAGCGGGTGGGGGGGTGCAGGGGGGAGGGCGCAGCGCCTCCCCCCGCAATGCGTACCAAGAAAGAAGTACATAGGCGCAAATCTCGATGGATATCAATCAAGATAAAATGAACCCAAATAACCGGTGATGCTTATGAAAAACAAAAAGAATAGTAGGTAGCAAGGGGAACCGATTAAAAAAAAAGCGGGTGGGGGTGCAGGGGGGAGGGCGCAGCGCCTCCCCCCGCAATGCGTACCAAGAAAGAAGTACATAGGCGCAAGTCGTGATGGATATCAATCAAGATTAAATGAATCCAAATAAACAACGATGATGCTTGTGAAAAAAAGAATAGTAGGTAGCAAGGGGAGCCGGCTAAATAATAAAAGCGGGTGGGGGGGTCAAGAGAAGGAAACTTTCCTTTCATTTTTCAAGAGAAGGTTACTTCTTTCTTTCTTTCTTTCTTTCTTTCTTTCCTTTCCTGATTTTGTTTTTTTTGATCCATGGGTTTCGCCTTTATTTCGTGATAGTTTCCTTGTGTTTTCTCATGTTTTCTGGATTTTGTTTTTTTTGATCCCTATTTGTTTTTTTTTTGATCCTTATTTGTTTTTTTTTGATCCTTATTTGTTTTTTTTTATCCCTCTCCCGATGAGGCCGATCTGATTGGGCCGGCACTGTGTAGTGTCTGCCCCGCATTGTATGCCCTGTACTGTTGTAAGCCCGATGGTCATGCCATAGTCGGTCATTGCCCATGCTAGCCCGACAGTCATGAGGTACAGTGTCACCCCCTTAAACTCGGCCTCCCGTCTTCAGTGGCTCTGTCTTGGACGAAGGTCATTGTGCTCGATCTTCTTCTCCTTGTTCAGTGCTCCCGTCGGCTAGAGCTCTAGCCATGAGCACCCGGTTGGCCGCTTGCAGCGCCTGAACACCCATCGGTGTCATGCGACCATCACTCCCACCACTTGGGGCAATGCACAGTCTTGGACTGACAAGTGTCGACCCCGCTCGGTTCAGCTCCTCATTGATGGTGGCCTCGATGGCCTGGAGCCTCGTGCTGATCATGTTCAAGACACCTGCGGTCTCATAGAAGCGAAACTCTTCGATGCTCTGAATCACAGCCATGGACAGGCGGTCGAACCCCGCGCCCAGGTGAGCTGGTGTCGTTGCTCTCCATTGCGCAAGAGGCCTTACCAGACACAGCGGTCTCCACAGCTAATGCACTGGAATTTGCGATTATGGTTGATGAGACTGAAGCAACACACAATCATGATTGCACGTCACGACCAAGACAGCACAATTCTTTGTCATTAGTCCAGGCCCACGCTCGAGCTGGTTCAACTTATAGAGATACAGACGCATGCAGCCCTGGGTTTGATTGTGACCATCACCCTTTGCATTTGCATGTGCATAGGTATCCCCTTCCTGTTGATGGGGAAGATGTTTTCTCTGGTTGGATGCGGCAATTGACAGACTTATTTAGCTCTCGGGGCTTTGCTGAGTGTGTTGACGAATGGCCAGTTGCTTACATCACCACTTGGTTTATCAACCATCGCTCGGCTCCTCGATGTGTTGAGAGTCGACCAGTGCGTTTGATTGGAGGTGATGCTTTGCTTTGGAAAGAGCAGATCCTGGATAGATGGAATGACTTGCTGGACCCATCAGAAGAGACTGTAATTTCAGTTGTTTCTCCCACCCCGCCAGGGACAGAAACTGAATCCACGCTTGCCCATGTCATGCTGGAACAACACTGCATGCCGCTTACTCATTCTGCTGGTGTGATTTCAGTGATTCGCACGGAAAGAGTTCATGCGTATGTGTACCATGTTGCCGTTTCGATTAGTAGACTGGTCACCTTGCGCCACATCTTGCATCAAGTACAGTTGATGGACCTCTGTTGCCTTCGCAGGTGCCAAGTTGCTTTGGGTATTTTGGTTTTCACAAAGCATTGCCTTGAAGAGCTTCACACAGGGTTTGGTCTTGTAGTCTCGGTACCTGCCTCTCATGTGCACGAGCCGACACACCAGTATCCACAACTGTGGTCGCCTGTTATGGCAGCTGCGATGGATGCCAATATTCAGCCAATTATCGATCAGGATGAAAATGTGGCTTTCTTACAGGTGTCAACATCTAATGGTACAAGACCTCATCCATCGCCTCGCACATGCAAGCCTGGTGAGGTTGGTGAAACCCGAGATTTGCCCATGATCCTGCTTAGCGGACATTTGCCACGTCCAAGACGTCCATTACATGACGGAGCTGAAGATTGGATCAGACCGTTACATGAGATTGTTAGGACACATGGGGTACTGGATGTTTGGGAAGGTGAAACTCTCATTGTTGCCACTACTTGGTATATCCATCATGACCGTCGAATCGCATGTCGTCGCCCCAGAGAGGTCCAGTTGAATAACCAACCTGTTACCTGGATTGAAGACCTCAGGCGAGCTTGGATTGACATGCTGGATGCCAGGATCCCTTTCTCCATTCACATTGTACGCCCAAGACCGCCGCAGTTCAGGAGACAACAAAGCGCATGCCATGTGATTCTGGAACAGGGCAGACGAGCACACAAAGCAGCCGTTGTCCTTACGGCGCTTCTTGAAGGCCCTACCAATGATGGCATCATACAAGGCGCCTTCTCAGTTGAGCCATTGGTGACCTTACGAGATGTTGTGAATGCCATGGAAATTGCCACCTTTTGTGTACACAGGAGATGCAGTCTTGTCGCTGAGGGTAGAGAAGTCCCTGAGCACTTGCAGGTTGCGGTTAGGTCAGGTGATAGCTTGAGAGTCCATGTTGCAGCGCCGGTTTTGGAAGAAGACCCGACAGAGCGATTGCACTTCGAAGACTTGTCATTGATGCAATCACAGATGCATAGCTTTGCTTTCAATCCTTCTGCTCCGGAATTCCATCCTGGGTTGAATTGTTTGTCTTTACAAACTGAGTTTGTCCAAACCTTACATTCCCTGTGGATTCAAGATGCGTTTGCATGGGAGCATGAAGCACCGGCCACCCAAGTCTTAACATGGTTTGTCGATCACAGGTACCCATTCCCTAAATGTGCCGCTTCTCGAGCTGTTGTCTTGTTTGATGATTTCGACAGTTGGGAACATAGAATCCGAGAGGCTTGGAGGGAAATGATTCAATCTGACCTGCCTCTGGAGATGAGTGTGGTCTCACCACAGCCACACATGATGGAAAAAGGCACTGCGGCGCATGTTCTGCTTGTTCAAGCGCCAGTCGCAGAATGGTCAACAACTCTTGTAACCGTGTGTGAGCCTGCCCCAGAAGCCAATCTGTGGCGCATTGCAGTTACGACCCCTGAACATATTATGTACAACCACGTCATCAACGCAGTTTTCCCAAGTCGGGTTGTAGACAGGCCTCGTTGTTACAATGTTCTCTTTGGTATGAGCGGTACAAGTTTCAATTGGGTCATGCGTACCCATATGGGACTGGGTCTAGTCTCTTACTCATTGTGGAGTCCACGCAGACCAGTCCACATGAAACACATGATGCCGGCTCTTTGTTGCAATTGCGGGTTCAATCACGCACTTCCCCAAAGATCCCCGAGGTTTTGCCGAGGCGCCTAACAGCTGGGCAGGTAGCTCACACCCAGCAGCCTCTTGATCCTCTTGATCCTCCTAACACTGTTGCATTGGTGGTCTGGAGAGTCACTAAGGACAGCCCAACATGTAGCATTCCTCGACGACAATGGATCTCGAATGATCAAGATGTTAGGCATTGCATTTTGACATTGTGGGCGCCTGAGCTTTGCGCTTCGCCACCACTCATTACCAAAGTCAGATCGCCAATCAGCGAATCAGCGAATGCTTCGTGTTGGATCCTTATTGATGGACAGGTTGATAATGAAAAAGCCGTGCTGATTGAATCTGTAGTTGAGCAGGGGCAGAGACGATGGACTGAAAGTGTTGCGATGTTGGTCTCAGAACAAGTTTCGCTGCTTGAAATGTGGTCCTGCTGCCAAATGCAACCTACAGTTAACTCGCCAGCTTGTTGCCGGATCTTTGTTCAAGGGGAACCCACCTGTCCAGATGTCATCCTTTGTCCTGAGCACGGGTGGTGTGTGTCGTTTTTACTTGATCAACTGCAACTTGCTTCCTGCTCCACATCTGTGGATATTGCCCAAGTTTTTGCAACATTTGACTGGCTTGATACGCACATGTTCATGCCCTGCTATGCACTACCTTCTGCCTTTCCAGTAGGCATTTTTGCTTTCCAAGAGACCCGCCTCAGACGTTTGAGTCATGGACATGATGCGCGGTACTGGCTCTTTAAGAGTTCCGCGACCAAACATGGGCATTATGGAGTCATGGTTGGTCTTGCCAGAATTATTCCTCTTGGCCAAGTCATAGACGCTCAGGGCAAACCCCAGAAGATTTTCATTCAGCAAAGGGATGTCGCTGTCATTTCGACTGACCCTCGACATTTGATTCTCCGTCTAAGAACTACTCTGTGCAAGTGTATTCTTATTGCAGGACATGCCCCACACTCAGGTGCAACCAGCGAAGAGATCTCACAATGGTGGTCTGCACTTGCAGGACAGATCCCGAGTAAATACCGTACCTGGCCGCGTATTCTGTTAGTGGATGCCAATGCCAGAGTTGGAAGTGAGCCATGCCCCCACATAGGTGACCATCAAGCAGAACGAGGCACTGGCAAAGAAGAAGGATTTGAGCAATTTGTGCGGGAGCAGGGTCTTTTCCTGCCCTCAACCTCTTCTCATTTCCAGGAGGGAGACGGCATGACATGGCGACATTCGAATGGCTCTTGGCACCGCGATGATTTCATTGGACTGCCCATGACTTGGCAGTATGCTTCCTGCCGTGCATGGGTTAGTTTGGATGTTGATGTGGGACTTGTCAAAGAAGACCACCGGGTCCCCATGGTTCAGTTCTCTTGCAGTATGCCAATTACGACCCCTACTAGGGTTAAGCATATTCGAAAATTGCAGACCACCCATGTTGAAGCGGCCATTTTAGACGCAATCCAACGGCCGGATTGGACATGCGATGTGCATACGCATGCTAGGCAGCTGCAAGAAGGCCTTGTGGATGCACTCTATGAGACTTCTTTGCACCCAGCAGACCGACCACATAAAATTGCTATGAGTGCGGATACATGGGAGCTGGTTTGCCAGAAGCGAGATACAAGGAGAAAACTTGCCGAACTGAACCAGACGCAAGCTCGCACGGAGATGGCAGCTTGGTTCGCTTGTTGGCGACATGCTATGGTTGCGACCTCACACCAACCATTGATGACAGCCTTTGATGAGCTTCTCAGTCACCAAGATCGACAAATTGCCTTCACATACTTCCAGTTCCGATGTCTTGGGCGTAAGGTGACTGCGGCCTTGCGTGCAGATGATGTTAGTTTCTATGGAGCACTTTTGCAAGATGCTGCAGAATACTTGTCGCCCATGCAGGCGAAGCAGTTTTGGGCAGTTGTGCGTAGATCACTTCCTCGGTTCCAGCAGAGAAGAATGACTACTCCTCCTTTCCAGATTGAGGGCCTTGAGGATCAGTGGGTCTCTCATTTTGGTGAGTTAGAAGCAGGGATTGAAACCACCTTTCGTGAACTTGCGGTGCAGTGTTTGACACGCCAATCCCGCAGTTTGTTTGGAGCTCCATCTACAGTCAGTTTGACAGATTTGCCTTCAGTTATCCAACTGGAAGATGCATTCCGCATGACCAAAGCGGGGAAAGCAACAGGCGAAGACCCTTTGCCATCAGCTCTTTTCCATAACGCAGCTGCGGGACTTGCACATTTGTACCATGATTTGCTTTTGAAGGAATTTTTTTGGCAGACTGAACCGCTTGATTGCAAAGGTGGACCAATTGCCATTATTCCCAAATGCCTGCATCCTAGTACCGTTAAGCAGTACCGTGGTATTTTGCTTCTAGGTAACATGGCCAAGCGCACCCATGCAATCCTCCGTCAGCAAATCATGACGTTCCTTGCTCCAGCCCGTGCGCCTGGCCAACTAGGGGGATTTAAAGCTCAGCAAGTTTGTTTTGGATCTCAAGCATTGCGCCTGCTTTGCCGGCTGGCAGACCAGCGAGGAGTCAGCAGTGCTGTCCTTTTCCTTGACTTGGCCAGTGCCTTCCACTATTTGGTGAGAGAGCTAGTCACAGGAGTTTCTTCCTCAGCGAATTTGGAAAAGCTTCTGATTGAACTACAGAGAGCAGGCAATGGGGGAGAGAAGGTAAAAGCTGCCGCAGGATTGCCTGGTATCCTAGCTGATCTAGGTGCACCGGAATGTTTGGTCCGTTTGGTCCGAGACATTCATGCGGAAACCTGGTGTTCTTTGCCAAACGGTCAGTACCTGCATACGCATAGAGGCACTAGACCAGGCAGTCCCCTTGCAGATATTGTGTTCCATATCTTGATGGCCTCTGTGGCCAAGCACATTGATGGATGGATTGACCAGAATCAAATTCACAAGGACATTCTGGGTGGTGCACATGATGATGTTTTGACATTTATCCCCAGTGTGTTGTGGGCAGATGACATCGCAGTTCCGTTAGCTACTAGTGAAGCGCAAAACCTGGTCCCATTGTTGCAGAAGCTTCTTGCCGAAGTGAAAGGCTACATGCGTGAACTTGGGTTCACACTGAATTTTGCACGTGGGAAAACCAGCGCTGTTGTATCCTTTAGGGGGAAAAATGCAGCCAAGCTACGGCAGCAATTCCAGCTTGTTGCCATGCCCGGCATTCAATGCTTCTTTGAGGATGGGACTGAACACTGGCTTCATTTTGTGCCGGCCTATAAGCACCTGGGCACTGTTTTCACCTCGGATCATGGGCTGGATCTTGAGATTAGCTGTCGAATAGGTGTGGCCAAAGCGGCGTTTGCACATTTGTCCAAACCACTGCTGACGAACAAACACTTGCCGTTAAAGACGCGTTTGCAACTTTTCCAGGCCTTAGTGAGCACCAAATTATTCTTTGGTCTTGGGTCGTGGAACACTCCCACACCAAAGCAACTGCAGCGGTTAAGTGGCTTTTGGATCAATACACTCAAGAAAGTTCTGCGATTGACACTAGAGCGCTGGTCCATGTCCGCTGCGCAGGTTGTTGCTGCAGCTGACACTGTGGGGGTGCGGGCGAGACTTGCATTGGACCGGTTGCTGTATGCTCAACGGCTTTTTTCAGTTGGACCCTTCTTTTTGCACCATTTAGTGCATTTGGAATTTGAAAGTTCACCCCATTCATGGTTGGAAGGTTTGCGGGCTGACTTGCAATGGGTCTCTGATATTATGCCTCAGTCGCTACCGACAGGATGGGACCATGACATGACATCCTTGTTTGAGATGTGGCAAGCAGGTGGCAAGGAGTGGCGGGCCTTAGTTTACCGTGCTGTTCGCATCCACAAAGAGCAAGAGCATATCATTGCTGATGTCCATAGATTCCATCACAAGATTTTTGCCACACTGCGCGCAGTGGGAACAGAATTTCAGCCAGATCCGTGCCAGTTGGTGCCAGATGAGTGCACCTTCACCTGTTTCTGCGGGAAGTGTTTCAGTACGAACAGGGGCTTGCTGGCCCACCAAAGAAAACAACACCAGGTTTTTTCACCAGAGCGCCCCTTTTTGCAAGGAGCGACCTGCCTCCATTGTGGGAGATACTGCTGGACGACACAGCGCTTGCAGCAGCACCTCTCTTACATTCCAAAGAAGCTAGGATATAATCCATGCTACGTTGCACTGCAGCGTCAGGGCCGGTCAGTGACTTATGAATCTATGACCTTTCCTCATGAAGTCCTTGGATTGGCTAGGAGGGAAGCTCTACAGACAGCTGGATCAGCTGTGGAACAAGTCACTGTAGTAGAACGGCAAAGGGAGGAATGGTCTCAGGAACTTGAGCGATGTCTCAGCCAGCTTGAGTTTTCGATTTTGCCAGATGATCCTCTCCAATGTGGTGCTGAACTAGGAGATGCGCTCTCCTGTGCCACACAAACCTGGTTTGAACGCTTTTATCCACAAGGCCCCTCTGTGGCGGAGAAGCAATTGTTGCCAGAAGCTTGGTTGGGTGCCATGTGTGATACACTTGAGGCCACTGACCTCGCCATTGATGAGTGGGTGCAGTTTGCATTCCTTGCTTGGGGCGATCATTGGTTGCCAGATATCGTTGCGCACCTCTGGATGGCCAGGCTGAGTATGATGTGGAGGATCTTTATGCAGACTTTGTAGCTGACTTACCTCGGTTTCAGACATTGTCACGTATCTCTGCCCTACGCAGTAGTTTACGCCATGTGCATGATGAACCACCGCAGGCGCATCGACAGAAGGCATTACCAGTTCCTGGTCCTCCTCGGCATCCTACGGCCAACACCAAGATCCAGCAGGCTGTGCCAAGACCATATGGTGAACAGGAGGAATGGAGTGCTCGTATGAGACAATGCAAGTTTGCGACAATGCCTGAAATTGCTGCTTGTCCTCTCTATCGGGCACTCCCGGATGTCCCCACATTTCTCTTTGTACACCTCTTTAGTGGTAGGAGACGTACAGGCGACTTTCACATGGAGCTCCAGAATTTTGCCTTACAGAAGAACTGGCGAGTGGTGATCTTGTCTTTAGATACTGCTGTTTCCATTGAGTACGGCAACCTCCTTCACCACACAGTGTCATGGAGGGCGCTGGAAGAATGTTACCTTGCTGGAAGAATTGCGGCGACCCTTTGTGGGCCGCCGTGTGTGAGGGATCAGTCCGCTGGCCTAGACCTTTGCGCTCATTTGCACAGTTGCTTGGCCTCGATGGACTGTCTGCACGCGAATTGCGCCAGTGCCACACTGGCGGAAATTTCTTTTTGCAGTGTGTCTGGGTTTTGGCTGCGCACATTGCCTATGGCGGCATCTTCGTGGCGGAACACCCTGCGCCCCCTTTTTTTGAGGAGAGACCGAGTATCTGGACGAGTGCGGTGATACAAACGCTGTTGCAACTGCCTGACTTGGTTTTGCATCGTGTGCAGCAATATCGTTGGGGCGCCACAGCAGTGAAGCCAACGGGGCTATTGGCGTGGAATCTCCCATTCTTTCGCAAGGACTTGTACAGTCTTTCTTTGCCAGATCCTGTCAAACCTGACACTGCCGCGATCGGGAAAGACGGTCAGGGCAATTTTAGAACTTCTAAGCATAAAGAGTATCCAGGGGCATTTTGCAAAGCATTAGCCTTTGTGGTTGCACAGCAATTTGAGCGTTTTGTTCGCAGTAATGGGACGCGATCCTGCCCAGCTGCGTCAGAGGTTCTGGACCAATGGATAGCACAGGCCGCGGCAGCCTCTACACCGGTTAGAGATGACAGCCATTGGTTGCCAGATTTTCAACACCTCTAAATTCGAGAATGTGCATGGCAGCAAGGGGTACCCCCTTTTATGCAGCAAATGGAAATGGAATGTTTTGGAGTGCCTTTTATGATGATAATTCCTATCCAAAAATGGAACCTCAGAGTCAACTCGCCTCCTCGAAGAGTGCTGAAAGCAAGGGCAAGGTCCCAGGTCCAAGGGCGTCCCGAAAACGAGCAACGTCTGCCAGCTGTTTGGAATCGATGTCGATCCTTGGAAAACACTTTAAAAATGAAAGAAGAACCCTATCTTTTAGTCCTTTGGCCAGTAGAATGCCTAGCACCCGACATTCAAATTCGATCGCATTGCCTTCTAGCCTGTATGTTTGCAGTTGAGGTGCGTTGGCAGGTCTAGAATGCTCAGAACCTCAAGGATGTCAGCAAACGGCCTTGTACTTTAAGTAGTTCGTCTTCGGATGGCTCAAGGCATGGCAAGGAAAAAAGGTAGAGGGACCCACTCTTGCTGTTCACATGGCTTGCGCAGCAAAGTATGTGCTATGGCGATGAAGAAAGAAGTATGGACATGATCAGTTTGGTGGTCAGAGAGGAGCCTTGTCCTTCTTCTCTTCGTCCTGGCTCTCTCGAAGCTTGGGCTTCGGAGGGTCCTTTGTTGCAGGCAGCAGGGCATGATAAAATCTATGACTATTTCGCTAGGGGCTGACGTTTGCTGGGTTGTTTCCGTGCGTGTTTTTCGCACATTGTGAGCATGCAAAATATTGAAATTTGTCCTGCATCTCATGGCATTTTTGCGCTTACCTAAGACAGTGCCAAAATCACCTTTTGAAGCGTATCTTACTGATATCCTCCGTAATTTGCAGTGTTTCGAGCCGTTAACTGAAGCCTCAACAAACCGCAAGACTTTGAAAGCACACCAAAATAACCTAAACCTTTATATAAATGAACCCTAAATAAACCCTAAACCAACCCTAAATAGACCCTAAAACAACCGTGAGCAAACCCTAAAACAACGCTAAATAGCACAAAAATTAACTAAAAGAACCTTAAATAAACCCTAAAGAAAATCTAAACCAACCCTGAGCAAACCCTGAAACAATCTGAAATATATCCTGACCTGAACAAATCATAACGTAACTAAACCCCCAGTGAAACTTTGGGCGAACGTCCGCCCCGGAGGGGACTATTTGCATCCCTTGGCTGAGAAGATCCAAAAAGATCTAGGAAAATGCTTGGAACTTGGAATCAACTAAAACAACTCCAAAGAGTATTTACCCTCAATTGCTTGGGATGACGTCTTCAGTGCATTTGCAACCAGATATCCCGTTTGGACGCAGCGTCTGGCGTCACAACTGGTGCATCTGCTTTGGATGTACCCAGCTGGAGCTCTCCCTGCTTCAATTCAGCACGCCTGCGCGCCACAGCTTCCATCTCCAGCTCCAGGTTTCTTGCCTGCAAGGCACTGCAAGGACTGCAACAGCGATGAACACAACTGCAAAAATAATAACCTACATACCAACAACAACGTAACTTAGAACAAATGCAATCATGGGAATCATGATGATGATGATGATGATCATGATCATGATCATGATCATGATGATGATGATGATCCTGATCGTGATGATGATGATGATGATGGTGATGATGATGATGATGATGATGATGATGATCCTGATCGTGATGATGATGATGATGATGATGATGATCCTGATCGTGATGATGATGATCATGATCATGATCATGATCATGATGATGATGATGATGATGATCATGATGATCATGATGATCATGATGATCATGATGATCATGATCGTGATGATGATCATGATGATGATGATGATCATGATCATGATCATGATCATGATGATGATGATGATGATGATCATGATCATGATCATGATCATGATCATGATCATGATCATGATGATGATGATGATGATGATGGTGATGGTGATGGTGATGGTGATGGTGATGGTGGTGATGGTGATGGTGATGATGCAGATGGCAACCTCGGATGTTTGTGTTGAGTTTGCATAAAATAAGAACGAAATCACGCCCGACCCATGTGCACTACGAAATCTGTCATCTCATGATCTTCCAAACAAAACCAAGGTTCAACTTACTTCCGAGCCAAAGCAGACTGAACAAGTTACATCAGGTTCCTACTTTTCTACATTGCTTGTGTTTTGGTTGCGCCTTCAAAGCTTCATAGGCTGCTTGCCATTCTGCTGCAGAACCTGACTGTGGCGGCGTGGGCAAAGTCGCTGCCTCTTGCTCTGGGCTCTGCAATCGCTCCGCCCGTTCAACTTCAATGGCATAGGCTTCTTGCCATAGTTTTTTCGCTTCCTCATCAGATGTTCCTTCTGCAGCTTGAGCCATTAGAGACACTCTGCAGATGCGCATTGCACGGCGAGTGGCAACACTGGCAGATCCATTGGCAGATCCATCGGTTTTTGATCGCAGAACTTGCAGAGCTTGGAATCCAGCTGCGCCTGCGACTGCCCAAAGATGGCCACTGCGGCCGCGGCCACCACCGCAGCCACTGGGTGCGGCCAGGCGTTCGACATCCCATGGTCGCCAGAGCTGGCGAAAGAGCGGTGGTGTGGCTGAGACCACAGCCATCAAGCAAAATGTCTGCGAATTTTTGCGTGAAGCAGTCGAGTTTTGTAAGGTTTCTGAAGGTCACTATTGGTATCCTGTATAGAGTAAGTAGAACAAACAAACACACATCCAAACACCTTTTAAGGGGCTGTTTGATGCTTTCTTTATGAGGGTCAAATGAAACTCAGAATCGAAGTCTTGCAGACAGCATGTGCGTGTTGGATTTTTTTTTGGGCCTTCTGCATTTCCGTCTAAAAATCAGTGAAGCTGTGAACAAGCTGAATTCAGAAGGAAAATGTTAAGTCTGAAAAGCTTGCAATTTAGCGTTGCTGCGCCAACACGACATCCATGGAACTTTGCAAAATCCGCCTGCATTTTGGCCACGCTTGGTGATAGCCGTTGCATCTTTGCACTTGCGCATCTCAGGAGTCGTCCGCTCTATGCAGCTCTTAGGAGATTGGAAAGGTTGGAACCACAGAAATGCTCGCAGAATGGAACCAACTTCAGACTAACAAAGGTGATGTAAATCCCGGCTGACATGGCGGTAAACCCCCCTCACACGCCTCTGCGTGACAGCCTCATAGCAAAAATAGCAGGGAAGGCCGTGTCTGCAGTTGCTTGGCACAGTCTCTGTTGGAAAGGCGATGTCAATGTCTATAATTTGTGCATTTTCTTGCTGGGGATGATTATGAGACAAAAATAGGTATAGATATAAATATAGGTAAAGACAAGTGCTCTATAACTGAAACGAGTAAACTGGATCTTGGGTTGCAGGATGTTGCAGGATTCCAAAGTCTCAATCAGGTGGTTGCCTCTGCCAGAAAAAGAAGACCGAACAAATATTTACTGCAGGTGACATACGGCAGTGTGTAAGGGTGGTGTATCTCTGGCAGTCAAGAAGCCTTTGGAGTGAAGCAATTCCTCCATCGTGATATCCTGCCAGACATGATACGGTATCACGAGCACATTCCAGGAACCAGTGTGGCTGACGACTCATCGCCTTTCGATTCAGCCACTTCCATCGTGATCTCTGCTCTTCGCGCATCCGCTTGGCGGCTGCTCTTTCCACTGACCTGTTCTCGAAGGCCCCAAAGGCTTTGCAGGTTTGCTATGGTGAAGAATCTCACTTCAACACTAACACATTCAGCCAACCAGTTTGGCGTAATCATCTCCATCATCTACCCCTCTGGCAGCATTGGGAAGCATCTTTCAGGGAACTGGATGTGCTATGATTCAGACATGGCAGCTCTTCTCTCACGTTGAGCTTGCTGTGCTGCCTGTGCCTCGCATGGCTGGGGAACACCAACCTGGAAGTGGAAAATCTGCCCAACTGAGCCAACTGTTGATGATTTTCCTATGTTTTCCTAGCGGAATTGCAGGTTTTTCACCTTGCTGTCCTCACCGGAAGGTGATCGCTTAGACATACGTAGTTTATTGTGATGACCAAAGCATCAGGTGAACTATTCCAGCACCTCCTTTTGCTTCTGGAATGCAGCCTCTTTTGCAGCTGCCTTCCAACTCAACATACTCAACATATGATCTCAACATCAAAGCTGGCAAATGTGGGACTGGTTTCGTTTGGTCTTGCTGGCGTGGTGTCCTTACATTTTCGTGATGGCAACGGCAAACCTATCCAGAAAAGTCGGTCAAACATACTCGAATGGACTCAGGGAACAAATGTGGAGCAAACCCACCAATTTGATGTCCTTAAAGCTGAACCAATCCCAAAGCAACGCTTTTTGCTCACTCCCTCTCTCTCTCTCTCTCTCTCTCTCTCTCTCTCGCCTTTTTTTCAGCTGCAAAGATTCGTTGGCCTTTTTGATGAGCTCGATCCCAGCGCCTTGCAAACCACACTTGCTGAGATGCAACGAAGCAAGGTTGCATGATACTGTTTCCAAATAGACCAAATAGATAATGGCCTGGCGCAAGTCACATTTTGCGGCTACCAATCAAACACCTATCAACATCTCTCAATTCGAGGCATGGACCCAAGTAGCCGAAGCAGTCGCTTCCATGTAGGCTCATTGGCCTTGGAGCAAGTTGTGGATGCCAAGGCAAATGGATTATGTAGAGGTGTGTCTGAAAATTCTAATGAAGTATCCCGGTACCCGCGCAAAATAGCCACCAAAATTGCGAAAAGAAGGTTTTGAACCATCAAACTTGGTGGTTTTCCCAACCGAAATGCACTGTATCTCTTGGCAGCCAACCTCTGCACTCTTGCACGACTTCGAAGTCTCGCACCAAGATCTTCGGCGGCCTGGGAGTCAGGCACAAAATGCATTGGAAGGTTAGTGTGAAATTCAGTCTGGAGATTGCAGTAGATGTTGAATCACGTTGATGTTTAACTGTTTAATGAATTTTCATTATATCCAATTTGTTTATATATTGATTTGCAGATGCAGATTGCCTCCAGTGGAAGGCGCATCTTTGCGATGGCTTCGGCAGCGAACAGCCTGATGAACATAATGCCAATAAAACCGTGCCTGTCAAACAACACTGTAACCCTTTGACAATTCACTTTCACTGCGCACATCGTCTCTGCATTGTAGCAGTCTGAGGTCCCAACAAGGTGTGTTGCTTTGCGCTTGCGCCCGCGTTGCTCACGTTCAAATGCGCGAGCCTCCAATGATGGGAAAAATGAAACAAATAAGGTTCTGTCTATTCCCGTCCAGGAAAAATAATTGTTTTCTGGGAATGCATAATGCAGTTCACAATTAAGCACATCCTCAAGCAATATGTGCAAAAATGACGCTGCCAAGCTGCAGCTTTCTTGCTCTGGTGTCGAGGTCGGTCCTCCTGTAGCATGGCCAACCTTGTCATTCAGTGGGCACATGACAATATTCAGTCAGGACCTCTCATACCTCCAATACACCTCCCACATCCAATTGCCAAGATCATGGCCGATTCCAGCGCTCAAGCCGTCTCTCACGCTGAGGTCTGGATGCCTTCACAACGACAAGCGATCCAACTTGTTCAATCTTGAGAATGAAGCTTTCCCTCTCCCAGCAAGTCATCTTCGACATTTTTGTCACATCTCGATCCAAAATGATCCAAACGCTTTCAATTCGGACGACTTTGGTCCAGTTAACTGCCAGTTGGGCAAACGGCGCAAGTTGGACGGAACTGTTGAGCCCCGGTGGATACAAGTCCTGCCCAATGTCCTGGTGCTGCGGGGATCCATGGGGAGGTGCGCTTGGAATCCCTACGACTCACTCGTCGAGTACATCCTGTTTGCGTGTTCTGCTGAATGCCAGCCTTCAAATGCACCAAGAAAGTACTGGTAGATGTTTCGATTTCAACTTGCTCTTCCCCTCGGAGGTGTGCAGCTTCCAGCAGTTCTGAAGCGTTTTCTTCAAACGGTAGCCATTCAACTGATTGGGAGTTTGCAAACTCAATGGGCTCACTTTCGTAGAACCAGGAGGATTTCGCGGGTGCCTGTCCTTTTGTGGCCAGTTGTTCCGCCAGGTTCAGGCAGGCCTCCCTGTCTGCCCCTGACCTGCGTTCGGCAGCACGCCTGGCCAAATCAGCTGGACTGGCAGCACCAGCACCGGAGGAAGCACCGGCATCCAGCAGCACTTCGCAGATATCCACTCTGCCCATGCCCGCAGCGCTGTGCAGCGGAGTCATCTGCTGGAGGTTGGCAGCATTGACATCACACCTGGCACGCAACAGATCAGCAACGAGGCCAACAGTTTGGTTCGCCGCGAAGTGAAGTGCACTGAAGCCCAAACGGTCCCGCATCAATGCATCGGCCTGTGCTTTCAGTAGCAACCGGACGGCGTGCTGATGGCCACCCGAAGTCGCACGATGCAACGGCGTGTACTTCGGGTGTTGTTTGTCCCGTTCATTGGGATCCATACCAGTACGCAGCTTTACAAGGATGACTCCAAGGTCTCCTTGTCGGGCGGCTTCACCCAGGCTGAGGTAAGTGGCTTTTTGGAGAGATCCACTTTCTTCAAGCAGGCAATCCAGGTCGACATTCAAACTTGAATGGGCTGAGCCACAGAATGCCCAGTCTACCTTTTTGCAGTTTTGATCGAAGGGAACCAACTCAACACTGCTAGACTACCCCTACCCCATCAGAACACTAGAACCCATAAGATTTTGAGAATGGAAACCGTCCGGCCATGAATGTCATAACTAGACAACATAAGAACTTCCCGAGCTTCGCCAGGATGCCGCAGTGGTAAAGGACAGAATTCTGCAGAGCACTCCACTAGGAAGTTGAAGCTGGTGAAGCTGGTCCATTTCCATTGCCAAGGGTCCCACTCTTTGGTGGTCACAACAAGTAGCAAAGACATATACATACAGAGCAAATATAGCAAATATAGCAAAATCAGGATTGGTCCTTGCATCTTTGGAATTTCTTCGGAACTTGCTGATATCAACTGTCTGCATCCACCTAGTTCGAAGTAACAAACTCAGCAGATATATCGAGCTACATAGAGCCTGACTGCGATCGTTTGCTTTATGGCCATCGTAGTGTGTGCTTGTGCGTCAGTATACATAATAGTACACACAGTTTGCACTCGTCAAATGCACACGATATAAATTCTTATGAATGCTACACATGTGCCAAAATGCTTGAATATCTTAAATGAGAAAGTACTGTACATCTTTGCATCTGCATGTCATCTTCAGATCCATTGTCTACACGAAAGGAGCATCAGAAGGAACAGGAGGAGAGAAAAGGCACTAAAGCATACTGAAGCAAGACAAACATCCTGACATATCCTGACTGCCATCATTGTCCCTCCTGTATTCAATCGATTCAATGGGATTCAGAGCTCAAAGTGTGCAATCCGGACGTTCCTTGCTTTCAAGATTTCTTTGTGCAGCAAAATGAGATGCTGACAAAATGTCCAGCCTCCGCCAAGGCATCCAACCTTCTGCTGGCACTCAATCGTCTGTCTCCACAGTGCCCTGCAGGAAGTTGAGTGGATCACTGACAGGCAGCACTTTAGTTCCACTCAAGAAAGCTCAGCAAGTCTGTGGACTTGAAGAAGTTGCACTAAAACATACAAAACCAGTTCACAAGGACTGGAACGAGCAGAAACCTGGAAATTTTGCTGCCCACTGCCAAAGCCGCCCAGCAGCTCAGAAATGCCTCCGGAGCCTCCAATCTCCAGGATATCGAGATATTCCTCCCTGAAGGCAAGCCATCGCTCCTTGAGCACTCAATGAATATGTTTGAAAATGTGAAACATCTGTAAATGTTGTATGATCGTGAACATGATTGCAGCTATGTATCCTTGTATATAGAGCAAGAGGGGTCAACATCATCATGTTTTGAAGATGGAAGTTATTTGGAGACCAAAAGGGCCCCATTGCTACGTTAAATGCTGCGACATCTCGTCTTCTGCTGATTCCTAAACTTCTCCCCAAGTTTTCTCAGCCCTACCAGTCCCTTTTCTGCAGTTGAGCCATCTCCTGTAGCTCGTTTAGATCCATGCGAGCAAATCCTCGAGCTCCTGCAATGCCGCTTTGAAAACCATCCTTTATTCGTTAAACTCTTGAAGCCCATGAAATGCTGAACCAGAAAAATCAAGTTTCAGGCGGTAGTGTTTTTTTAAGATTCTGAACGCATTCGCAAGTGCCGGAAGACTTTGCTTTGGGCGTTGAGCTGCCATTGTAATGAACAGACTAAAACGGTAACAGCGGAGCATCCTTGACCCACAGGTGAGCGGAAACGAATCAAGCGACACCACCTCTGCACTTCACTTGTCGCCGCTTGTGTTTGGCATCCCATCTCTTGGATGAGTTTGGTACGCAAAACGCAAAGGGAAACAAGCAAATCCCGAAGGAAGCATAAAGGTTGAGAAACAGCTTCAGAAGGATTCACCAAGCTTGTGTTCATGACTGTTCTGAGTTTCACACGCACTAAGAGCGTCTTCCAGCTTTGTCTGCTGAGGTGTATGCAAAGGTGGCCGAACCTCAAGGCACAAGGCTTAACCCACCTTGGTTTCAGGGGTTGAGGTGATAAGATCAGGTCCTGAAGAAATGCAAAGCAGAACGGTAAGTTGCGCGCCCAAAACCGCATGCACATCATCACCTGAAAGCGCAGACCAAGGTCCTGCAAGGGTTGTGGGCAATCAAGGTGCCGGTTCTCTGTGATACAAATATATATATATATATGTATATATATATATATTCATTTATATTTAAATATATGTATAAATGTATGTATGCATGTGTATAAATGTGTGTATGTATATTTAATACGTACATACATTCATTCTGGTTGCGTGTGTAATATATTTATTTGTATATATTATATATAATAATAATATGAAATATAATGTAGGCGCTAGCAATTTGACCCCTACCTCGCTCCTCTGCTGTCATTCCATGCTCTTCCAATACTGCTGGAACGATGGCAGTCATATTCTGGGCAAAGAGCTCAGGCTCAACACCTGGACATTGAGAGGGAAAAGCCAAGGTATGCAGCTGCAGTGATTGTGATACAGATTGTGCAGTCAAGACACGTCCAATTTTCTGTTTGATCGACATCAGAATCAAAAGGATGTCAATCGCTCTGTCCAACTCCTTCACTTTCCTTGCTGTGATGCAAAGGCTCTGCACGCAAACACTGACCTGATAGATAGCGATGCCCTTGCGGTAGAAGGAGGCAATGCCACGCATTGTATTGGCAGCCTTTGGAGGCTGCTTCTCTGTAAACTTGTTTGTCGCCATCGCTGCCTTGGCCTGTTCTGAATCTGTGATGGCCAGTGTTTTCTGGCGGTCAACAGCTTCAAGCATAGCATGCTGCGAGGCTGCTAAATGGTGTTGCTGGCACCGTTTGCTCGAGCCTTCTGAAGGATCGGCAACGGGTGAAAAGCTGGCTGTTTCGGGTTCTGTGACGGACAGTAGTCTTTGTCCTTTGTGCATGTCCCGGTAGGCCAGCACCCAAGCTTCCAAAGCCAAGCGATGGGTTTGCGAGAAGCAATCTTGCAACAGCTTCAAGCGCCTGCTTGGAGGAAGCTTCTGCAACAGGGAGAAGACTTTGGCCATCAGTTCATCCTCCACTGTCTTTGTCTGGCTGAGACGATGGGAACTCCTTACATCTCCGCTCAGATCTGCTTGATGAAAGTCACATTGTGGCCTCAGAAAGAAACAGCTGTCCAAACCGCCGGTCGCTTCCTCCAATCTGAAGAATTGCAAAGGTTGAACAATATTTACTTGCACAATATATAAATATGATTATGAAATATGTAATAATATGTGTATTTATACATGTTTATATAATATATATATATCATATATTTATATATATGGTAAAGACTACCACTACTTGGATCGACGGAAGGGATAGTGACTTTAAATCAACGTAGACTTTCAAGTTTCAACTCTGATTGACTATTTCATGTTATTTTCACTGTCGCTTTGGCCAGGGTCCGCGCTGTCCCTTCTGAGGTCCACCTAATGCACCAACTGATCCCTTGATCTCCGTAATTCGGGCTGAATGAAATGCAGAAACTTTCGGATTCGAAGCATCTTCGCCTTGCCTCGAAACATCTTTGCCTTTGCTGGACTTTGCTTGCCAGCCTGTTACAAGACTGCAGTAGAGAATGGGTTGAGAGAACTTGCTCATGAGACAAGCGATATCAAAGGATCGAATTGGGATTGACTCGGATTGACTGATTGATTCTGCTCGACGATGCAAGGCATTGCAAGGCACGCAGCATACCCAACATGTACCAATGTACCGCTTGCCGCAGCTTGCCTTGGCAGATTTTGGATGGCCTCCGAGGCATCCTCCGACGCTTCCTCCGACGCTTCCAAATGGTGAAGGCTTTTTGCCAAGTGGCCGAGTTCGCCTGAAACTCTTGGCCTGTCATCTCCAAGATGTCTCCAGATGTCTCCAGTATTTCACTGCATCAACACTGACAACGAGGACAGATTCCAGCAAGTGAGCCCCACCTTTTGCAGACTCCGGTTATACTCTGTTCTGCTGCTCTCATCAGACAGAACCTGCGCCAGCAGCGGGATTCACTTACTCTTAAACAAAAAAAATCAAGCAGAGTCGCCTCAAAAGCCCTCAATGCTCTCTGGAAGGCCTGGCAAGGTAAATCTAACGAGGAATCCGTGCCAAGGGATCGGGTATAGCAATCCATAGCAATCCTATCTTCAAAACTTGCGCCCCACATCTTTTGGTGCCTCTTTTGACCCTCCTTTATCAGGATGCAGAGCAAGGGCTTGTCGCTTGAATGCCTGGGACATCGGTGCTTGCGAGCGGGTCGGGTACGGTCCAATGCAAGCTATTCCTTGTTCTGAGGACACTGCAGCTTTGATTTCTGCTGCTGAAGCATGATTGCAAGTTCCAAGAACCTCCCAAGTGCTCAAGCGGTGAGAGTTGGTTTGAATATGATATCTTGGAATTGTGTTTTGGCATCATCGAGGAAGGTGCTAGGTGCTACACAGGAAAGTCTTAACTGTCTTAACTTGAAGCAAAGAGCGCCTGGTAATGAGTGTCTGCCCTCCTCATGCTCATCGGCCTCAAAAAAACCTGGAAGAGGGTGCGCGTCGAATCCTTCTGTCTCTGGCTATTCCCTGCGCTCACCCACGAACTGTCTGCACAATCAAATTTTACCAAGGCCAGTCGCAAGTAGGGTCCCTGCCGAAAAAAGCTAAAAAAGTCGCTAAATACATCAGAAGTAAAGAAGATTGCCTTGGCAAGGGCAACGAGAGTCAAAAGGACTGGATCAGAGGAGGCAAAATTGTTTCAACCTTGAAAATCACAGGAAGGATCATCCAAACACAACTTCACAGCTAAGTTGTGGCAGGCTGCGCAGTCGGACTGAGCATCGCTGGCCACGTGCACCTCAGAGCACACAGAAAATTGATGAAAATTGTTTCTTTTCAGTATCTGCTTCACAAGTCTGCTGCTTATCTGCTTCACAAGTCTTCATCGCCGTGTCATGTAGCTTCTGAGCGTCAAACGCTGTCGTTGGAGGTGTTGCGGATGACAGGGGCAGGCCTTCAAAAATGCAAACTCTCAGATCTCCAAAAGATTTTTTGTCCCAATGCAGTTGTGTGGCATGGTCGAGGTCTGGTACCTGCAGTTTCGGCTGGGATGATCAGCCAATATGTTCAAATCCATGATTTTCGAACCATTTTCGAACAATTTCCAACTGTCAGCCATCAAGGTCCGAAGATGTTTTGGGGCTGATTCAATTCATCTGCTCCAAGGTCGTCGCTGCATGATGTTTTGTGTCTTTGAGCCGGAAGCCGGCAGAATGTTGAGGCCTTGGCACATCGTAAGGATTGGTCCCAAATGACCCCTCCAACCTGCCCTAAATTGGCTGCGCGGCCGCAAGATTACAACTCCAGATTCCTCAGAAAGAACTTGAGGCCGGGGGTGGATGACGAAAGCTAGCGGGGTAGGAGAAAGAAGGAGGGAAGAGGTGAGTTGCGGAGGGACTGTCATCATCGTGTCGCGGCATTGTTCGTCCCAACGAGGATGCAACAATGATATATGACATATGATATATAACAATGATATATATGGGGGAAGGGGCAGGGGGGGCCCTTTCGCGTGAAAAATCACATGATGTCCTTGGGGAGCCCCGGAATACTTGCTAAAGCAAGAAGACTCTAGCGAGCTGACACAAGCTTTCGTGATAATGCCAATAATTGCCAATAATGATAAAATGTAATTGAATAACGACGATGATGATGATGATGACGATGATGATGATGATGACGATGATGATGAAGAAGACGAAGACGATGACGATGACGATGACGATGACGATGACGATGACGATGACGACGATGATGATGATGATGACGATGATGATGACGAAGACGATGACCATGACGATGACGATGACGATGACGATGACGATGACGATGATGATGATGATGATGATGATGAATGATGAATGATGATGATGAATGATGATGAATGATGAATGATGAATGATGAATGATGAATGATGAATGATGATGATGATGATGACGATGACGATGACGATGACGAGGACGATGTTGATGATGATGATGATGATGACGAGGACGATGACGATGACGATGACGATGACGACGATGATGATGATGATGACGATGATGATGACGAAGACATTGACCATGACGATGACGATGGCGAGGACGATGACGATGACGATGACGATGATGATGATGATGATGATGATGATGATGATGAATGATGAATGATGATGATGATGACGATGATGATGAAGAAGACGAAGACGATGACGATGACGATGACGATGACGATGACGATGACGATGACGATGACGATGACGATGACGACGATGATGATGATGATGATGACGATGATGATGACGAAGACGATGACCATGACGATGACGATGACGATGACGATGACGATGACGATGACGATGATGATGATGATGAATGATGAATGATGATGATGAATGATGATGAATGATGAATGATGAATGATGAATGATGATGATGATGATGACGATGACGATGACGATGACGAGGACGATGTTGATGATGATGATGATGATGATGATGACGAGGACGATGGCGAGGACGATGACGATGATGACGATGACGATGACGATGACGATGATGATGATGATGACGACGATGACGATGACGAGGACGATGGCGAGGACGATGACGATGATGATGACGATGATGATGACGATGATGATGACGATGATGATGAGGATGATGATGATGATGATGATGACGATGATGATGATGATGATGGTGGTGGTGGTGGTGGGGGGGGTGAGGTAGCTTTCCCCTTTAAGGGAGCCCTGGAAACCTAAGTAAACACCTGTGGCAAGCAGAAGCGACTACACTCTTTTTCTACACGCGGAATTGCTGCTAGTCTTGAGCCATGCGGAGTGCGCATGAAAGATATGAATTAAGAGTACATGTCAACATGCATGAATGCATTGTGAAGACACGTAAAACAAAATAAATCACAAACAGACACAAATTTTCTTCGTGTCGGAACATGCAAGTCTGTTTCACAGGTAGCGCTCAGCCTGTGATCTGCTGTGAGACGGTCCGAAGACAAAAACAAAACTGTACAAAAAGCTACTCTCCGCTGTTGGAAAGTGGTATTCTCTACTGGTGGAAAGCGACCGCAAATGCGGAACATTGCAATTTTTCTGGGGCTACAAGCCCATAGTGAAATAGTAACCGTAAAAACTCAACTCGTTTTGCCTACGGTGTTCACCTGTCTGATGAAAGAAAATAGACTGATCCGGTGTTTGAGGGATCATGTTGAGCCACGATCCGTCGTATTTTTGGACCCAACGCTGTCTGGGTACCTGGTACCCTGGGACATATTCTACTTGAGTGGTGTTGGGATTTACTCTGTAGTGCGACGGCTGATCAAAGCTGTAACCGTAATTACGGTATCCGGAAGAGCTGGAAGCTGTTCCTTGGTCAAGCCATTGCGTACCCGACATTCGGGATGGAGGCGCAGGTGGTTCAGGTACGTTGATCGGCCTTTTTCTGGTCGTTTGCCTCTGCTCAGCCTGCTGTGATCTCTCTCTCCACGGCGGTGGAGTCTTCGGCGGTCCCGGTGGATCAGGAGGCGTTCTTGGCTGCTGTGAACCTAGTGTTCGTCCGGGAGCCGGAACTGGAGGAGCCTTTACAGGCGGCCTAGCACTAGAGGAAGATCCTGATGACGTCGGAGCTGGTGATTCCTTCAAGGATCTCGGTGCAGCTTTATATTTCACAGGTTCAGCTGGTCTGGCCTTAGCTGCTGGACCTCGCACAGGTGCCGGAGGCGGTGCTGGTGTTTCAGCTCTGGGTCGATATGTTCTGGTCCTGCTGACCGATCGACTTCGAGTGCGTCCAACATTTCTGTGAGAGTCAGTCCGCAGCGGCGGAACACTATCTCTCCTCTCTTCTCGTTTTTCGAGATATCCTTGAGTTCGCTGCATCCATTTTTCACGTCTTTTATCTTCAGATTCCTTGGATCGGATGCGCATATTTTTCAGTGCCTTCAACTGGGCGTAGGCAAGGAGAGGTGAGTGCCATGCACAGTCTTTTTCTGCCAAACCAAGGTCGTATGCCATCAAATGTTTGAGCTGTTCAACATCGTTCAGCATAACTTCGTCGGAGAAGGCAGATCCTGCGAATCCATCGGCAGAGGCTGATTCTTCTTTTGCACGTGCTTCCGTGACAGCGATCTGCTTACCGTAACAAAGAGAAATTAAAAGCATTGAATCACAATCAGAATCATCTCCACGCATACTGCGGATGTAATTGGCTGCAGTGGTCGAAGAAACTACGTTATACGTAATACAGTTTATCGGGCTGCGGTGAAGATTAATCTGCTGAAGGAAACGCTCCAAAATGTCGATTAAAATACATGTCCGGTAGTCGGAGTGATCGTCTGCCTTAAAGCTTCGCTGTGCGAAAAGATTCCCGTCACCGGACAAAAAGTCACACTGATGTTCGATACAGCTTGCGACAAATTGGAGCCATTTCTGGCATGTTTCCTTATAGGCAGAACTCCATGCGTATGAGGAGATATGAAAAACCGCAATGCGGCATTCAGCTAACATGAGACGTCGGACGTCATGAGTGTCAGCTCCAAGATTCACTTCACAAGCTTCCACGCCGGAGACGGCAAGGTCGTCATCTCCGTCGATCTCGCAGATCGAGTGATCAAGAAAATCGAGTGAGGATGCAAGTGGGCGATCATGCTGCCAAACCGTAGATTCGGAGTTTTTCTCAATGTCCGGTTTCGGAACACGAGCGCCGGTAGAAGGATCAACAAATTCTCCTGACGTGTTCATGCCATGGCAAAGGCGAAAAATGGCACCATGCAAAATCCAAAAAGGTGCATCTTTGGTGGAGGTTTCAATTTGGTGATGACACAAAAGTTCAATAAAGGAGCCTGTATCATGTGAGCCACGGAGAAAAATTGCAACGGACTGTGACTGGATGTGCGGATGCACTACCATGCCAATCATCCCGTACTCGTCGGCAAGTTCTCGATGGACGGCAATGCCTCCGTACTCATCTGACGCTTCGCACAGGCACACAATATGGGCCGCATTACGGAACACTAAATGTGGCAGTGCACGGTGATTGATATCAGTTCGTACCCATTTTGGAAATTTGGCGCAACCTCCGATATACGGAAGACGGTTGATGTGACCAAGGTTCAAAGTCAAAATACCAAGCTGATACGTGTCCTTCTGAAACTCATGGATGTTCTCCTTAGTGCGCTTGGTAACACCAAGGATTGCTCTCTTACCAAGAAGGCACGATCTGAAGAGTTCCAATAAACGGAGAATCTCTTCTGACTTAAGGTCACCGCCGTCAGGGTACTTGAAGAAAGCCTCAGGTCGCCAGATCGGAAGGGGCGTCTGGTCCTGGGCATCAACAAAGTGCTCCTGGAGAGTCGGAATTCGACATCCAAATGGCATTTCATAAATGAATTCCGTATAATCAAAATCTTCAATTCCATGACGAGCAAAAGATTGAAGGTAAGTGTTTCCAATTGAGCGGCCCTCACGCAGA